ATAACGCTCGATTAGACCGATTCAATAAAATACAAGTCTCGATTTGGGGAAAGAAGTTCATCAGTGTACTGCGCTAATATTTTTTTGCGAAAAATCTAGAAATATTACCCAAATTAAATTATGACTATTCAAAAGAAGACATTCAAATCTATATTATGTAAAAAAATCAAATTTGTCCGAAGCAGGGATAATGCTCATTTAGATTGATGAACTTCGCTCTCCAAACCGAGAATCGTCCTTTATAGGCTTAATGCTTTATGTGTGTAGGACCTCTGCTCAAGTAGGAATTTTCAATGTGTCCACTAAATTCAAAATGGCCCCCATTTTTCGCAAATAATGAAATTTTTGATAACTCAAATACTGGATGACACCTTCAAATTGTAAATGTTGATGCCTAGGGATACAGGAGCTTTGCTCAAGAAGAGATTTTCAAAATGGCAACTGAATTTCAAAATGGCAGCCATTTTTCGTCAAAAACATAATCTTTGATAACTCTTAACACCAATGGATGAATTTGTTTCGGATTTTATATGCTAATGCCTAAGGATACAGGAACTCTGCTTGATAAGGAATTTTCATGATGGCAGCTGAATTTCAAATGGCCACCATTTTTCATATAAGAATGTAATCTTTGGTAACTCAAATACCAGTGGATGGGTTTGGTTGAAATTTACATGCTGATGCCCTGAGATAGATGAGCTCTGCTCAATAACACATTTTCAAGATGGCCACTGAATTTAAAAATGGCTGCCATTTATGCCAAGTATGGACATTTATTCATAGATTGTGTTGGGTCACCCTGTATACAATGTTAGAAAAAATGAACCTTGATGGAATACTAGAAAGATGGAATAAGGAAATTGAATTAAAATAAATTGAATGGCGCTTGTTATAAAAAAAGTCAGATCATTCCTGTTATTTTTGCTTTTGATCAATTTCAGAATATCACCTGTAACACTGTGTAACTTGCTTCAACAATTGATTTTTGTTAAAGGTAAAACAGCACCTGTTGTCTTTTCTTCATGAAATTGTTATCATCAAATATGCAATAAGTCTTTGTGTCTTTAATTTACATCAAAATCATCATATTTGTTATTATTCTACTAAATAATATCATATATTCAGAGAATTAATTTCCTGGAATCCTGCAATAACAATAGTATGTGAATCATGTTGTGACACATTTCCTGAATTTTTGATAAATAATTAATATTTCGGTTGGATCTCTAAAATAATACAATAACGGAGGTGGAATTCAACAAGATTGAACAAAAGAAAATATTTTTAACTTGAGATGAGTGGAGACTAGTTTTTGATTATGAATAATAAAGTGACATTTCATGTCGCGATGTTGATACTACCCATTTTTATTCACACATATGTAGTCCCTTAACGGCACCTATGTGTCTTGCTATCATATCTATAATTACATTTTATGCACTTGTAAGGAATAATTTACCATTGCATTTGTTCTAAGAGTATCTCTTTCTCTGGACTAGAATTTCTTAAGTAAGTAACTGCTCATAAAGTGTTTGGTATAATATGGAGTAAGCGCCTAATAATTGAGTCAGAGGCATATAAAACACTATATGTCTCTAATTGAGTTAATCTCCAACTGATTTTGACATTGAATGATAATTTGCTTGATATGTGGATTGATTTCACTGATTTTGTGATTTCACTGATTCCTCATTGGCGTTTTGTAAAAAAATTTGGATCACATTGCTACACTTGGAAAGCTGAAAAATGGCCAATTTATCAATTATTGCAATCTCAATTTACCCTCTCTGCGTATTATCTGTTACAAATGCAGAATTTGTGCATGTCAGCTGAAGCTACACAAGGAAATGCAAGATTGATGATCAACAAACCTTAAATGTATCAATATGCCCATATAAGGTAGTTTTGTTAGATTGCTGAAACTTTGTGTAATTGTTGAATTGATTCAAATGGAAAGTGAGAGTGATTGTTGTTTTATAGCCATATGACAAAGGATATAACAGATCATGGCATGAATCTTAATCTGAATGATAATTATATGACTGAAACTCCCCGAGGGATCTTTTCATCTCTGTAACAGCCCCTAGCTTCCTAAACAGCCCGAAATTTATGTCTGATTAAAGGTATTCTCATTACACGGCCACTGGATCTGCAGTAATGCTAGGAACTAATTTTAGGTTTTCATTTGACATTATAAATGTATGGCATTGAGCATTGTGAAATTGCAGTTGATACGAGGGTATGATAACAGTGGTAGCACGCTGGTGATTTCCTGGGGATGTCCACCCCACTAGAAAGACATCCATCTAATAATGAAATCAATTCCAATTTTCCCATGTACAAATAAATTTGAATGATATATGGAATAGACTTCTATATAACAATAATTTCATATTTTTTCAAAACCTGAGTAGATCCAAGAAAAAAATAAATATAAATATGAAAAGTATGTACAAAAAGAATCTTTTCTGTTTGCCGACTTTCACATTTCTGGTCAGCCAAAAACGGCGAACCAAACGCCAAAAATTAAAATTAGGTGTAAGGATTTCAACAAATATGAAATGAGAAAGCCAGAAAACTTGGCAAACGTCCACCTTCTACCTATAGAGAAAATAGGTGTAGATCAACTCCTATGTTTTGTTCCATTGACTTACATGCATGTTATGGTAGGGTTAGCGTTTTCAAATCAATGACAGAAATATTACAAGGATTTATCTCGGAAAGTGTTTTTGAATCTGTATCTGACGTGGATTGCACGATGAGTAAGCCATTTCAGGTCATTATGTTATTGTTACGTTCAGGTCACTGTAATCCTCATTTTGCATCTATGAAAAATAATTAAAGGGATCGTGTAGTTTAAAACACGTTGGTTTTATTGTTGCTCTGTGTAGTTTTGTCACCACCAGAATGATGTAGGCCTATTGTTATAGTCTCCAACTTTTTTTTAGACGGTGTTCTGTGATCGGCGTCTGTAACAAATGCCAGGAGGTGATATTTTGCATGTTAATGTCATTATAATGTTATCAAGATACAATATTGTGTGTAACGTTTTTTATTTATTTATTGTTAACGGTGAAGTGAGACTATGACTATCCTACTTCGAGACAGATTATTTATCCAATTTATTTTTGGAGCATTCATTTCTCATTTTACTAAGAACTTCAACTCGAATGCATCAAAAGATAATGAAAATGTCATTTGGATTATACCATTATGCCATGGATTAGTAGACCCATCTCTAATAAGAAAAAGAGATTTTGCAATATGAGATAGCATGCAATTTTATTGGCATGCTCTTTGAAAAAATGCTTCCAACACTTGATATGCCACCTTAGAAATGAAGAGAGAATTTGTGTAACCACAAATATTAGATGAACCGCAAAGTAAGCTCAAATAGGAATCATTATTCTTAAATATAATAGAAACGTTTGAAAAATACCATGGTTCACCTGCAATATCGAATGGGGAGTAAGTCATCCCCCTCTCTAGTATACCCTTTTTATTATTTGGGTATAATAGAGAGAGGGTGTGACTAACTCCCAGTGCAATATTATTGGATTACGGAGGATGTCTTTAGTGATATTTATTACTTATTATCTAATCTGCACATTGTTGCCTTAAACAGAATTAGAAGGGATAGATATGGGCTAGTGAATGTTAGAGGCAATCTTTTCAAAGATCCTGCTATTCGCAATTCTTATGATAGAACCCGTTGGACATAAGAATTGGAAAGGGGTGCAAAACTATTAAAGTTGAAGGATTTATTATATAAAATACGCCTGCCTACTCGTAACTTGCGTACTTGTACACATACTGAAAAGTCATTCCTTCAGTAAGGACCACCTTAAGTGCTCAGATCGGAGATATACAATGACAAAACTACAGTTAGACATTTTCATTGTGTGTCTTTTTGGTTAAATTATTGAAAAATGTTGAAGGTTCATTTAGCAGTGGCAGCATCTTCATCCTGAACATACATTTTTTTGTACCCTGCGCGCAGAGTCTAGTTAAACTAAAAGACGAAGCTCTCTTTTAAGAAGTGAAGTCAAACGAATGCAAAGGGTAATTTTTTTGAAGACTGTCTCTATAATCTATCCACAATTATCCCATCGAACGAAATTAAAGGGGGATAAAGGAAAGCCGTTCGTCCTTTCGTTCGTTCGTTTGTTCGTTCGTCTGTCCGGGCGATAACTCAAATACCGTTTGACGGATTTGATTCAAATTTTATAGAGTTATGCCTAAGACCTCTGCTCGAGAAGGAATTTTCAGTTTGGCCGCTAAATTTAAAATGGGCGCCATTTTTCGTAAAAATGTATCTTTAATAACCGAAATACTAGTTGACGGATTTGGTTCAAATTTTATATGCTGATGCCTAGGGAAAAAGAAACTTTGCCCAAGAAGACAATATCAAGATGGTTGCTGAATTTTAAAACGGCCGCAATTTTTCGTATAAAACGTAATCTTTGATAACCCAAATACCAGTGGACGAATTTGGTTCAAATGTACATGCTGATGCCTAGGGACAAAGGAGCTCTGTTCGATAATGAATTTTCAAGATGGCAGATTTACAAAAAACGGGAAAATGTTTCACTTGCATAATTAGGTAATATTTTGTGGTGTTAGAGGTTTTTATATTTCCCTTTGGTGACAGTAACAATCTGATACTTTTTCTAAATAAACGTGGCTGATTTTTCGTTGAATTATATTTCATGTTCCCATTTGATCTGTCTATAAAGAGAAGATATAAATTATATAGTTTGTTTATTTATTGGGAACTACCTAAACGACCGCCGGTTAATCAAAATTTGGATTAACGAGAGACACAGGTGTGGCAGGCCTATGGTGTGTTAGCTTAGAATCCATGTTACAAAGTGGGTGTATTAGTTACCCGGTGTATTAGTTTCCAGAAGATTAGCCTTCCCACCCTTGGCTATCTTCATTTACGTTTTCCAGCATCCTCTCCTATACACCTATCAGGGCATTCAATTGCTCATACGTCACGAATTCTTTAATTTGATTCCGGGCAAGCAATACAGCGTGTTGTCACGCAATCTTTGTCAAGCGATTCCAGGCCAAATCTCCGGCATCTCCGGTGCGATATTGTTGTTTATCTAACGGATAATGAAGGATAGTGATTGATTTCATTCATCTATAAAAACCCAGTCCGAAAATAAATCGTTCATTTTCCAAGGAGCAAATCACAACTAAGGACACAGGACTGCATTGACGCTAACAAAATTTGGCGGCAAAGTACTACGACTAAGAGAACTTGAAATACTTTGTAACGAAGAGGACGTGAAAGGACTCAACAATGAAATTGTATATAGCTATTGCTCTATTAGGGCTAGTGGTGTTTGAATTATGTACTGACTTTGCTCGAGCAGATGACCCTGCAGACGCCACAGATATGGACAAACGAAGAGGTTGGGGCAAAAGAGGATGGGGAAAGAGAGGATGGGGCAAAAGATCCGAGGAACAAATGGACGATGATGTTTTAGATGAATATGTGAGTATACTTTAATTCATTGATTTCATCGAAAAATCATTTTGGTATCCTTAAACACTGTTTTACAGTGATTCTTTCTTGAAATTCCTTTTCATTTTGGAGGTTTCGATAATTTTAAAATTGCGCGTCGGTGGTGATTGCCCAGTATGTAGCATAGTTTGGATGAAAGCATTCATTCTTAACTACTGTATGTTTTAATAGCACGTCCGAATAAAAGCGAAGCTCGAAATGAGTAACTATACTATTACTTTGTTTTACGATTCATAGGGATTGTTTAACAAAGTGATTTTAAGATAACATCACTATCCTATGTTTCCATCGTTTTTATCCCATTCATTACATCGACAAGATGTTTGAGCAAGGTATCATCTTATAATGTTGAAGTAATTTGTCTTGCAAGATTACTTTCCCGTTTTGTTTTCTTTTGTGGGTGTAGCCCTTTTGAGAATTATCCTGCGGAAGATCAGACATTTTGCAGTCCTGGATGTAATTATTTGTCGAGGAAATCCTTTCCTCCGGGAGATAAAAAGAGTATGTATATGTCAAGAGCAGCAGAAATCTCGCCTCGTTAAACAATAATAAGTTATTCGAACACAAAATAAAGATTTTCATTATCAATGTGGAAAAATGCTACACACATTCATCCTGTTATCATATTCGAATTGTCTTTATAAATCAATGAATACAACTCGGTATCAGAAAATAATCGAATATGGTTTTCACATATGTGGTTATTACAAAATGTAACAAGTATCTTCCGTAAAATATAATTTGCAAACAACAGTCTCGCTTTTACGTTTAGAATACTTCTAAGTTGTGTATAGCTGTCACTGTATTTGCTTTTAGAATCTGTGGTAAATAATTAGTGTTTTACTCAGAGAAAATCCTGTCTTAGCAGACGCTAATAAGAATATGATATCGTTAAACTAATTTCTGTGCATTAAGAAAATAAAACCTATAAGTAATTAAGGAACTGATTACGCCTAAACTAATCACATCAGTCTAAATTCTAAATATACCTAGAAATTCTTTTCTAACCTTGTTTTATCAGAACAAAAAAACGGTCAGTTAATTCTGTTTTTCGGATTAAACACATGTCTTTTCGTTGGCGAATTCGGATTTATTACCAGTAGCATGATCGAACGATAAAAACATGAAGTTGTCACTGCTTTATGCTGGCGGGTTATCAATTCATCTTAAAATCAGACATGTATGATTCTCTTCATTGATTCAACGAATTATATCCTAATCCAAAAAGCCTATCTAAATAGTTAATTTACTTCTTAAAGTCAAAATAGTATCGGTAAGCTAAAAAATATATTATTTATTTGATTAACCGAACGATGAGGTTATGCACTTCTGGCACAATAGGCAACATTCTATGAATCAAACAGAGCGACTTTTAATTCACATAACATAACTCTCATTGAAACCAGCTCTTAATACATAATTGCTTTATTAAAAAGGTCACTAAATTTTGCGAAACATGGATAGTTCAACTACTAATCATTTTAAGAATACAGGTAGCATTGATCAACGACTTTCAGATTAAAAGAAATTACGTTTCTGTCTTGATATCTTCTTTAATTCCAAAATTAGGTGGTTGCTTTTTATGTGAATACAGATTTGCATAATTATTGTACTAAAAATATTTGTACTAAAAATATTTTATATATGGCTTAGGGCCGAAGATAATTTTTATGGGCTTGGGGCATGAGATAAACAAAACAACTCGCAACTCCTGGTTTCTGAACCGTTGTTTAAATAGTTAAAGTTGAGTCCAGTCCTCAAAAATATTTAAACGACTGGGATTTGGGATATCAAATAAAAAATATGATGCGACAGCTAAAGAACGAATTATTTAAATCTTTCGTTCACGGCCGAAAAGGAAACAATCTCATTATCTTTTTTGCTGAAAAAACTGCAGCAACTCTTGACGGAATATTTTAAGAGCGAGAGCGCTATTAATACAAACACAACTGGCGATATACCTAGTGATATAGCCTCTTCAAAATTTGGGAGCCGGAATTCAACTTTTGGACAACCTGTTAAAACTATTTATGAATGGTTATCTTATCAAATCATCTTTGTCATTTTCTGACACGCAGTAATCGGAAAACAAAATGACATTTTTTACACGAAATATCCAACGGGAACTGCTGGTTGGCAAACGTATGAAGGGGGTTGTATCTGTCATCCATATCGCATTCCTCAATTTTGCATCACTACCCGGATGTATGGATAATACGATAATGATACGAATTCAATTATTGATTAACGTGTTGTTACTTTGAAATTGCCCTTTGACAGGAGGTGAAACATACTAAATTAATCATGGCAAAAATTGATATGTTCTTGATAATATCCTAAGCTTCGAATTAATTGAACAATACAAATATTTGTTAATAAACTCATCGTACCTGAGTTTAATTAATAAGCACCTCTGGTGACAGAAGGGGGCATCTTCATGATTAAGGAGGGTTATTTTACAATCATCTTCATTATCTTCTTCAGCATGTTTGAGAAGGCTCGATTGATAGTGGTAGGGGGAGGTACTTCATGAGACGAGGTTAGAGTGAATGTCCGCATGGTCAATGAAATAGGAAGGGCTACCCGGGTGGGAGGCTACTTCTTCGGAAGATATCGGGATTTATTTGATGTAGCTATGTAGTTGTTACAATTTAAACAATCCAAATGAATCAGCCATTCATTACCCAAATTGGTGCAGTGTATCTAAATAGTAATAAAAGACTCACAACAAAGCATGACTTTTCAATCATATATTTATGACCGATAATGAAATAAAAACAATTGAACGACACGTGGGGAATTATCTTGAAGCTATGGGGTATTTTATCAACATTGTAAGAAAACAATAAATGACCTTGAAACGGATGTTTTCTTATTTTCTTAAATCATTTTTTGCTATTTTGATAACTTAAATGCAACAAATGAGACCCTGTGATGCAAATGATTCTTCTGACTAGAACGATCATGTTAAGGTCAAGCAACATTTTTTCCATAAACAACCAAGACCAGTCGTTTTACCACGCAAGTTATCAGATTGTCAGTAATTAAATGATAGATAATTTTTTAAAAAAACGAAGGATTGATTCCATATTGACATTTTACTAAAGAAAACTTAAGTCAGTAAAGTGACACTAATATTCTGTTAAACCAAATGCACTTAAACAACTGCCACGTGGCATTGACTCTTCAACATGAACACGATATCAAGCTTGGGATGAAGTTATTTCAATGAGGAGGGAAGTGTAACGAATTTAGTGATTTCATTATCCGTAATATCAATACTCGCATGCTACGATGTGCGTAGAGCCATAAGTATTATCCAATTAAATTGAATTTTTGAAATAATGCTACCTGAATCTATCAATTATAACAACGTACAAATACATATTTGAGTGCATGTCACGTATTCAATATTTCAATGTTGAGATTTTCCTAAAATCCGTTTTTATCTTTCATATTTCATACTTTGATGTCAATTTTAAGATTACACTGATAAAATATCAATCAGCGTATGTAATGTGAATATTTTGTGTGTGTTTCAGGTCAAAAGAGGTTGGGGCAAACGTGGATGGGGAAAGAGGGGCTGGGGTAAAAGATCGTCAAGTATTGCTGAAAGTTGTGACGAAATGAACCCAGACCTTGTTTACCTAATTTACAAAGCTGTAGAGGTAAGACTCATACTGAATGTTTATGTTCTTTGAAATTACAAATTCTCAGAGAATGAATGTAAAAATATGTAAAAATATTCCAATATGTTTGTTATCTCTCTGATGTCACTCAATTGATTTACTGGTCTATAGTGAGGTATCCATGACTAGTAAATTTCATGTGTAATGCCTGTTATTATGGCGTACTCATGAGTCATGAGAAACGTAACAAAGACCTCGATTCGAATGCTTAATTGTAAATACATGACGGGCAGATTTTACTCTTGTAGTTGCCAAAGACGCTCAGTCGCAAAGTGATTTCGGTCTTTTAACAATGGCCAGAATGAAATCTTCGGTCATATTTGATACCATCAAATCATGAAATCTCGATATTTACTCCATATATAACTTACATCTTATGAAATGTTACACATTAATTGGTAAAGTGACTAAACTTTTAGATATCCCAAAAACCTAACAAAGCAACTTGTCGACGGACTATGACAAAATGATTTTTTTCTGAAAATTTATAAGTACTAGTATTCTTTGGCTTAAATTCTTTTCACATATTGCAAAATATTTTATACAATATCACTTAAAAGATACGAAATGACTAAAGGAATTGTCTTCAATGAAACTGTTTTGCAAGGGTCGACTTATCACCTTGACAACCATTCAGCAAATACCATTTGACCTGCATAATCACTTGGCTTTTTATTCCCTATGATATTTAAAGATTTTTTACTCAACTATGACATTGATCAGCTAATCAGTTTCATTTTGATTCGAACCTGAATATGACGGTATATTTTGTCAATATACGTTGTCGATGGTTAAGCGTGTGTATGTGTCATGCGTGTGGCTATTGTCAGTTTGCAGCTTTTAAAACATTTGTCAACCTTTTGTGCGTTATATTGTTAAACTTATTTTCTCATTCTCCGAACTTTTAAATCTCACAAAAGAAATAAAAGAAGACAGGGTGAGCTTCACCGTGGACTGTATAGGTCCGTGATTTGCAGTTATATGAAATAGCGTATCCCCGATCCTTCATCTGTTGCTATAAACAATTCACCAAACTTAAAACAATAGAAACAACAATTGGGCTTGTGTAACGTTAGTAACAGAAGCGATCTTATTCCATTGTGACGAAATTTCGTTCTTATTGTGTATCAAATATAACAATATCGCATCAAAACATCTGACCAATCAGGGAGCACTTAAAACAATTGAACCGTGACCAACGGCAACAATATATTTAGTCAGTTGGAACCATTCAAGCAACATAAACGTGCTGCTGGTATATGATTTTCGACTGGTTTACCTTCGGATAAAGTTAAAATGTCCAAGCAAACTGATAGAACACCGCCGAGCAAAATAAGGTCATTTATAGGAAGTAGGAACACTTCTCGAATTGGCGTTATATCGGATATAAATCTTCCCAACTTTGCGAGTGGAACAAGCATTCGTACAAATGGTGTACAAAGCTCGGTGCAATTTGTCTCGGAGCGGAGACCTAGTGCAACCATAGCGTATAACAATGGCGTCGCTTCCCGAAGCGATGTTACCATTGAGAGTGTCAGCAGCCTTAACAGTATTAACAGTATTGCCCGAGGCACAAGTTCCTTTTTTGGAAGAGAATCTCAAATTGACGATACCCAAAGACCACCTTCAAGAGCACGCTCCATAACATGGCGACTAAACAGTGGCGACAAAAGGCTACGCCGTAAACAATCAATCGCGCGTAACCTACCTGACAAGTCTGAGAGTTCTCAACTGAGAGACACTTACCTAGATGAAATATATGAGCTTGGCCTCAAACCATATGAATCACGCATCAAAATACAAAACAGATCCAAGATGGGAATATGGCAGCTTATGTTGTATGACTTCCAAACTTGGATAAGGAGAAGAAAACATAGACACGGTGATGACATCCCTATCTTCAGAGAACAAATCAAACTTGTAGAGGGACGATTTGGCTCGGGTGTTGTTTCATTTTTTGTGTTTACACGGTGGATATTCATTCTAAATATCCTACTATCAATTCTATGGTGTTCCATTGTTATCGTGCCAACTGCCATATTCTTCGATTACAACTTAAATCATACGTTTAGTTTGAAAAATCTGCTGGACGGGAAGAACGTATTTGAAGAATCGTGGATGTTTTATGGGAACTATGAAAGTAGAGTGAATGGAATTTATCCATTAGATTTTGCCTATCTCTTCATGATTATAGTGACTTACTTTGGTAGTTTGTTCGTCATATTCAGAAGCATCGGTCACGCCATGGAGGATACAGGCCAATCGGGCGGTGCCAGGTACCCACTGAGCATCAATGCGTTAACGACATGGGATTATTCCCTCACTAACGGCGAGGCTGTCAAGAACCTCAGTCACAGTATAGCAAACTCCATCAGGGACCAAATCTCGGACATCAAAGCGCAAATGAAACTCGACGAGCAGACGGCGAAACAGAAATGGGTGATTTATGCAAAGCGATGTTTGGCATGGTTGATCACTTTTCTTCTAGTTGGAGGAGCATGTACTGCTGTTACATTTTTAGTCATTAACGTTGATACGTTGGCAAAACTTCTCCCAAGCAGCGGAGATACAAGCAGTGATTCTGATGCAAATTTTGTCGAAACATACGGCACGACTTTTGCGTTTGTCTTCATCAACGCCACTGTACCCATGATTATTTACCAGTTACCGAAAATTGAAAAATACATGAAAGGTCGAGTAGAATTGAATATCACCATAGCCAGGGTGTTTTTATTAAGAATGGCCAACCTCTTTGCATTAATCGTGTCGTTGTACAAAAAGGCTCAGAACCAGGATGATGGCGATGTAATCAAATGCGCGGGAACACTAATTGGACAAGAACTCTACAAATTGGTGATCGTCGACACGATTATTCACTTAGTCATCCAATGTTGTTTAAAGTTCGTATCATACTGGTGGTCTCGAGAAAAGCAGGAATTCAAGATGTCTTCCAACGTGCTGGTGATTATATATCGCCAAGCTTTAATTTGGACTGGAACTTTGACCTGTCCTGTATTGCCGTTTATCGGAGTCATTTCTAATCTCATATTTTTCATCTACAGTTACAGTATTGTTATGGTAACATGTAAGCCACCAACAAAGCGATGGAATCAATCAAGAAGGAGCTCGTTCTTCCAAGGCCTTTTGGCGGCAACCTTGATTCTCTTGTTGCTACCAGTAGCTGTCATCATTAGCAATACCTCCGTTATTAACATCGGTCTCACTAACCAAGTTGGTATCTTCTGTGGACCATTTGAAAACCACACCATACTAAATACACTTATTACCCCCAAGGATGACGTCCCACACCTGATGGTTCACGTCTTCACGTGGTTGTCGTCTGCGGCGGTCATTCTTCCCGCCATGTTTGTCATGCTTGCAATCATCTACTTTCTCAAGATGCGCTTAAATAAAGAACAGACTACCAGATTTGTTCTGGAAGAGGATTTGCAACTTGAACTCGATGAAAAGAGAGAACGGCACAAACGACTGAAGAAATTCAGGGACCTGACCTACTAAGTATACTCCTCTTATTGACGCAGTGACGGGGACGTTGGGAAACAGGTTTTGTGCCGCCTTCTGACTTGTGAATGAGAAATACAGAAATGTATTTAATATATCAAAAGAAAGCCATGGATTAAATGTTGTGTCAACGAGCATGGAACCAATATCTTTATGTTAATTAACCTTCCCAAACATAGCCAAATTTTAAGGATCCACAGATCCATTGTTCTTTAACAGATTTACTGATTTCTGCAATTTAGACACATGATTTGGTCGATCCGTGCAATGGATGAAATTGGATATAAAATAATCTTAGGTGAGGATCCTGAAGGATAAACCTTCAATTCATCTCCAGAGGGTGAGGACACTCTCGTCTAATCTATTTCCAATTAAAGTACCCGATGTGTGAATGTTGCGATCTGCTTAACTGATTTATTAACACGTTGGGGTTCTGCAGGAACTGACATCTAAATTATAATTAGAACACGATTTCTTCTCTGTAAATGTAATATCACTCTATCATCTTAGATTGATCTATCTAATTTACAATTATTTGCCGATAATTATGAGAATATACCTGGGCGTATGGTCTGGTGGTAGCTAAGCTATAGCAAGAGGCAGGTACACGTACAAGACAATATTAATATCATCTTCAAAAGAAAATTAAAGACATATTCCACCTAAAACTAAGAACACACATACAAATAATGTCACATAGAAGTATAGTATATTTTACCTCGCCCACTACAACTTTTTGATCCTTCCCCCGACAGAAATAATCTGAAATTCGTGATGAAATAATTCGCCGTACAAACGTTCACTATGTTCGAAATATCCCTACAAATTCAAATATTTTAAACAAATGGTAAAGATAAAAAATGGTGATACAGAAACACAGTAGGAGCTCGAGCAATTTCTACCTTTTAGCAATTCCATAGATGTGGAAAGAGATTCTGAATCTATTTAGATTAGCATTGGTGATGATATTATATTTCACATTTTCGATGATGACGATGATAAAACATACTTTAAAAGCCAATATATTCGTTAGCGTAATATGTTATTGTAAATTAAAATTGTAAATGTGCTCACTATATGTGTGGTAATAAAGAACACAAATACATTACAATGCAATACACTACACTACATTACAATACAACACGTTTAACAAATTTCCCGAAAAAACGTAAAGGGGTCATTCTATACCTCACCTATCACATCGCAAACGTTAGTTAGATGCTCTCTGGTTGAGGAAGAACACTCTATGGTATACCATGATCCTTATAATATTGGTAGAGTGATTAGTTTAAATTCTTTACTTTCAGGCTGAGGCCCAGAGGATGAACAGTTGCAATAAGGTAGATTCATAGGGCACCTTGGCCTGTTTCCTTCTCCACTTTTGACAATGGTAAGTACCCCAGAGAAGGACAGATCATATATTTGTCATAAGAAAATAGATGCGTGTATAGCCTACTGATCTACCTAGGCTAATTCTAGTCTCTAAATCCATTCGTTTTAAATTTCAAGATCAAACCCTATATTATTTTAAAATGTTGAAATCAGGTAATTACGATAATAGAAATGAGATTTTTAAATCTCTAATAGCAAATGTAAAATCATTTGAAATCATTAGAGCTTCACCCTATGCTTAGTGAGCGGAGCTAATTTCAAGGGTGATGGTAAAGACGAGGCAGGGCGCCCAAAAACCAAAGAATATTAGTACCATAATCTTTTAAGTCGTATTATTGCAGCATAAGGTGATGATATTGTGATATTTAATGCTGTTTTAGAAGTGAAAGATGTTAAACTATGCATACCGTTTGTTTTACATCCAATAAAACGAATAGTTAAGATGTAACAGTCGTTTAAAGATACAATTTGAATTTACCGCAAGAAATTACAACCTAATATTGTCAATATGTCAATAATTCCTGATCGATGTCACATATAAAGTTATATGTACCTAGATATGTTTTATATTGTCATATATGCGAAATAAGGCGGTCTCTAGTTATGCACATCCAATACAAAATAATTGTTTACTATTCGGCGATCAGAATTTCGATGACGAGCAATGGCGATGTAATTTGCTAGGAGGAGTGGCTATGGGCAAGCACTTAGCTGCTACGTGTACTGCTAAATTCAGCTCAAATGTACACTGTCAATTAATAAATTAATGAATTTGGGCAAGGTTGTCATAGGCTTCAATCAATGGTAAAAACTTGCAAAACATGTAGTCACTTGATTTTATGATTTATCAAAAAGTGTTGGTTGTTGAACGAATAAATAGAATAACTTACTTAAAAGAATTTTAAAATTGTATAAATGGTAACTGGCCCACACTTTTTTTTAACAAATGTTGACAAAGTCGTAAAAAATCAGACGCATGACAGATGTAGTCAGAGATTGTTGATGTCAAAGGTTGTTAACATGGCAGGTGTATTCAGAAATGGTTAACATAATAAATGAAGTCAGACTTTATTTACATGACAGGTGTAGTCAGAGGCTGTTAACATGGCAGATAGAGTCAGAGATTGTTAACATGACAGATGTAGTCAGAGGTTGTTAATATGACAGATGTAGTCAGAGATTGTTAACATGACAGATGTAGTCAGAGGTTGTTAACATAACAGATGTAGTCAGAGGTTGTTACCACATGAGAAAAATTTCTTGTAATTAATTTTATTATTCCGTTGACATTAACGATTTTTCGAATTTTCATTTCATTTGTAGGGTGTTTATTGATCAGGTGGTGTATTATTTCATCAAACTCTTTTGATTTTCCGTGACATGGTAGTACTACACTGGAATCCCACATATCTGAAAATAAACAGGATAAATGTAATCCCTATTCCACGGCTCGTCCAGTCCAAACATGCTTTTATTCCCATAACCATTGCTCTTCCTTTCGAGGAATCAAAATCTCCTGATTTGACTGCAATTACGGCTCAAATAGGGAAATGGATGGGTTAACGATATAAATACGTTAATCAACAATAATTACATGCAATATCAAGGAATTCTATGTAGGAGAAGTATCATTATTTTGAAAATAATCGAAAAAAAAATATGCAGGAAATTAATTTTTCTTTTCACATCACTTCGTATCCGTTTCACATATAAGTATGAATCTTTCTTACATTACAAATCTTATTATGGGCATCTGAAGCATCAGTGCACCTAGTTACAGGCCAGCACAAGGCCAATAAAGAGTAGAACTTAGAGAAATAAACTTACTGTTGGTCCGCCATAGTTAGGTTTGGGCGCCCTGCCTCGTCTTTACCATCACCCTTTAAATTAGCTCCGCTCACTAAGCATAGGGTGAGCTTGCAAAGTGTTGTCATTTTTAAGCTGCTTGCACTAGACGTGGGCATACTATTCTCAACTTAAGTTCTAATTTTAAGCCCTCATTTCACTGCAAAGTACCCTGTTTTTTAATTTTAGTTTTATACCTTTTTTTATTGACTTGTTGGTCATTGGTTCTGAGTAGGAAGACCACATAGTTCAACTTGGTGATTTGCGTCATTTTTATACACACTTTTATATCTGTTATCCTAACGAATGGTCTTAGTTCAAAGGTGACATTATTACTTTGGATAACTTTATGTTCATTTCAGACTATAAAATTAATTAGTAAAGTATTAAACATGTTAAAGGGACTTGGCTACTCTAAGTCCTTGTAATCGTACCAATGATGATTTAGAGTACAATATTAGTCTTTATTTTATGAGCCAAGACAAAACTAATCAAACAATAAATCAAAATTTTGAGACAAATAATTAGGAAATTCTGCATTCCACACTTAGAGTTGTCAAATTTTGTTCACAATAAACAATGTTTCATATTCTACGCAAAATATACCTGAAAAAGGCAATTAACACAATCGGATTTTAATTATCCATAATTTATCAAATCATATCTAGACTGAGGGTGTAGAAACGTTTTGCGTGCAAAATATGAATGTATTTTACCATATAATGTTTCACTTTGGTCTTTTGTACGTATGTATATAAGGGTTATGTACTGGGAGGTTTTGGATACAGAGTTTATCCCAAGGGAAATATGTGTATCTCACGAGGGACCGCAGGGACCGAGGGAGATACACATATTTCCCGCGGGATAAACACTGTATCCAAAACCGAGCGTACATAACTGGTGTATCTCATACTTGAGTGGGTTTGGGGTAGATATAACCTTTACCACCTTTTTCAAATGACAAGATAGGCCTATACTGTAAAAGCACAATTTATATTTAACATTTTCATAATATTCCTTCAGTTCAATACAATAGAATTGTAACATTTAAACTTTTTGAAAAATTTTAAACTTCTGAAATTTACATTTTAAAATTTTTTAAACTTTTTTAAACTTTTGAAAAAATTCCCGGGAGCGGGATGGATATATTATATCTGCCCGCATTTGGCCTAGAGTGGGACATATTCAATATATCTTGCCCGCTCCTCAGATATGATATATATTCCCGGGTGATATCTACCCCAAACCCACTCAAGTATGAAATACATATAAGTACTCATATATATATTATATGTATATATTATTAATACAAAAATACATGTATACATATTGTAAAGAGTCCCTCGTTCTCGCAGCGTTTTGGTCCCCAGCTGTTAGAAGGCCTTCTTACAACTGGGGACCAAAATGCCGCTGGAAGTAGGGACTCGGTTGAAGAGAATAATGTACCATCAGAAAGGGATTTGTGTTATGCTTTGAATGGAACAAGTTTGAAAAAAACGGTGCAGTATGAGACTTATAATCCTTGATTTTCAAACATCCGGTGGTCAAAAATTCAAATTAACGGTCGAAGTTAGGACCGCGTGATAATGTTAACTTACTATATATTATAGAGTGTTAATTTACTATATATAATTTTTATTTATTGGACTATGTATCCAATTTTCCTACTTCTGTTTTATCATTCTGAATAAATCATCTTGATGATCTGTTGTTTTTGTCTTCCAGAATCTTCCTGTTCTATACTACAAACCACTGCTAACTAAAACAAAAGATTCCAACCACCATTGACATGATCCTACAAACTGAATACTCCCTCCAGATAAGAAGATCAACAACTTCCACAGTTGCCAAGACAATGGCTGATATCACCATTGATAATACAAAAAGACACTTTACACTTTTGGAACAATTCATATTTAGAGAAAAATCTGACTTCTGAACAGCACTGAACATATGAACTGACTTTTAGGATTCTTCTTACTATTTCAATTCTTAGTGTTCTGATATGTACATACCATCTTTACACTTATAGGAGGATGATACCTCGTCTATATTTCATGCATTGACAATGACAAACTATACTGTAAATAAAAGCAATATTTTAGACATTAGTAAGCAAGCAAAAGAATGTTATCAACATTTTAGTGATTTAAGTGAAAGTCATATATCAAAAGAAAGTCTGTGAAGTGAAGGTTGTGTTAGACATGTGATTGTTCTACCAAATAAAACCACATGAAACCTATATTCATATTTCCATTTTTTTATGATAGACTACCCCGTGGCATCCTCCAGGGGAATGAGCTGATTTAAGGAGAGTAGTATTCTCCATATATTCTGATAAAGATGCTCTCATTTTGTGATTTTATAGACTATGTAATTACACATACAATGCTAAAACATTACAGCTATATCTTAATTTAATTTTGAGAAAATGTTGCCATGGTAACCTGTATTTTGGGTAGGCAGGTCAGTTATATTATACATATAGAATACTAGAATATGAATTTAATCATAGTGTTCTCTGTCCGGAAGCTCTTCTTGCAACCAGATCGTGGATGATCTTCAACAGTGACCATGCTTTCTTCAAATTTGCAATACTACCTCTTACTTTTTCTTGATAGTACATAAAATCTTATGTTACTCTAATGTCATACTCTGCATCAGCCACACTAACCTCATCTGACATTTTGATTTTTGGTGTGTCTCATAACATGTAATGCCAATTGGCCCATTCTGTCATACAGTGCTATTATGAGCTGTTGTGATGTTACAGTGAGCACAAATAAACATTTGTTTAGCAACAAACAATGGGCAACAATGCCAAACCTTTTTGAAAAAATGTATAATTTCCGCATGCTTTAAAATAATCAAAATAACAAGTTATTATGATATTTTATAGGTTTTTATTTGACTTGCCTACCCTTGATACAGGTTACCATGGCAACCTTACATATCTCTAAATTAATTTAAGATATAGTTTTAATATTTTAGCATTGTATGTGTAATTACATGTTCTGAAAAAATGAGAGGGATATGTGAAAAAAACAAAAATGAGAGCATTTTTATCAAAATATATTGACCGCCCGTTGTATAGACAATGGCCATGGGCAAAGCTAGACAAGGCCTCCCCAAAAACTGAGGAAATGAAATCATATTTGCCCAGCCTATAACTTCTGCCTTGCCTAATTTTAAATCAAGGCTATGTCCCTGTACTGGTGTGAGCAAATCAAACAGCAATTAAACTCAACTGATGCAGATATAAAACCACAACTGAGAATAATTTACCAGTATGAGAGCCATTTTTCTGGTTCATTTTCAACATCATCCAACTGACTTACTGATTCAAAGGTATTTCTAAATATTCTCTTGCATACATGTTAGTGAATGTAGCTAGCTATCCATTTTACAAGTCCCCATATAAAGTTTAAACCACTTTGGCTTATATTGTAGTCTTACCCAATGTTATCAAAGTCTGAAAAGTGAAACTTTTTTGTTTAATTTCAAAAAGAGGTTTTTGAAGGACTAAATTTTAGAGGTCACACATATCTTTTAATAGCGTTCATCCTCACATATTTTTTTCCGAAAAAATTAAGAAAATTGGTTCATAAATAAGCGAGAAATGAACTCATTCATACATGAAAATGGTTCAGAGAGGAATGCATCTCAAAATTTTAGTTCTCATAGAGTACAATAATATTTAAATTGAAACATAATATATTCTTCCTTTTTAACCTGGTTAGACAATCAACAATGGTTTACTTATGAAGTTAAGGATATTTAGAAAAGAATGACATGGAAAAAATTTCAAAGAATAGGTATCGATATGGCGAACTTTTTGAACACACGTTTCTCTTAAACCAGTCATCAAAAATTTCTGAAAATCTTACAAATTGTCAATTTAATGGCCATCTTTTGAATGGTAACAATATAATATGAAATAGATATACATACTTTCATCTATATTGTTTTAAAAAACACATCAAACACTTGTTTTGTTTTTGGTATCATGTTTCCAGAGTGAAATGAAATATCTTTCCGAACCTCATTGGAACAAAACGACATAAACACAAAATGTTTAGGTCTCTCAATATTGTAATTGTACAAAGGAAACTTTGGTTGATTTTAAAAAAGTATCTTGTTAATGAAATAAAAGGTTTTTCTTGATTTTTATCTATTTTGGGGGAATTTTGTTTTAATTTTTTGAATACTTTTTTAAAATCAACCAAAAATTCATTTGTATAACTTTAATATTGAGAGGTCTAAAAACATGTTGTATATGCTATTTTGTTCCAACGAGGTTCAGAAAGACATTTTATTTCATTCTGAAGAATTGGGAGAAAGGAGCAAAAACAATTGCACTAAAAAACAAAAAATGTTAACAAAAACAGTTATATAAAATATTTCTAAATAATTTTCGCATTAAATTGTTGTCAATCAGCCAATATTACATAAAATACCATGTTATTTTACAGAATGTTTTCAATGATTGGTTTAAGAGAAAAACATTGATGGATTCAGTTCTCCATATCAATACCTATCCTTTCGAGAAGTTTTTGCCACTAAGTGATATCACGATGAGGTCACTTAGGTTGCAAAATATTTTTGATATGTTAAAACATTGAAGTGGCACATTAGATATGACATTTTATTTTTGAAATAGTGCATCCTTTGTTCAATATTTGCATTGGTCTTAAAAAGATAATATAAAACTATTTTGAATAAATAAAATGTTTTTGAAGGAATTTTTTATTAAATAAATTGAATTTATTTTTTCAGCTATTGTTCAGTAAAATTATACAAATAAAATGAAGAACTATAATCAATTGGACATAAATAATAAAATATGTATGACTCTTGATTAAATAATGATTTCTAATTTTTCTAATGTACATGTAGCTTGTTTCTCATAACAATGGGAGAAATGGGGGTAGAAATGGACCCTTTTTAAAATGTTTGATTACAAATCACCCTCACAGATTATCAAAAAATGGGGCTTAAATTGTCAAAATTTGGGCCCAGGTGTCCCCTCCTTGTTAGCTTCTGGATCAGCCAGTGAACAAATATCTTGAATGTTAAATTTGACTGTTTATGTGTACGGTCATTTACTAATATCACAATCATGGTCTTTTCACAATGATCAAAACATCTGTTTTCAAGAAGTACTTCTTAAATCATAGAATCTCAGTTTCATCCCTTAAATTTAAATACCAATACGAGATTACATTTTTATTTTATGACCTGCAGCATATATCAGTAAAAAGTATTACAAAAACTATTCTTATGCCCAGATTGTTTACAAACTGTATAAGCTTTATTTTGAAATGAGATTGCATTATCATGATATCATGATTTTAACCTGGGGGTTCACTGTATACAAAAATCTGCGGGGGTCCTAGCCTGAACCATCAGATATCAATATGTTCCCATACCAATCTGTCAAATTTCAATGTGTTCCCATACCAACCAAAATAATGCCCAAAAGCCATACCAACTGTTCAAATATAAGCCCAATGCCATACCAAATGTCCAATTATGGGACCAATGCCAAACCAAATATCCCAAAATATAAGACCAAGGGCATTCAAAATGTCTAAAGCCAGATCTTTGAGGAATATGATCCAAAACAACCTCAAATTAAGGACATGTGTAAAAACTAGACCAATGCCATAGGACAAGTGAGAGGTAACATATTTTCCAAGACCATTCTCTTACAAGTGGAATAATCAGACCATTATCATACCTCAAGTCATACCAGATCCTAAAATTTGAGTTCATTGCCATACCAAATGTCGAAAAAGGTACCCCATGTGTGCTGAGGTTTATATACAAGAAACCCTCCGGGGATTTTAAGAGCTTTATCTTACTTTGTAATTCTCTTAATAAATGCTGCATTCATACAGATTCTATACTTTCCTTACTGAATGCAAGAAAACTCAATTTCACCCATGGGAGGGCCAAAAAAGTCCATATTCTTTAATTTTCCTATAACTTCTTTACAATGCATGTATTTTAGCAGAAGATGCAGCAATACAATTAATAATAATATCTATAACAATATTTGAATAAAAACACTCAATATGAGTGTGAATGTCTAAGTTTCAAGGTACTACTTGATGTTTACAGTGATTTTAGATATCTCCCATGAATTGGAACCAGAGGGACATCATGTTAAACAGTCTGTAAGACACACATTACATATAGTGGTTACACTATTGTAATTCATGTTTCTGTTAAAAATTGAAGCATGGGAAGTGTATTAAGACCAGTTAGGAAGATTTGATGGATGGACTGGTCTGATCTAGCATGAAAAAAGCAAAACTGGTTGGGAAAAATGATGAGTGAAAAATGATGAGTCAAATGTTATAATTTTGGTAAGGAAGATAAGCAAAGAATTAACTTAAAGGGGTATTCCTTGCCAGACCATCTCTCTCCTAATATGGTAGCTATAACCATATACATACTTACAAGTTTATCAAAAAACAGAAAAATGTTTTGAAATGGTCAATATTGATCACTTAAAAATGTAGTGCTCAATTCCAGTAGGCTGCCATCTTTTAAAATTTCACTCAGGAAGTGATGTCATCGACTCTCAACTTTGCATTTAACATTAGGTAAGGAGCTATTAGAATTACTTAACCAGCTGAATATTTTTTTCAATTTGGTCTATGATTAAAATCCTTTTGATGATCTCTTTTTTATTAGTTCTAAGTTGACACTCCTGAAAATATTTTTACTCAGAAGATAAGGGCTTCTTGTTTAGAAGTGATTTTGTACTTCTTTCCTATACTGTAATAGACAAGGTTATAACAGGTGAGAGTCGATGACATCACTTCCTGAAAGAAATCTGAAAAGATGGCAGCTTACGGGGAATGAGTACTACATTTTTAAATGATCAATATTGACCATATGAAAACATTTTCCCGTGCTAAATGTAAAGTATATATATGATTGTAGCTACCATATCAGGAGAGAAATAGTCTGGCAAGGAATATTCCTTTAAGTCATGTAAAACAGTGACAAAATGTTTTTTTTTAACTGATCTTCATTACCAAATTAAGAATATTTTCCATATACAGGGACATTTTCCCATTTACCTTTTTTCTCATTTTCTTGATGCTAAACTAGTGATTCTTCCTCAAACTTATAAGCCTATAAGGATTCTTTAAATATTCCATTTTTGCCTTGAAATCCTTTGAGAATATACTAAACACCATTTGCTTTGAATGTTATCCTAACAACTGTATATTTTCATTTTGATCTCTAGTGTCTATTAACCTTTCCTGGAGAAACCCCTGATGGAAATCTCATTTGAAGAACAGTTGCGAACATGATTCCTGCATCTACATGTACATTAAAGCTATTTCCAAAATATATGCGATATTAAAAAAAAAAGTCATCACTAAATGAAAAAACATAGACATTTTGGCCCACCCTGTTATATAAACTAGAAGATATACAGAAGCATATGAATTCAATTTGTCATACTAGTAAACATGCCTCACTGATACTGTGAGCAGATCTGCATTCATATATACATGGAGTTATATTAATAGGTCAACTATCATCATATTTAGAGGTTGAAGAACAAGACTATACTTATAAGATAGCAAATACAAGTTTTTGTGCGGCAATTGGTCATATATTCAGTGTCGTTGCTATATCTAGTGGGGGTACCATGATATGAGAGATAAAAAATCAATACGATTCATACAATCATCTTTTACAATACACATGTTCAAAAATAAAAAAAAGAGAGTCAAATCACTCAAAAGTTCATTATGTGAAAATGACTGATGGTGAAATAACAGTAAGTAACATTTTCCAAGTCCAAGTCCAAACAGAGTCCAAGTCACTCAATTTCTGGCGTCAAACTTTTTGCATAAGTTTCCTCTATTTTTAACATTATTTGCTATTTATCAAAACCCATGAGGTAGAAGATGACTTAAGCAGTATCCTTATATTTGGTATACTCACTGTTATCAAAGGCACAAAATAAAAACTTTGTGGTGACATTTTCTAAATATACATTAGGTAGATTTAAGCTGTAATTGCACTTTAAAGCAAAGAGCAGGGTCTATATATCATGTTAGGCTCACAACTCTAAATTGATTATTAAAGGGAGAATCAGATCCATAGGGAGATAGTGACAAAATTGCAAGCAATGTACATAGCTGACCTACCAATATTTTCATTTTTTATATTTTCCTATTTTCTTCAAGTATGATATTTCCCCAAAGGTCTACAATATGTTATAAATTGGATAATAAAAAAATGAGTGTATTATTTATTGTAAAGATCTTTAGTTTTCCTCAAATATACCACACATGAATATAAATATTGGTGAAATTATCACTATATACTATTATCCCCAATAATGTGGAGTTATACAGTAAAACCTGTCTAAGTGGAACACATTTGGTACCTATAAAAAGTGTTCCACTTGGGAGGTGTTCCACTTATAGAGGTTCACTTAACATTAAGTCAGTTGACCTTGGGATTCTTGAGAACTGTTGCACTAACAGAGGTGTTCCACTTCAAGAGGTGTTCCACTTTACAGGTTTCACTGTACTTGCTTTTGAAGCTTGAAAGATGCCATGATACCTTGAACTTCTCCCACAGAAAACAACTACAAATACCATTATTAGTAGGAGGATTCAGAAATAGATGTAATACCTTGTCAACAGACACACAGAATTAAGTAATAATGTTATTTTGAAATTCCTTCTTCACTATAGATGTTTTCTGTGAGGGTGGTTTGCAATCAAACATTTTAACAGTAAAAAAACCCATATTTATGGCTTAATACAATAAAGGACCCACGGTCCTGTGCTCACACAGTGTAGTGGATATGCATAAAATGAATGTGGATATCACTCAATCTGAATAGCAGTATTAATTTGTGCGGCCAATGTTGACAGACGGACGGACTTCGTTTACTACTCACTTTCTTAGTTACTCAGTACTCAATTTATGTACTCAGTTTAAGACTTAGGTACCTAGTCAGTTTTTTAGTTACTCAGTACTCAGTTTCTCAAGTCAGATTTGCCTATCAGTTTAAGTTAGTCAATTGTTCAGTTAGTCAATTAATTTGACTTTTTGACGTCAAAATAGGCAATTTCTCGGAAACTGGGCAAACTTGAGAAATGGCGATGATAGGTCAAACAGGCATTATGGATATGCATAAAATGAATGTGAATATGACTCAATATGATCAGCAGTTTTAATTTGTGCAGCCAATGATGATTAACTTTATACATGATAAAGTTTCCTGAAAATGACTAAGTCCTACTTTTTGTCAAATTTTATAGAGTAAACACCAAAAACTGTAATTTCAAGAGCTTTGAAATCTTCAGAGAACATAAGTTGCATATACAGCAACTACTACAAGTTATTTGAAAGTTCTACTTCAACAAAGTGTCTAGTATTTAAAGAAAATTTGACTTTTTGATGTCAAAATCATCAATTTCTCAGAAACCGGGCAAACTTGGGAAATGGCGATGATAGGTCAAATAGGCATTATGGATATGCATAAAATGAATGTGGATATGACTCAATCTGAATAGCAGTTTAAATTTGTGCAGCCAATGTTGACAGACGGACCGACAGATGGACCAATGGATGGACGGACGGATGCCTGGTCGATCCCATAGGCTCACTGTGTGAGCCAAAAAGTACTATAATGTATACTGATTTATTTCAAACTTCAAATGGAATTTTTGATTGAACTGTAGGTAGAAAAGCATTTAATTTACTGTTAACCCACTTCTTTTTTGAAAGTTCACTTTGGCTGTGAAACATCTTTAAAGGTACCAAGGGTGTTCCTCTCACACATGTTTAACTGTGTAAATATATATACAAATATTGGCAATGGCTCAACTGACTGCCACATATTTAAAGACAGATTTTATATACCAAACAGTATAAATAAATACACTGGACATATAGCAATAGATGATGGCCAGACAACATTCTATGTGACGATACCTTTAATTACAGACCACTCTCAGGATAATAAGACCTCACCCCAATAAAAGCTATAGTTAACAAGTTAACCACTACTTCCAGTAATTTATACTCATGGGGAGGAAACATCAGATTAACGAAAATTACTTTTGCAAGAAGAGTACACCAATTAAACCAGTTTTCAACAATATGTCTCAATAACTTACAGAATTCAATATTTTAGAAATGAAACCAAATGATATTATCACTTTATTTTTAACAATTTATTGTGTACAAATAAATACCAATTAATCATGATTTATACAAGGTGGTCAATTCAATATTTCTTATTTTTTCTAGTGATATTTACAAATGACTGCCTTGTATAAATGAATGACAATTTACAAGAAATATTGCTATGCCGAAGTTTCACCGAGAAGTTTCTGCATTGTATCCATATTATCAGGATTGAGATTGATTAACTGATTACTAGATTCGGCCAATTCTACAATAGATACACGTCCACGCTGTTTGATAAATTTTGCGACAGCTTCAAGTTCATCCTGCGTGATATATATAAACTTTCCTCTGTCATCCATGACTCCAGATAATTGACCATCCTCCAGGAGATCATTTACTCTGTCTATACATTCCTGAAAGAAAACATGTCTCAATAACATTTAACCATTCATCTTTCACTGATAAAAAAAATTTTAAAATCAAAAAGATCTTATCTTTACAACACATCAAATCTGAGACATTTTATATTTAAACAATATGGTATTTTTAAAAATAAAAATAGTATTGGACAAAAACTACAAATTGTAAACAGAAACTTCTGAATTTACAAAATTATCTCAAATATGTAATAAATACTGACAGTATTCCCAAAAATATATTTTTTTCAGAAAGAAAAAAATTTCAGCCTTCTTTGAGGCTAGAAAGCCCAAGGTTTATAACATATAATAAATCATGTTTATTTCAGAATTTTCACATGGATTGCCTTAATACCCAATTAATTATAGAATATACAAAACAAGACCAGATTCTCATCACATTACAACTGAATACACCTGATACATTCTGAAAACTGGAAAACAGCAACTCTGCAGAGTAGCAAATTCCACCGAACAAAACATATTAAATTAAATCTCAAGTCACTCTGGACATTACATAACAAAAGTAACCAAGAAGTAGTCGAGTAGCATTGTCTCCTTTTGGCAGAGGTCCTACAAAATTTTGGCATAAGCCTATAAAATTCTGGACAAAATCTGTCAACTGGTACTCTAGAGATTGAGTTGTGGCCTGAACACATGAACGACTGACGGATGGACAGAAGAATGGATGGACAGACGGACAGATGAACGGATGGATAGACAGACAGACGAATGGATGGATAGACGACCGAACCGACGAATGGGTTCTCTATAACCCTACCAAACTTTGTCAGATGGGATAATAATTATGCATATAACAGTAATCAGAGAAATGGCCAAGAATCATAAAATTGACAAATGGCCGCTTAAAATAGACCACACAATAGACCACACAATAGATTGTAATTTCAACCAATTTGAGGTTGCTGAAGTACTACAGGCATTTTTTCTGTGATAAATTATTGTTAATCGTCCAATTATCGAGCTGACTAAATTATCATTGGGCAACCTTGAAATTTGTAAAATGGCCTTCACATAATAATAATAATTAATGTCAGAATTATAAGTTATAAGGGATGACAAAATAGCAAACAATATGTGTATGTGTAATTGACCAGCCAATATATTCATTACCATCTCAAATATGTACAGCATGTACAAAATACAAAATAAACACATTTCGTGATAAAAAAGCTATTTGTCCATCCATCCATCCATCTGTCTGGGTGAAAACTCAAATAAAAGTTGACAGATTTGTTTCAAATTTTATAAGGTGACACCTTGTAGGTGAGACACTCTGCTCTGAAGGAATTTCCAATATGGACACGGTCACCTTTAAAATATATAATCCTTGTTTTCTCAAATATAAGAACATGGATTCGATTTAATCTTTATATGCAAGTATATTAGGATCATAGAACCTCTACCCAAAAAGGAATTTTTAAAGTGGCCACTAATTTCAAAATGGCTCCAATTCTTTTTACGAAAGATGTAGCTTTTGATTTCAAAACTGGTTATAAGATTTGTAAAAATTGGATAGGTTATATCTAGTGGGAATAGGTCCTCTGTTTGAGAAGGAAATGAAATGGACAAATAGAAATTAAAATTTTCTGTTTATAACAAAGTAAAATAATACAATCAAAAATTCGTCCATTCGCCATCGGTAATTGAAAAATAGGCTTCATTATCATCAGCCTCTGAAACGCATTCAAGTGAGATATTCAATTTGCTCAAATAAGGGCTTTTTGAAATATTGTAATGATTTTCTGACTTCCCATTTTAATCAATTACAGTGGCGTAGGAACAATGTACGCCAAAACGCCAGTGCGTAGTGTTGAAAAGTGAGAATAAAAAGGCTTATTAATTTTCCTATGTTCTTTATTCATATTTTCTCATTGTATTGTCCAAAAGTAATCTCGAGCACACTAGCCTAAAGAAATGTTTTGTGGATACCATATGATATGCTCGTTTTTTCAATAGTACTCTTTTGTATGTTTTTGTGCCTCTGTTATTTTTCTAATCTGGGCCACAGATAAATAACACTTTTTGAAAAATAAAATATTGAAAGTTTCCTTGTTTCTATAATTCTAATCCTAGAAAATGCAAAAAGTAACATGCTTTATTTCATGATAATCGAGCCACTATTGACTATCTTATGGATTTTAAAACTAAAATACAATTTCGCCAAATATTCGTGATTCGCGTTCTCTTCACGAATTTGAGAAAAAACAGTTTTTTTCAAAAACTACTTGATGAATACCTTTGCAATTTTTTGCACATGTTCTGTAATGCTTATGCAATCAAACTGTGGTCTCGTTTAATTATAATGATAAGCCTCTTTAATTGAGATGTATATTTTTTTTATTCTCCTCTACCCCCAATTTTTCAATTTCACAATATCGATTTATATTCCGTTGCTAGGCAAAATCATAGACAGAAATTATAGTTAAGTCAGCAATTATCTATTTTCTTACTAAATCACCAATTGTTATTGGTAGTACTTCTTGAAATATGAATGTTAAAGACAAAAACAACTTGAAAATGTTGATTACTCAAATACGCGTTCCATCGATTTCAGGTCTAGAAAAGCTATTACCTAGATTTTTATTTCATTTGAAAGATAATAGATTATTGTTTTAGGAAATATAACATTTTTGGCACCCCTTAAGTCACGTTGACCTCGATTTGACCTTTGTGGTGGGAAGTTTATTTGGCCTTGCGAATTAGTGTTATAAAAAAGGTTGCAGACATTGATGGAATCAGACAATACTATATCTCAATTTAATTATTCGAAAATGATTAAAAATCGAGACATAAGAAAAGTGAGAATGATTTGTGATTTTCCATGGCGATTTTAAATGATGAAAATCATTCGAACATTTTAAGCACATTAAAAGGGGCATCAAGGATTTTAAGCTTGCATATAAAATCGAAACGCCAACCTATACGTATGACCAATCGCCCATACAAATGCATCGCTTAAACATTTCCGTTCACATTTAGGTTATGAAAACATTGCATTCTATTGCCATAAAATGACGTTTAACGAGCATAAAATAGGCGTTTTAATATAGAATATTTGACACAATTGTTTCATAGTTTTGGAGGGATTTTTTGGCGTAGTGTTGAATTTACACCTTCCTACGCCCCTGAATTAAGTACTAATTCAAAAAGTGTACACAAAGTGTACACAAAGATCTTGTAGATGGGGTAGATGGCCAAAATCATTATAGATTTTTTTATAGATATTCAATTTATTTCATTACTTAGAGTGTACAAAACAGCTTGTAAATGGCCTTAATGATCAAAGTATTATGCATATGCACATATCATACCTGTGTTTTCAATTTGAAGTGTGTAGCAAGGTCTTCCAGCATGACAACTTTCATCTGTTTTATATATTCAATGAATTCATGCAGTAATGATTGTTGCTGAAATAACAAAAATAAATTCATAGATGATGATGAAAACCAAAGTACATGTATTATATGACTGCTAGAATTCCAGTATTTACTGAATCAGATAAAAAAAACTAATTCTGAATATTTTACATCATGATTCCCAAGGCTACAAGTAATGCAAACAGCCAAGTGTAACTAAAAACAGTCCCTGATCTAATTTTTCTAAGAGCTCTAGATAAGGAGCTTGCTGTCCGGGTGTAAGCCACAAAAACCATATACTGCATATATGTGTTCCTATTTGTATACTCTACACTGACTTATGTTATATTTTTTCCAGTAACAGGGGGTTTCACTTAGAAAAAAGAGGATTTGGGGATATGTGCTATTGACTTAACATGGGGATATCATCATATTTCTAAGCCATCATAGATATTTATTTGATTACTATTGCAGACATTTGCATCCGGTGGGAACCATCTTTTTGACATGACTTATTCTTATCAAAATCAATCGATATCATACTTAGAGGTTATGTCACTATGACGTGAAATATGCCTGAGTTCTCCCAATATAGGCCGATCTTGGGAGGCTCTATATTTGGGCAAGAACGAAGGCATATTTCACGTCATAGTGACATAACTGATGTATTACATGCCTTTGTTCCCATGGTTACTTTGTATCAATGACGTGACGTCATGATATTATCATGGTTATTAAAGAAATCTAATATCAAAACGAGGTAAGCGGGCTATATCGGGGTAATCGGGCAATATCGGTGGATATAGCTCGCTAACTTTCCCATTGACTTCCATACAAATGCTTCGCTAGGTATGTAATATGATTTTAAAAAATTGAAGTTGGTCTAAACAGTATTTGACAAGTTATTGGTAGTTTTTAGAATTTGTTACAGATGCCAACCACCAACCACCAACTGCTGCTTGCCAACTGTCGTCAAAAAAATGGAGACCATAACAATATGTCACCACTTTTGGTGGTGACATAAAATATATACAAAAAGTTGTTTTTAGAAGGCAACCTTGTGTGACCCCATTTTAGAGGCAAAAGCGCCCTATTACAATCAAAACGAAATATATTTCCTTAATAAGGGAAGTCTGTACAGAAATGGTATGCTCATTTTTTGTGGGGGAGTACCTCAGGTTGATCACAAACTAATTTATCAAGCTAATAGCCTTATGTGTAAACAATTAAATCAAACCTGTGATGGGTATAGGATTGAAATGCTTCACATATTTTGTATTAAGAGAATTTTTCTTTATTTTTACTTATCTTTGCATACTATCATACTGAACTTAAGTTCAGCTGGGTTAGCCTCGATTGCCCCTTTTAACAACTAAATCTACATGTTTTTTCCCTTAAACCAGGTGCCAGGTATTCTTTTTAATCCTCCCTTTAACCACCTAATTCTAACTTCTACTTCAATCTCAATTTAACCAGCAAATTCAATTTGATTTTTCTCTTAAGCTAATCTACTTGGTTGTCGATTGTACCAACTAATTCTACTTTATTCATATATGGGCTATCTAGAAAATTCATAATTTTCGCTTTAACCAGTTAATTCTACTTGGTTCTCCATTAAATCGCAAATTCTACTCACATCTTCTTCTGTGATGATCCCAACCTCTCCCTCATCCTCCACAGAGAACATTTCTTTCATCTTCAAGTATTCCTCGTGGTCTCTTTGCTCCTGTTCTTCCTTGAGCTTCTTCTCCTCTTCTTCCTGGAGATAACATAGAATAAATAAATAAGTTTTGTTCATGTATGTCTTTATGCTCCCATTCTGTATTTGAGAAAGAGAAACATTGGGGTGTAGATGACATCACAAAATCCAAAAGATTGGTCATACAGAGTGAGACAAAAAAAACTCAAACAAATCTGAGCCATCTAGTATGGAGTTTTGCTTGGGTTACGTCCTTTGGGCTCATCTTGTATCACAGTGATCTCTCCAGCATTAAGAACAACTGGTTGGCCAAATAAAAATATATAAAATATGTGCTATTTTTGAAAATCTATTTGCGCCACTGCTAAAATGGCGAAATATTGAGATATTTTTGTTCAATACATATAAAATTAGGATTTAGCACTCTGTTGAGAAAAAATCCCAGGAAATCTCTTAATCAGTTATTTTCTGTAATGATTTTGATCTGCTTATAACCTTTTCAAAAATAATGCCATCTATACATCAGAGAATATTTATCTGTATATTGTAAGGAATAATGTGTACAAATGCAAGAATTTTACCCTAATTGCCTCTTCTGCTTTAGCTCTCTCGTCTTCTTTCTTACGTTTCTTTTCTAACATCTCTTCCCTCTTTTTCTTCTCTTCTCTTTCTTGTTCCTCAGCCTAAAAACAGAAATACAACTACATGACACATGTACATTTATATGGCTACAGGGAAATATGACTATATGAACAGATATATTTTCAATTTCCAATCTATTTCATATAGTAATAAAGATATATGACTACATGAACAGATGCATTTTTCTAATTTCCAATTTATCTATTTCATGAAGTAGTAAAGATATATGACTACAGGAACAGATAATTTTCCTAATTTCCAATTTATTTATTTCATAAAATAGTACAGATATATGACTACATGTAACAGATATATGACTACATGCAGAGATATAACATATTTGACAAATGGCATATATAATCATAAAGGTCTCACCTCTCTAGCTTGCCTTTTTGCTGCCTTTTCTTCCAATTTTTTCATCTTCTTTGCTCCAATCTTCCCCTCTGGCTGGTCCACATATTGGAATATATCATCTTCCGGTTCTTCTTCATCTGTAAATGGTATTACAAGCTCAGTTATATAGTATTACCATAAATTCAAAGAAAATTAGATTTTCAGAAAGTTGAGAAACACTTTTTAACACCAGATTTATAGATGTAATTTTACATGTGGATTTCAAATATAATATCACTTTGACTAAATTTTGAATTTATGATGACGTAAATCAAGATTATTTCTACTCGCATCTCGACTATTATTATCTAAATTTTCTTTTTGAGAGCCTCAAGCCATTAGGAGATCCTTTTTATACATTATATCACCAAAACTTACCAGAGTCTTGGTTGGCTCTATTCATTCTTCTTCTACCAACTCTTTGCCTGGCCCTAGCAGCAGCTGGAATGTTAGCGGGTGCACGTACATTACGTGCTGGCCTCTCTTCTGCCGGTTCTGCAGCATCATCCCCTGTAAAGAATATTTTTGATGAAACCATTTCATTACAAATGTGGTGAACCAGTCTAAGGAGAGGAGGCATACTTATGGAGCATGACTTATAAACCAAACCACATTACCATCCAAATAGCCTAATTTTCTGCAGGTTCTGCAGCATCATCATACCCTGTAAAGAATGTTTTCTATCCGTTTTAGTGTAAAATATCAAAATATACATTATTCACAAACTTTTCTGACTTAATTTGGAGGGGGGTTTCACTTCTTAAGCATTTATGGCAATAGCAGATGTAAAAGATTGGGGGTAATTATGGTGTTGAGCTGGTGTTAGCAACACTGGTTAAAAGAACTTTGTTCGATGGGATAATTAGGGCAGCCACAATCTTAGACTATATACTCTAGTCTGATATTTGTTACAATTTGGTTGGAAATGTTCAGACTGAGGTATAACTCAGGACATGTTTGACTTCTCAGTTGTTTAACATCAATCCGGTAAAGCTTTCCAATGTACGGATTTTGGATACCTGCTTAGGAGGATGATGGTGTGCTTAATTGGTCACTTTTGATCCTGGCAAAAGAACGCACGTAACATTACATCGTGTTCAGTAATCAGTATGACATTATATCGTGTTCAGTAATCAGTATGAAAATAAAAAATCATTTTTATTAAAAACATATAATTTTCATTAATTACAGGCTTACACTTACTTTCAGTAAAAAATAAGCATGGATTCCCATAGCAATGATAGGTTCTCACTGGAATAGCTTGACTATAATAAAGTCAGATACCGTTGTCACAAATGGCGGACATAACCGCCATTTATAACTGCCATTAATAATTAAATCGACAATTCTGTTGTCTTCTGAACTATTAGTTCGCAAATATGTAAATTTTCTTAAACATATGATACTGATACACGTTTGTGTTAAAAAATGTCTTGGGAATTCTGCCTACAACGCCTGAAATGAGGAAAAGAGAAAAATCGTACCTTCGATGTTCTGACATTTTGTTACCAAAACAAACCGTTTTGGTGACCAGCGTAATCGAGTGGATCACCAGTGAGCATGGAACTTGATGGCTTGATGCTACTACTTACTTCTAAATACACATTTCATTGCAAAATATATTGTATTGGGAAGATTAATCCAATAAAATATCATAGGGATTTCAAGTTCTTCTAATTTGATAGTTTACATTCCATCCTTGAGATGGGTATTATTTATCTTAGCTGTAAGCATTTAGTGTGACAGCAATATACACGATTTGATTGGTTGTTGGCTGAGACTGGGCACACTTCACATGTCAATGGTTGTTTACATTGAAATGCTTTCTGATTGGTCAAATGTCAGAGCTGGGAGGTTTCATTTATGAGTTGATTGACAGATTTAAATTTCATTTTCACTGACGGGTAACACTTTTGGTTTGATCCCGGGTTTTGATCCAGTATCAGTAAAACTACAACATGATTTGAAATCATTGGGGACAGGGAATTAGGGTATGTCTTTTTGAAGATAATAGATCAAGTTCTACCTGTCCAAAATTGTTCCTTTTCGCAGAAAAACAGGCATAAATCGAGGTGGACACTCGGTCCAGCACTTTTTGAAATGTCTCAGACCAAGCTGAAATCTACTGGTCAAATGCCGTTGGTCCGCTGCTTAGGAGAACCGGGGGAGAACCCTGGCTACAAGAGGAGTCGGTCTTTATCGTAAACCCCATGTAAATTGATCAATGACTTTTCAAACCTATCTTGATTTACATGCATTTCAATGGAGCAAACAGTACAGTTGTTTGTGTTCTAAATGTTCCATTAGGCCACAGTGAGAATTAGGCCGGGACCCATTAGGCCTATGTATGTGCAACTTCCGGGTTTTTATCCCGTTCCCGGACTATGGTCCTGTACGGAGCCCATACATTTGCCTGTACGATTACAACTTGGGAGAATTATCTACGCCCCTTCCACTTAAGAAACCTACCTCAATAGATTCCTTGGTAATTTAGCATTCTTTTCGTGTAGTTGAATCCACAATTGTCTGGGTTTATCGGCAGAACGAAGACATTTTCGTTTTTGATCGTAATATTTGCGTGTAACATTTAACTTATTTCAACCGTCAAATTCCTCCATATTGGTACTTCCGGGCTACATCCGGGACAGCCAAACGGGGGATTCCCCTTTTAAATCCAACCGCCATTTTGAAAAGTGATGGAATCTCTCTCGATGAAAAAGAGAAAATGTTCCCGTTCTGCCGATATACCCAGACAATCGGCGGTTCCAACATATTAGAAGTTACATCTTGAGTTCTATAATGCATTGAGGTAGGTATCTTAAGTGTAAGGGGCGTAGATAAATCTCCCAAGTTGTAATCGTACAGGCAAATGAATGCGATCAGTGCAGGACTATAGTCCGGGAACGGGATAACCGGGTTTCATCATCATCATTCTAACATCTGTGAAGAAAAAATCTCATATTCGAAGCGTAATCGAGACGATTTTGAATCGGGGATAAGCTTCATTCATTTTTTATAGAAATAGCTTACCTTTCCGACTCGATGATTTGAGGAATGTGACCAAAATAAGCAATATTCCAACCAAAACGGCTGCAGAAATGTAGATTAGTGGATCCATTTTTTGCTCACTAGAGGGTGCTCGAAATAGGCCACACCAAATGGCAAACAAATATAGTAAGAAGGAAACTCTATTTCTTATACCAATTATAATAATAATACTCCACATTAATATTACAATCACAAAAAATTATCAATTTTACTAAATGATTAATTGTTATGAGTAGATCTAATTATGGGTTGAACAAACATAAAGTATTAGACCAAAATTTGTTTTCCGTTCCACATATTGTCTTGACATGCAACATGGCGGGAGAAAAGAGAAAATGAAAAGAAGAAAGATTAGCAAAAGGTGCGTTTATGATCCTTTATTAGATCCTTTTTTGCTAAATTATTTGTGCCAGTTTGAATATTTATATGGTTTCTTCACATTGTGTCGCCCTATTGGTCTGAATCCAAGATCAAGAGGTCATGAAGCTAATTTCAGAAAAATATTGATATTTTTCAAAAAAATAGTAAGCTTAGCAGTTAGACTAGATTCCAGATCAGGACACAGGGCACGGTATTTGGAAGTTATATACAATAAGTAATAAATATCAGGTTAAAAAGATCCACGTAGAATCTCATTGCTAAGCTTACATGGTTACTGCGCATTCGTCCCGCAACGTGATTGGTCATATGACGAATTTCCATCCTCGACCAATGAAATTAGCAGATCATGATCTTTGACTTTGCAATCTCCAGACGTTGCGTTCAGAGTAATCGACTCGTTCGGCGTGCCAATGAAAATGTGTCCCTTCCGAAGCGATGCATCATGGGAGATATTTATATTTATTTTCACACTTGTAGTTTTAATTAATAATATGAAGGAAATTCTATTCATTGTGACATAGGGGTAAGCTCGGACACTGGCATTGTGAGACGATCTTCAATAATTCTTTGTTTTATATGGTTTCTTTATTGAAACTTCAAATTAGACACATCATATTATCGATGTGGTATTGTAAAATGTAACAATGCCCAGGATTTTGACCTGATACCAAGGGTTTGTCCGGGAATGCCTTGGGCCGAGAATGCCCTTATCTCCTAGGCCTACTCATCTTTACCATGATTATCGAGCTTTGGTAGTCATACAAGCCCGAGTTAACACCCTAAATGATGCAGAAAAATAATTCAAACCTCAATCTTTCTATTCTGGCCAGATAAAACAGCACATGAACAACCATCAAAAAATTGTTTCCAAGATCCAGAGCGCCTTGTTTCGCGATTATTGGATCAATCAGATCAGATACGAGATGCATGCGCAGTAGCCATGATGATTTAAAAGGGGAATTTTAGCTGCATAACCTGGAGAATATAATCAGCTAATAGTAGGACTTCCCACAATCTGTGTCTGAATCCAAACGTCCAAATTCGAATAGTTTGAATCCATATTATGTGAATCAAATCTCAAAATGAGGCATAGGCCAAGGGAAAAGTAGTAGTAAGTTTAAAAATAATTCTATATTGAGCTTACAACTTTCTTTCCCTTGGCTTATGCTCAAAACTGTATGGTACCATCATGGGCTTCTTGAAAGCCCATGGTACCACACAGTGTATGTACGAATCTTTACCCTTTTCAGACTGTTTGAGTGGTCTCATAGACAGCCTTTGCTTGTCCTCAATAGCCCGCTAGACAATCATGACAGCTGATGTCTGAATTCAACTGCTTACTTTATATCTCCAAATGTTTCCTACATCTCCATCTTCCGTTTGCGAAAGGTAACTGCTTCTGTGTTGATCAGGACTTGTCTTTATCCCTGAGTTGACATTTTCTCATGAGAAACCAAATGGTGGTTTTGACAGAAATTTACGAAGTAGCATTTGAAATCTGCAGTGATTTCCTATACTGGAAGTTCAACCATTTTGCAGATGCACGATGAGAAATTTTTGCAATTTTGAAAATAAGATTGCTCAATTTTCGTTATTTATACATTCTAAGAAAATTTAAAACTCAGATATAATAAAATGGATACACTAAAGCAACTTTTTGTTTATGAAAACTGAAAGATTTAGGCTGGAATGAGTTTTGTACATGGTCATCAAAATGGTAGAAAGTGATCTTAATGCAATCTTAATCAAACTGCACTTGCAATTGCAATTTTTTGCATTATTGAAAGTTAGACCACTGAATATTTTAGTTATTCATACATTCTAAAAAATTATCAACCCTCACCTATTGTGCAAAAATGAAAGATGTAGGTCATGTATGTATTGGATGAGTTATGTTTATATCTGAAAATAGCATATGGTCATGAAATTTCATCAAAGTACAGGCTTACCTTAAAGTTCATTTGGAAATCTCGGGATGCTATTTCATGGATTTAAGTCAAAACTGACATCTTGATTTTCGCTATAAAATATTCACTCAAGGATAAAGAGAAGTCCTGATCCACACAGGAGCAGCTGATAACTTTCAGACCTTTAGAGAGGATGGAGGTGTAGGGAACATTTGGAGATATAAAGTAAGCAGTTGGATCCATTATTTTCAGCTATTACGATTCTTTAGCAACTTATTGTTGGTGATCAAAGGCTGCTCTATATCAGACCAGTCCAGCCTTTGAAAAAGGTTATATGAATCCCTTTCATCCAAATTGTCTGAATCCCAATCATCTGAATCCTATTGGTCCGAATCCTCTTGGTCCGAATCCCATTTATCCAAATCCCAATGGTCCAAATCCCAATCATATTGAGTAATTTGGCGATAGCAAGTAAAATTAGGGTGTATATCACCCTTTTGAGAAAATATCCTTTCACTGAGGTACATGTACTTATAATAATAAGTATTACCTGTTTTGGTCAAAATATTTTGATATTTCATCCTTTTGACAAAGTGTATATTGCTCCAATGCTGGAATAGGTTGTAATACATGTAATGTGATTCGTGTGATTTCACCTGTTATATCCTATTTTGCAGTGATCAGTGTATTACCAACTTTTTTAAGACTAAGACATTGGAACAGGAGAATCAGCCTTCTGCATCTGCAGTAGTAGATGCAAGTACAAGACAAAGTCACCGAAGTCAAACAAAACCATTAGGTTATTATAAAGCTCTAGACAGCGGAAGAAAAATCTCAAACAAAAGAAGACATTCTGAATCTGATGAAGAAAATGAGAAGTTTATCACACCATCGGGCACACCGTCAACAGTGAAAAAGCCAAGAAACTCAATTGATACACCATCAGTATACCTCACTCCACCATCTGAGTTCATACAAACGAAGAAAGTTAGCACAAAAAGTTCAGTTACATTGCTTGATGCTAATTTCAACTTAGAAGAATGTGAGCTACCAGAACTTGACAATTCAATCTCTGTTGACCAAATTGCTGATGAATTCCAACCAGACTGTGAAATTCATAAGCAGAAAGACAATACAATTATATCTGCACAACACAGTCCAAGAGAGTCATTAGACCTATTACCTTCCACTAATACATCAGAACAACTACCACTAAAAGCATTCTCAACAGAAGAAGAACGAAACAAACTTGATTCAAAATATTCCATCAGTTCATCCGATTTTACAACATTTAACTGCCAGGTTAATCTGTGTGGTGACATAAAGTCAAACTGCAGACCTAAATCAAGATCCAACAGGTGGCATCGTTACAAATCAGATGATTCTAATGACTTTATGAAACACACAGATCCTGAAATGTCAAGATATAAACCCAGGAGACGTATCAGTAACCCAGAAGTGAAGCCAGTCACCTTCAAGGACCAACAAGACCTTTACACCAACCTATTTCCAGGTCAAACCCCTCTTGGACATATTAAGCTCCTCCCTCATTCCCCTGAAGATGGCGATCAAACTAAAACTAAAAGATTCGACCAGCATCGTAAGAGTTCAGTAGAGGGCAGGTCTGATGCGCACACTCCAGAAAAAAAGCCTCACCAGAGTCCCAATCAGCAACCAACAGCAGGTAATTAACTGAACTAAATCAATTATTTGAGTAATCATCATTATAGATGTGGTAATTTTATATGATGACTGAATCATTGTATTCATTTAACTTAGAGCCACATCAATATTTGGAGAATAAATGTTTATTTTATAAAAGGATTTAAGCCCAGGGCTCAACGATTTGTAGATGTTTTTAACAAGCATGAATTTAGGCTCATTCACCTCACTTGCTTCAAATACCCCATGCTTTCACTTTGCTTCCATGTCAGTGTCTTATGTATGATCAGCACCACAACCTAATGATTCCCTGGTGATAGCCCTGTTGTATCATTCTTCATTGGATTTAGAATTTCTATAAATTGATTTTTAAATACTACAATGAAGTAAAATATGTACTGTAGTCATCTTTGTTTATATAAAAGATGATGATTTTAGAACATCTCTTAAAATGAATTTACTTTTCATGGAATATAAAAAAGGAGGAAGTGGAGATGGCGAGGCCACTACAAATGAAAGAAAGGGATTACTGAGTACCCCTAAAGTTAAATCAAACATTGATAGAATAGCTGGGAATGTCAAGAAGAGTCCATTCTTTGATCGCTACAAGAAGAGGTCAATTGAAGGACCTGAAGGAACCGATGTAATTCAAACTGAAAATGAGCAATCAAGAGGTCACGTTGATGAAGAGGTTAAGGCTGAGGAGGGTGCTACTGAAAGAAAGCTTCAACAAAGTCCCAATCAGCGATCAACGGCAGGTATTCAGCTAGATTAAATCAATTCGTTGAGTTATTATCATTACAGACCTTATTTAAGTAGACGTCATGGGTGCATTCAATCACCAAAATTCATCCAGTCTGGATTCAGTTCTCAGATAGCACCAAATAGATGCATTTTTATTAAAATAAATTAAAAATATAGTCCCATAATTTAAAAAATAGTACTGTACCATAAATACTAAGAATACATCATATTTTATGTAAATTTCAAAATTTACCCTGGGGAGAACTCCCCATATCCACTCTACACTCTACATATCTCGTAGTTTATGTGTTAGGCACACTCACTTGCTTGTGTATATCCCATGCATGCTCTCACTTTGCTGGCGTCTTAGTGTCTTAGATGTGATCAGCATCACAGCCTAATGATTTCCTTGTGAGAGTCCTGCTGTATCATTCTTAATTGAATTGCTTTAGGGACCATCTCACCAAAGTTTTGTTATGTCCAAGTTACCAGTTCTACAGCATTCAAGCATGTACTATGTTAACCCATCCTGATAATGTACTTGTTATGTCATACTCCTAAAAAGAATTAATTTACTTTTCAAGTTATATATAAAGGTCTAAGTGCAGACGATGATGCCACTACAAATGAAAGAAAGGGATTACTGAGTACCCCTAAAGTTAAATCAAACATTGATAGAATAGCTGGGAATGTCAAGAAGAGTCCATTCTTTGATCGCTACAAGAAGAGGTCAATTGAAGGACCTGAAGGAACCGATGTAATTCAAACTGAAAATGAACAATCAATAGATCATGATGATGAGAAACCATCAGTCAGTAGTGATAGTAGTGAGGAAGTTAATGCTGAGGAAGTAATTGTTGGGAAAGTTTCAAACGAACCTGTGAAGTATGAAGAGGAGGATCTTCCACTGATTGATAGTCCAGTCAAGCGGATACAGAAACCTACAGGGTCTCTAGGATCACAGATGAATTCAGGTAGGATCTACAAATATTGTTGAAGGTTGGCCAATTGGGTTTAAATTTGAATCTGTCAGCAGGAACATTTGTTAATTTTGAGATCTCTCAAAAGTACAAATTGAAGATATGAGAGTATATCCATAAATTCTCGAAAAAAGGAAAATAAGTGTTTATTTAATACTTTCAACTCAAATTTTATGCAGATATGTAAATATGTATTGTTCTATGATCACCATTACATTTTAGTTATGTTATGGTTACTTTGGTAACATAGTTTCTATAACTTAAAAATAGTGGAGTGGTTATTGTGAATATTTTGTTTATGAATGCTGAGAAGCATATTGCACTGTCTAATGATGATTTGGCTGATAGGCAGCCATTTCCGAAAGTGGCAGCAATGGCTTTTGGTGGAATTTGCTACAACTTGGCATTGCTGTTATCTAGTATCATATAAGTGTTATGACAGAATGCATTATTGTTGCAGTTGATGTAGATATTGAATTCAGCGATGTTGAATTGAGTGATAGTGACAACTCAGATGATGATCTTCAGGAAACACCCTCAGCTCTCAAAGCAGGAGACCCAACCACCAGTAGTATCCAAGCCATGATGTAAGTGTGCCTTTTCTTCGTATTATTGTCCCTTCCACTTATTCAAAGTAAAACATATTGCAGGATTCAGTAATTTCATTTACAGTAGTAATAAACTTTTGACTTGCTGAAAAATCACGACTCGAAAGTTGTCGCATTTAAATCACCAAGGTGCCAGTCGTTAGTTTCCAGTTTCATCACCAGGTGGCTAATTTGGGCCAAATTACATGTCAGCTACAGCAAAAAATCTTATTTTGCTTTGGAAATTGCAAAATGGCCACTTAATGCAAAAATTCTCAATAATTAGAAGATCTATGGGTTTATTATTCTGAAATATCACATTGTGACATACTGCTATTTCAGATGCAATAAGATAATTTGTTTGTTGGGATTTCATACTACATTGAGTTGCCATTGTAAAGCTGTGATGATGTCTTAAAATGTATAATTGAAACAACCATTTACTTTGATTCCAGCGGAGCTTGCTTAGAGCCTAGTGATAATGAAGATGAATCGCTTAGTGAGGAAGACTCCTATCTCCCAGTGCCTGTGGCTTCTAACGACCTTGATGCGAAAGTTTTTGATGATCTCATCAAGAGAACGATGAAGTTGAAGACAATTATCAAACAGAGGGAGGGATTTTCAACCACAAATGGAGAAACAGGAGGGGTCAGTGTATTCAGTTATACATGGGGTAGAAGGGAGAGGGATAGGGGTTTTAAATTGAAAGTGGGGATAGAGGGGAGGGATTTTCAACTGAACAGAAAATCTACATCATTCAAAATGTTTCATTGTAAAAACGTCATTTACATGAAGTAATACATTTGGAACTGAGGAAGGAAATACATATTTGCATCCTTGGATAAAAAGTATTATTCCATGATGGTGAAATTCCCTGCAATCTGATTGGTCCATGTGACTTAAATATATCCTGTATTTATACGCACTTTCCACTTAGCATTGAATACAGATTGAAAATGACGTCAGCGTTGGGATACGGTCCAGTATCCCAACGCCCCAGATTTCCATCCAGGATATGACTATTACTGAAAAATCAATGGCGATCTGTTAACACCAACGCATGCTATATTTGCATTTTGCTAGAAATATCTGATTTGAATATCAAGAAATGATACGGTGATCACCACAATTTATTATTTTAGGATAAAAAACACTCATCTGTAATTATAAAAAAATCAATAAAAAAATCAAGTAAAAATCCAATATGGCAGACGAAAGTCGAAAAAACGTTTCGTTACACTGTTCCAGCTGATAAAATTGAAGAAAAATGTTGAAGAAACTCGAAAAGATTTTGAAGAAATATCGATGTAGAATATTTTTGAGGTGAGAAGGTTGATCTGTTTATTTCTCCGGTCCCAAGACAAGGAAATGAACTTGATTTAGGGGAGTTTTATCTGAGTAATCATGGAATAAAAAGTTATACAATGATTTCTCGTGAAATATAGAAAATATTCTTCCCTTGAACGTCTGTATTTCACTCTGCTAGCGCATCGTGAAATACGACCTTCTCGGGAAGAATATTTTCTTTATTTCACTCGAATCATTGAATAACTTATAATATCGAACATGACTGTATTCATGCTTTCTATAAACTTTAAACAAAGTCAATATTTCTCCCGGGGTATATTCATCAACAATACCCCAGGTAATTACGAGTAATGTGTGACGTCATAACGTTGGACTGTAGAAATGGCGGACCATAATGAATATTCAAAATATCATTTTGGGGAGTTTCCATGTTTAAATCATAATATAGACCAAAGATGAGGTGTTATATTGACGAATAAACCCTGCAGGGCTAGGCACAAAAGCTTTCGAAAAGAAAATGTTTATACCTACCCTGTGGGGTTTATTCGTCGATATAACACCTTGTCTTCGGTCTATATTTCATAAACATAAAATGCCTTGTAAATTAGCACATGTAACCTTGTTTACTCCTACCTAGAATATTAAAGGAAACATGTTGTATTTCTAGAATGCTAGCATGAGGGCAGGTGATGAGGCTGAGGTTGAAGAGAAAGAGGACTCTCAGTTAAGTCTGAATGGTAATCATATGAATTTAGCTTATTTAAAGAGTAGGGGTTCAAAGCACTTTAAGAAGAAACAAAGTATAGAGTCTTGTTGGTATTTTATAATATTTCTTCGTGAAAAGTCCTATATAATCCCACATTTGATCAGCTATCTGGAATCATATCAGGAATATTTGCAGATATAATGAATGTATTGCCATGTTTTGCCATATCTTTTGAAAAATTGCTTCAAAGATTTCACACTTTACTGTATATACTTTGCTGCCACTTTAAGCACTCTTCATAATCATTTTATAAGATGAGATATGCATCCAAAATCAAACCAAGTTAAAGGTTTAAAACAAAAATAAAAGATCAATTTTGACAAAATGCCAGACACAAAAAATTGTAACAATATGTCGCCACTTTTGTCTAAAAATGAAAAGATGTGATAAATTATTAGAAAAGAGGAGGGAAAGTATTGCAACAAATTTCGGACAGTCATAATCACGCCTTACCATCGCGTAAGCAGGCGTCACCGTACAGCGTCAAAAAATAGCGGAGTACAGTTTTTTGTACGGTAACGCAAATTAACTGCTTTGAAGCAAAAACTATGACAAGGGTTTAAAAAAAATTAATTTGATGAAAACTAATACGATTTCATGTGAAATAAAAACAGCATTCTCTTAGAAATGGTTTTAACTAACTGATTATGATAAACGTTTTACGAGCACTGTTCGGATTTTTTCTGAGTGAATCGGCCCACATAATCGACCCAAGTGAAAAAAGGTTGTTTTTTCACATTTCGTTTGGTTATTATTTTCCCTGCCGTCTGAGAGTATGGATTATTTTTTTGAGAAAATGTATTTGTTGACTACACATTTTAGAACGGGCGAAGATTCAGCAAACAACCATGCATTATGTATATTTAAAAAAGATCAAATTTGAACGGTGACGCACCAGCTGTACGGTGACGCCATGCTTTGATGAACTAAATGAGACTAAGATTGTATGAAATGGAAACTCTGGAGTATGATCATTTGTTCATATATAGCGCCGTTACATACATAATGGAAGGTTACTGGAAATGTATGATACGGTAAAGATCATGAAACCAAAAACTCTCTTGTTGCTATGTTATTGATGTTTTAAAACAAGGGATGTCACAAGTAAATCTCATCTTGCACGTGTGACTTTTTAGGATGAAAGATGCAATATATTGCATGGGGTAAAGATGGCTGTGTAGGCTATCTTTGTTAGTCATTTGAGAAAAGTCTGGTTTAGTTCAAATGATACCAAAGCATTACGTCAACTTTCAAATAGTTAATTCCATGAAAACTAAAAATATCGAAATTGATACTTCCTGTCCGCCATCTTAAATGCGAAGGTGACGGCTGTAACCTTCGCTTGATACTTACCAGTGATAATGTACATGTAGATCTGACGCTTCTTTACCTCTTGTTCGAACAGTAAGCTTAGAGCTCTTCATAAAATCTAAGGAAGCGTCACCGTACAGCTGATGCGTCACTGTACAGTTCTGATCTTTTTTGAATAAATACACTGAATGATTTTTTGCCGAATATTCATCTGTTCTAAAATGTGTAGATAACAAATACATATTCTCATAAAAATAATCCATACTCTCAGACGACAGGGAAAATAATAACCAAACGAAAAGTGAAAAAAACAACATTTTTCTCTCAAGTCGATTATGTGGGCCGATCCAGTCAGAAAAAATCCGAACAGTGCTCGAAAAACTTTTGTCATAATTAGAAAGTTAAAACCATTCTTAAGAGAATGCTGTTTTTATTACACCCGAAATCGTATTTATTTACGTCTAATTAATCTTTTTAAAACCCTCATTATAGTTTTTGCTTCAACTAAGTTAAATTTCGTCACCGTACAGAAAACTGTTCTACTGTATTTTTTGACGCTGTACGGTGACGCCTGCTTATGCGATGGTTAGGCGTGATAATGTTGGATTTTGGCTCCTTTGGGGGTTTTAAAGATATCCATTATGGGTGAGTTTCTGTTTTTGTAACAGATGGTTACAGTTTTATAATTGTAGCCAGGTGATGACATTTTTCATGTTGTTGTATTGGTTAAATCATGAGCTTTCAATTAAGCCCATGGTTAAATTTTACAAAAAGTTGAGATAAAAAATAGTTACATTGTTATATTGTAATTTTTTTTTATAATTTGTTTTAGACACAGGGGAGAATCTTGGACATGATAGTCGTGAGAAGCTTAAAAAGGTACAGTATCATCCATTTCCATAAATTCCAGTAAACCTGTCTTAGTGGAACCTTTAATAAGTGTTCTACTTGAGAGGTGTTCCTTTTATAGAGGTTCATTTTACATTATGTCAGTTGGTCTTGGGACTCTTCTTCTAGGGGTGTTCCACTTCACAGGTCATTTTATAAGGTACTCTCTGGTGCTTGGTTACATATATCAACTGTCGAAGAACTCTGTACCTTTTTCTACATTATGAGGTACTATTAACTCTCTGGTGCTCAGTTACTTGTATCATCTGTTTAAGAATTCTGCGTACCTTTCTCTGCATTGGAAATTAATATGACTCTGGTGTTCAGTTGTAGATCTCAACTAGTCTAAAGAATCTGAATACCTTCTCAGGGGTTTCACTAGAATTTTTCACAACAGGCTAAATAGATGAAAACAACAGGCAAAATTAATGGAAAATCATAAATTTAACATGGAAAAGTTGAAAAGTCCCTAAAGATAATACGTCATTTTGTGAAAATAACCATTGAAAATCGCCTGTTGCCTGCTGCTAATGAAACCCCTGCCTTCTCCAAGACAGTCAGAACTCAGAATGAGTTATTAAATTGAAAAATACATTGAATTTTACTGATCGAAGCATTCAAGCAACTATCTTCATCATTATCCCACCGAACGAAGTTTGAGGGGGATATAGGAAAGCCGTCCATTCGTCCATCTCTCCGGGCAATAACTCTAATACCCGGGTTGACGGATTTGATTCAAATTGTATAGGCATATGCCTTATGGGGGTAGGACCTCTGATCGAAAAAGAATTTTCAATATGGCCGCTTAATTAAAATTGGCGGCCATTTTTAGGAAAAAAAATCTTTGATAAGTCAAATACTCGTGGATGGATTTGGTTTAAAATATGCTGTTGCCTGGGTACAAAGGAGTCTTGCTCAAGAAGACATGTTCAAGATGGCCGCTATATTTCAAAATGGCCGCAATTTTTGGTAAAAAAACATTATCTTTGATAACTCAAATGCCATTGAATGGATTTGGTTCAAATTTTGTATGCTGATGCCTAGGGACATAGAAGCTCTGTTCAAGAAGGGATTTCCAAGATGGCAGCTAAATTTCAAAATGGCCACCATTTTTCGTAAAAGAACATAACCTTTGATAACTCAAATACCAGTTGACGGATTTGGTTCAAATTCTATATGCTGATGCCTAGAGACAAAGAAGTTCTGCTCAAGAAGACATTTTCAACATGGCCACTGAATTTCAAAATGGCCGCCATTTTCCATTAAAAAAACGTAATCATTGATAACGCAAATACCAGTTAGTGGATTTGGTTCCAATTTTATATGCTGATGTCTAGGGAAAAAGGGGATCTGCTTCAGAAGAAACTTCAAAGGCGTCAGCTGAATTTCAAAATGGCTGCCATTTTTCATAAAAAAGGTAATCTTTGATAACTCAAATACCAGTGGATAGATTTACTTCAAATTTTATAAACTGATTCCTAGAGATAAAGGAGCTCTGCTTGAGAAGAAATTTTCAAATCTCTGCCATTTATCATTAAACATGTAATCCTTGATAACTCAAGTACCAGTTGACTGATTTGGATTAAATTCTATATGCTGATGCTTTGGGACATTTGAGCTGAATTTCAAAATGGCATCCATGTTTCATAAAAACATTATCTTTGATAATTCAAATACTAGTGGATGGATTTGGCTCAAATTTTATATGGCCGTCATTTATCAAAGCATGTTTTGTTCAGAGGGATTTGCTACTCCATGGAGATGCTGTTTTTCTAGTTTGATAAATGACCTGAAAAATATTTAAACACTGTTTTAGTATGTAGTTATTTCATGCTGTGTTTATAGTTTCAAGTTGAAAATCGTAAAATCATGGAGCGGCACCCCGGGGAGGAGGTATTCAGCAGGGAGGTGAGGGATGCTTTACCAACGGAAGAGTTGACCCTCCATGGGTGTGGTTTCAAGGCAGGGAACTCCTATATAGACAAACACCTGATGAACCTGGCCACAGCTAATGCAGGTAAGGGTGATCCTTTCTAAAAGGAACAGAATGATGCGAAAATCATAATACTGATTGATAATCAAGGGGAGAAAGTGCAATTATATATTCTATAGCCTCATATCTTAATACCTACCCATCTAATGCTATATTCCTCTGGATTGAAGTAAAGAAGTCATCCAGTTATAATTTCCTTTGCCATTTTCAAGTAGAGTGTACTAATTTTTTAGCGTATTTGTATTGTAGAGATGATGCTGGAGCTATTGACGTGTGACATGATACAGTTGCTATGGAACAAGGTGTCTCATCCTCATCAGTTACTCAATTACATCTTTCGCATAGGTAGGATAGATATTTACTCATTATCCCACCAAACTTTGATTCTATAGGAAAAAGTTGTCCATCCATAACCCAAATACCAGTTGATGGATTTGGTTCACATTTTATAGGCTTATGCCTTATGGACAAAGTACCCCTGCTGTAGAGGGAATTTTTAATATGGCCTTTCAAATCAAAATTTGGTATTATTTTTCTTTAAAAATGTAATATTTAATATGCTGATGCCATAGGGACATATGATCTTTGCTCAGGCAGAAATTTTAAAATAGTCGCTAATTTCAAAGTGAATGCCATTTTTCCTGAAAAAATGCAAGGACCTCTGCTCAAAAAGGCTTTTTTAATATGGCTGCTCATTATCCCATTAAACGAAAACAAATGAAGATAGTAAATAAACAAATCATAACAAAACTATACGACAAACAGGAAAACGCCTAATTCCAAATTGTCTCATATCCAGATTTACCTGGAAATATTCTTTATGTTCATGTAGAGTATAAATATGGCTGTGAGAGTCGTACATGTAAAATTATTAATATAAAATTAATATAAATAAATATTGAGCCAATTAACACAAAACACAATACCTAAGAAATTAATGGCTAATTTAAGTTAATTAGCTACAAGAGTTTAGAATTTGACATAACTGTTAATTAGCTCCATTGTTGGATATATTATAATACCATCTCCAACTCATCTTCTTGGGCGAAAATAAGGCTCCAACTGGTGGTGTAAGCTGGGGAAGGAGGTGAGGGAAAAGAATCGAAATGTATAACTTACATTGATGTTTAAGGATTTTTTAAGGACCTAGGGAGAAGACCCTCCAACTTCAATCCTATCGATATCTCGTCTGAAGTCTCATCTCGTACACTCGAGATCTGAAGCTTGATGTTTCGTTCAGTGTAACTTACCAGAAACATTTACCTGGGATAACCGGGGAATGGTCTTCTCAGGGCTTGTTCATACCTAAACCTTAACCGACTCTCACATTGCCATAAATGAAATTATTGTCAATAATTTGAATAACTACTAAGTCAAGGTTATAGGAGTAACATAATAAATTTGTATACTAAGAAAGCTATAACAAGAAATAAATGGATATGTATTAAATACAATATGCAGGAAAATATCATCATGAAGCACTGGAAAATTAGTGAGGGAAGACAAGATTAACAAATGAATATGAAACAGTATATTCTCCGCAAAGAGGGTAAACTATGAGAAGTTCGAAGACTGATCACAAGTAAGAGGAAGGCAATGACAGAAGACAACATAAGAACATCAGTAAGGGGAAGGGAAGAGTTTTCTGGCCGGATAAAAACGTTTATCCCACCTACGTGCAGTCTCAAGTCTGTGGACCCTGAAGAATCAAATCAAGACAACAATCAAATCAAGACAAAGAAAGAAGACAACAAATGAAGACACTGATGCAGCAGCAAAAAATGACATGGCTAGTAATTGGCCATTTTGAAAAAATGTTTTATGAAGTTTGCTGTTATTAAAATCATAATCAAGCAATTTTGTAAAGAGGACAGCCATGGCTGTTTGATGGGATTTGCCACGCCTTGGCATTGCTGTTGTCTAGTTTCAAAATGTCCACAGCTTTTCTTAAAAAATACCATTTGCCAGATTTATAGGGTAATGCCCATTGAGCAGAGATCATATATAATATGTCTGTTTAGAATTTTTACTGAAAAATAAATGCATTACATTTCAGTTTCTTCATGCACAAATAGTATGGTGACACATGCTGCATTTAAGATCATCTACGACACCATGACAACATTATCCCATAATAACACAGCCTCATATACATGGGTACCATCTATTGGGGAGGTTGTAAACTCACTATGTGCAATGGGGGCCTCTGTTGAACAGATCTGTCCTGTTGAAGAATTGGTCACCTCACAATTAGCTGATATTACATTGAAAAGGTAATATAATTGATATGTCATACATTTTTGTGGTTAAATCTACAAATGTTTTGTGAATAAGGTACAGTTTGTTTAGGAAAAAACAGGTGGAACTAAAATACAAACCTTGATAATGATTACTTCATTGAATCTCTAGTCATTCAAAACACTTTATTTTTATGAACATATGCATTATATGTATATTCTAGTTTATGTTTTTTAAAACACAATAAAATGTTTTATTTAAAGATCATGGCTTTATTATTTTCAGATATATTGTTCCCCATTGTCCTGTTAATAATGACCAAGTATACAACAGAGAAAACTTAGTGTTTATCATCAAAACCATAACCTTAGCTGTTCAGAAAAGGTAAGTTGTGCAGTGTTCATCATCAAGATTTTATACAGCTGATTAAAATGACTCAAATGATGTAACTGTTTTATAAGAAGACTAAGGAATTACAACTGTATTAATAATGACAGGTGGTGTATTCGTAAGAACTTTTCTTACATAAATTGGAGATGGAGAATATGTTACAATTTATGTGGAGAATGAATAATAAATACAGGGTGGGCCAAAAAAAACAATACCCAAATTTAAAGATGAATGATTCATATAATATATCTTAAACCTTGCCATGTATTATACTTGTATATCATTTTAGAGAGAAATCATTTGACATATGTCATATGATATTTATCTTTAAACTTGGGGTATTGTTTTTTTGGCCCACCCAATATAAATGGATTAATTGTTTTTCAAGATTTTGTCCCTCCACATTGTGCGACGGCATAGTGCCATGTTAGAATGGTAATGACATACAGCAAGACACAATAGTGTAATGACGCATCACCCTATGAACACTTTTCAATGGCTTATATCTTATCTGGTCTGAAGTGTTGTTTCTGAGCCTTTTCATTGCCTTGTTTTAACTAAATAAGTACCAATTTCACTGTTCACCAGTATTGATGTTTTACTGTTGTACTGTACTTGCATGTATTTTGTGGCGAGTGCCTTCACAGCGCTAATGCTAGTTTTGTTAACAGTTAATGCAGAGTGCATCTGTACTTTGCTTACTAAGGCAATATATATGTTTTCCCATGTGTTTTAGGCCTGACTGCTATTCATGTGCCAATCTTAGTAGTCTCTTTGTCATAGTGGTCAATGCAGCCCTAGATCTGAGACTTAACAACAGTGCAATCAAGTATGATGTTCAAGTATGTCTTGCAGCAATCCTCAATGCTTTCTCCATTGCAGATTGGAACAAACAGGTACTCACTTGTTATACATGGATATATACCTACACATATACTATATTATCGTGTGATCCTCTTTATTGCTACTGAGATTGTCCCCTCCGTACCAATATTTTCTGTATTGCGACGGAGATGATCAACGGGGACAATCTCAGTAGCAATACAGGTTGGTACAGCACAAGAACTGACCAATCAGAGGGCTTCATTTTACAGATCATACGATATAATAGATTCTTACTTTAGGTATTTATGGCACGAGTTTCTGTTTTTGCATTTTATTTATTTACATCTATTTACATCTATTACTTATATTGGCCAAAACCTTCAATTAAGAACAAATAAAGTTACAGTTTCAATTACTACATGTATATATTATTATGCCACCACCACAAGTGGTGACATATTGTTATAATAAGTGTCCAACTTTTTTGTGGTTGGTGCTGGGGTTTGGCGTCTGTAACAAATGGCAGGTGGTGACATTTTGGTCGTTTATGCCTAGTATTCTCTAATAAAGGTACATTGTGTATATCACATTCTAATGTACAGGAATATTAGTTTCTGTTTTTATTCTTATCATACTTCCAGTGGGATATTCTTACTAAAGCTTTATCCCGATCATTTGACACTTTCCTTGCATGTTCGGTCATATGTCTGGATGGTCCAATCATAATAACCTCGCATGTTCGGTCATATGTCTGGATGGTCCAATCATAATAACCTCGCATGTTCGGTCATATGTCTGGATGGTCCTATCATAATAACCTCGCATGTTCTGTCATATGTCTGGATGGTCCTATCATAATAACCTCGCATGTTCGGTCATATGTCTGGATGGTCCAATCATAATAACTTTCATGTTCGGTCATATGTCTGGATGGTCCAATCATAATAACCTTGCATGTGCGGTCATATGTCTGGATGGTCCTATCATAATAACCTCGCATGTTCGGTCATATGTCTGGATGGTTCAATCATAATAACCTCGCATGTTCGGTCATATGTCTGGATGGTTCAATCATAATAACCTCGCATGTTCGGTCATATGTCTGGATGGTCCAATCATAATAACCTCGCATGTTCGGTCATATGTCTGGATGGTCCAATCATAATAACCTTGCATGTTCAGTCATATGTCTGGATGGTTCAATCATAATAACCTTGCATGTTCTGTCATATGTCTGGATGGTTCAATCATAATAACCTCGCATGTTCTGTCATATGTCTGAATGGTCCTATCATAATAACCTCGCATGTGCGGTCATATGTCTGGATGGTCCTATCATAATAACCTCGCATGTTCTGTCATATGTCTGGATGGTCCAATCATAATAACCTCGCATGTTCTGTCATATGTCTGGATGGTTCAATCATAATAACCTCGCATGTTTGGTCATATGTCTGGATGGTCCTATCATAATAACCTCGCATGTTTGGTCATATGTCTGGATGGTCCTATCATAATAATCTCGCATGTTCGGTCATATGTCTGGATGGTCCAATCATAATAACCTCGCATGTTCTGTCATATGTCTGGATGGTCCTATCATAATAACCTCGCATGTGCGGTCATATGTCTGGATGGTCCTATCATAATAACCTTGCATGTTCTGTCATATGTCTGGATGGTCCTATCATAATAATCTCGCATGTTCGGTCATATGTCTGGATGGTCCAATCATAATAACCTCGCATGTTCGGTCATATGTCTGGATGGTCCAATCATAATAACCTCGCATGTTCGGTCATATGTCTGGATGGTCCAATCATAATAACCTCGCATGTTCGGTCATATGTCTGGATGGTTCAATCATAATAACCTCGGATGTTCGGTCATATGTCTGGATGGTCCAATCATAATAACCTCGCATGTTCGGTCATATGTCTGGATGGTCCAATCATAATAACCTCGCATGTTCGGTCATATGTCTGGATGGTCCAATCATAATAACCTTGCATGTGCGGTCATATGTCTAGATGGTTCAATCATAATAACCTCGCATGTTCGGTCATATGTCTGGATGGTCCTATCATAATAACCTCGCATGTTCGGTCATATGTCTGGATGGTCCTATCATAATAACCTCTCATGTTCGGTCATATGTCTGGATGGTCCTATCATAATAACCTCGCATGTTCGGTCATATGTCTGGATGGTCCAATCATAATAACCTCGCATGTTCGGTCATATGTCTGGATGGTTCAATCATAATAACCTCGCATGTTCGGTCATATGTCTGGATGGTTCAATCATAATAACCTCGCATGTTTGTTCATATGTCTGGATGGTCCTATCATAATAACCTCGCATGTTTGGTCATATGTCTGGATGGTCCTATCATAATAATCTCGCATGTTCGGTCATATGTCTGGATGGTCCAATCATAATAACCTCGCATGTTCTGTCATATGTCTGGATGGTCCTATCATAATAACCTCGCATGTTCGGTCATATGTCTGGATGGTTCAATCATAATAACCTTGCATGTTCTGTCATATGTCTGGATGGTTCAATCATAATAACCTTGCATGTGCGGTCATATGTCTGGATGGTCCTATCATAATAACCTCGCATGTTCGGTCATATGTCTGGATGGTCCAATCATAATAACCTCACATGTTCGGTCATATGTCTGGATGGTCCAATCATAATAACCTCGCATGTTCTGTCATATGTCTGGATGGTCCAATCATAATAACCTCGCATGTTCTGTCATATGTCTGGATGGTCCTATCATAATAACCTCGCATGTTCGGTCATATGTCTGGATGGTCCAATCATAATAACCTCGCATGTTCTGTCATATGTCTGGATGGCTCTATCATAATAACCTCGCATGTTCGGTCATATGTCTGGATGGTCCAATCATAATAACCTCGCATGTTCGGTCATATGTCTGGATGGTCCTATCATAATAACCTCGCATGTTCGGTCATATGTCTGGATGGTCCTATCATAATAACCTCGCATGTTCGGTCATATGTCTGGATGGTCCTATCATAATAACCTTGCATGTTCGGTCATATGTCTGGATGGTCCTATCATAATAACCTCGCATGTTCGGTCATATGTCTGGATGGTCCAATCATAATAACCTCGTATGTTCTGTCATATGTCTGGATGGTTCAATCATAATAACCTCGCATGTTCTGTCATATGTCTGGATGGTCCTATCATAATAACCTTGCATGTGCGGTCATATGTCTGGATGGTCCTATCATAATAACCTCGCATGTTCGGTCATATGTCTGGATGGTCCAATCATAATAACCTCGCATGTTCTGTCATATGTCTGGATGGTCCAATCATAATAACCTCGCATGTTCTGTCATATGTCTGGATGGTCCTATCATAATAACCTCGCATGTTCGGTCATATGTCTGGATGGTCCTATCATAATAACCTCGCATGTGCGGTCATATGTCTGGATGGTCCAATCATAATAACCTTGCATGTTCGGTCATATGTCTGGATGGTCCAATCATAATAACCTCGCATGTTCTGTCATATATCTGGATGGTCCTATCATAATAACCTCGCATGTTCTGTCATATGTCTGGATGGTCCTATCATAATAATCTCGCATGTTCGGTCATATGTCTGGATGGTCCAATCATAATAACCTCGCATGTTCGGTCATATGTCTGGATGGTCCAATCATAATAACCTCGCATGTTCGGTCATATGTCTGGATGGTCCAATCATAATAACCTCGCATGTTCGGTCATATGTCTGGATGGTCCTATCATATATCAATAACTTTTACTGGTCATGGATGTTTTTAATGCCTTCATGTGTTTGTAAGAATCATATCTATTTTTCAATTGATGAAATCCAAATTTCCTTTGTTGCTTTCTCTTCAGCGATTGTTCCTATGTGATACTCTACCCACCCTGTCAATGCACCATCACAACAGGGTTTATATATGCAACCTATTGCCCCCAGGAGAGAGGGGGACCTACCTGAGGAGACATACTGCATTACGTGTGCTATATGAAATAAGTGGTTGTGACAAAGACTCACATAGAGAAGATATAGAGGTATGGGTTTGAATTGTATACATTAAAATATATTTTTCAAAATTCAAAAGTAATTTAAACTGTTCCAAAATCAGACAATATTTGTTGCAATTGATGTTTCGAAATATCAATGTCAGTTTCAGCTTTCCAAGTTTTACAGATTTTTCTGGGCACTCTATAATTTTTGCAACTAACTCTGACAATGATTCATAATGTACATTCTATTAATTCTATACTTATCCATGATTTTGTTTAATTTTCGTTGAGTATATCAGGAAGTATCAAAAATCACTATTTTATTCAAAAAAAGGTATTATTTTGACATCTGTGAATGTTTTTAGTACTTCCTCACCTGCTTACACAGGCAGCCATGCTGATTACTCAATTAGTACAAAATAAGTGCTCATGAGTGCGCTTTTGCAAGTGCTAATTGTTTATTACTACATGAGTGCTAATTTAGTACTAATTTGTGATAAATAAGGGTTTGTTTAGCACCCTTTTAGTAGCGATGATTTAGTCCTACTTGAGTGCTATGTTAGTACTAGAAAATTGCTCATATAGTACCAAAAAATTGAAATGTAATTTATATCATATTCTGAATTTTAATTCATCAATTCAAAAGTATCATGATACACGAGCAATAAATCAGTACTCATAGTATAAGCGCTTATTGAGTAATGAAAAATCAATGAATGTCGCGCTATTTTATCACTTATCATATGAGTACTCATTTAGTACTGAAACATGCACTTAATCAGCACACATAGTATGAGTACTCATTGAGTAATGAAAAATCAATGAAATTAGCGCTGTTTTATCACTCATCATATTAGTACTCATTTAGAACTAAAACATGCAATAAAATAGTACTCATGTCATAAGTGCTCATTTAGTACAAATGTTTACTGAAATTAGTGCTCAATTACCCAGATGCGAGTAGGTAGTTACCAGTTTCACCACCAGGTGGCTGACGTGTTGATTTACATAGCAGCTATATAAGAAAGTTCTGTTAAACTTGAATATTATCACCTTAACTGGATCAATTTTAATGTAATCCTTATGTGTCTAATAATTATACAAACAAAAATATTTCCACTAAAAGAAAATATTATCTGCCTAACACAAGAAGATATTTCACTTTTTGTGATTTTGCAACATGGGGTCTATTGGGAATCTCCCCGGCCTAGAACTCAAATTGTTGGTAAATACTTTTTCTTTCTAGATGCAATCTTTCATGTAGACTTTAAGTATGATATTCCTAAATTTTGAATATTTAATGAAGTAAATCAAGATTTTTTGCTTGCATCTGGTATATTTGTGCTAAAATGCCATGAGTACTATTTTAGTACTCGGCATTTCTGTGATGTCTGCGCTCAGTGGCAAATTCTGATTTTGATTTCGAAGTGCTTGTTCGTACCTTACCAAATATGAGAAAAAGTTGTCCTGTATATAAATGGTCAAAATACTTATAAAATGTTATACACATTTATTGGTGGCATTAGATATAGGTATTGTTTGGTTTCGTTATTACTATAATCTCAACATGTTTTTAATTAAAATATTTTCACTTGTAAAAAATGAATTTTACAATTATTTTTGTTGGTAGCTGAGTATATTGCAGCCTATCATATGCAAGATGAAGCAATCCCTAGATGATCTCTATAAGCTGACCAGTGTACTAAACCTATTGGATTTAGTTGTTGGAAGTGAAAAACTCAATGCCACTCAGAGGGTAAGACAATAATGTTCAATATGAAAATGTAATTTAAGGCCCCATGTAAAGTAAAAACCATTTTATGATCTAAGAAAATGTTCTGAAGATCTGATGTGTAAAACTTTTATTTAAAAAAGGTGTTTTGTGAATGTTTGAAAAGGTTGAATTTAATGTATCTTTCCCACATTTGTGAACATAAACTGTTTAATAGCCCATCGAAAGAAGTTTGAGAAATGTAGGGAATGCCTCTGTCCATCCATCTTGCTGTATGTTCTTCGATTCATACATCCCCCGATCTGTTGGTCCTTCCTTTTATCTGGGCAATAGGTCATATACTGTTGGTTCAATATTGATTATATTTATGCACATGCCCTATGTCATTTCCCAAGTCCAAATCCTGATTCATTTCCCAACTTTTTTTTTTGAAAAATATAAAAACAGATGTAAGCAATAAAATAAATGGAAGCCATATATGCATTTTACAGTTTTTGCTATATATAACTGGAAAATGATGATTTTTGAGAATCACATATCTTTTGCCAATTCGGATAATAATATATGATAGCTGTGTCTAACACTAATGAGATGTGCAATGGTGTTTGCTATGCCTTGGTGTTATTTAGTTTGAATTGTTTTGACGAACTAACTATACTTTTTCATTGCTTCACTAAATGAGACAAAATATCAAAACTCTGCTTTGTTTCAGCCACATACATTTCTAGTACTTGTTGAGAGTGATACATTGAATAGAGTAAGATATAACATATATTGAATCAAATAAAAGCCTTAACAGACATGTGTGCACAATCATTTGAATTTATGATTTTCTACAATCACCATATCTTCAAGCAAATGTATACCAGTATATATTTTATAACAGTTATCGATTCGATTCCGTATTCTCTCTAATAAATGCATAGTGTGGCTCCCAAATTCTCCTGGAGGAGATGTCTCAAATGATAAAATCCCCAGGGATTTTTGAAAGATGAATATATGGGCGATAACAGGGTATTTCATGATTTTCCTCTTTAAAAGTAGACTTACTTCGACGAGATAACATAATATCATACCTCAATGTTTTCCTCATGCATTTATCGATAGGCTGAATGTGTTTTCATGGGTCAAAAGGTTAAGAAATATTTTTGGATTGTAAGCTCCCATGATTCACTGCGAATGTCAAAAACCGATAGGATTCGGTCAGAACTACATTTATTATAGATTTTAACTCACCACTAGAAGGTTATCGTGAATGTACTTATAGTTCTAAAGATTTGGCATAGCCAGATTTCAGCCTGGGGGTATGATCGCCAAAAAAGTGTTTTTTTGAATTTTACAAAAACTGATGCAACTTCCTTCAAAAGTGAGCTAGCTAGAATCTTCAAATAAAAAGCATTTTAAAGCTCTTTTCTTCTTCTATTTAATGGTTTTATTTTCATTGGTTATGTGAGGTTCGCACCTCGCATCCTCCTGACTACTCCCATGTCATTGTGCACAGAGATGGCTCAATTGATAGCTGTATTAAGTGAATTTAATGGAATTTAACTTATTATCGCCCAATACAGGGTTCGTACACCTTTTTCAAAATGAATTTCCCTGACAATTCCCTGACATTTCCAGGCAAAAAAGGAAATTTCCAGATCTAGTTTTCCTTCCACGGCCTCTAAAAAGTCTCTGTTACGCGGTAAACATGATACAAATATATGTCATATTCCGCAACGAATATGGCATATTAACTTGTTAACATATTAACCAAAGAGAATGCGATACGGAAATACGCAATTGTCAATTACATCGATTCAATGAATGTGCTAAAGTCTATAAATTATTATTATGAATCAACATCTTAGTGCATCTTATTCCGCAGTTGAGTATGCCATATTCCGCAGGAGAGTATGACATATTCCGCAGTGAAATCAATGTATCGCATATTCACTGCGAAATATGCCATACTCACCTGTGGAATATGCCATATACCGCGGGTGAGTATGGCATATTCACCAGTATCATAATATATGCCATATTCCACGTAACAAGACTTATTATGAAACATTTTGGGTTTGTCCTTTAGTACCATTTCTCATGACTTAACTTTACTTCTACAGGCCGTCTTATTCACCAATTTATTCCTGATACATTATATTCTCAATTTTCCATATATACATTGCATAAGGACAAAGGTAAACATACATGTACAGGGGCATAGCCAACAAGTGTCAAGGAGGTGCACCTTTTGGGGTTTGCATCATTGCGAGAGAAGGAAAACCAAAAGGGGGTACGGGAGTTCACCCTCGGAAATTTTTCAAAATTGACAATTGTATATGGTGCATTCTAAGCATTTAAAACTACAATTTGTTAATGTTTTGTAATGAATCCAAATAAAAACTGGAACTTCAAAATGTTGATCTAAAGAAAAGTAGCAACTCCTTTGTGAGGCAATTCCAACCTAATGAAACATATTTTATCAAATACTATCTTTGTGAACATTTTATAAAAATGGCAAGTGGCTTCTTGGGCATAGGCTCTATATACAGTAACAAAAACATTGGTATATAAAATTTTAACCAAATCTGTCAACTGATATTTGAGTTATCACCCTGATAGATAAATAGACTGAATACGACCGGACTGTCGAACAGACAGCTCCTTAATATAAATACAATTTTAAACTGTAAAGAGTTCCCAGATTTTTTTGTTTTTCACCTCCCGCCCTCCTCAGATTAACCCCTCAACAAACCATGAAACATATACCAGTAATTAACTTTGAATGGCCTAAGACTAACTAACTACATGGAAAGCATAATTGTATTGAACCATCTATACATATTCTTTATTCGGTTTCAGTATAATGTTCACACTGTTCTTATAAATAGACAAAACCAGATTTAATGTCATTCACTCAACCCTAATGAAAATATTTACAATTAGTGGAAACAACTTAAGATTTGATTTTGGATTTCATTGATATCCTGTCATATCCTTAAAGTGTATTTTGCTGGAACATGATTTTTCAACAATCATACAAAATTCCCTGACATTTCCCTGACACATATACTGTTTCAAAATTCCCTGACATTTTTGGCCCTTTTTGACCCAATTTTAAAATTCCCTGACATTTCCAGCACCTGGAAAAATAAATCAATTTCCCTGACATTTCCAGGTGTGTACGAACCCTGCAATAATGTTTCTGCAATTTTTTATTTTTCTTGATTTTTGTTACTCAAGTTGCCAAAGTCTTTCTTGGAAAAGTCGATGTGTGCGTTTCTTGGAGAATGTGCACCTATTAGAGAGAATATGTTATATTGAAAAACATTAATTGAGTAAGATAAAACCCCGATAACATGCAAAATGATGTTTTATCATCCTCATTCAAAGTTCTGAATATTCCACTCACATACACGTTAAATACTTTATACATGTGAATATTCAGTCATTTCTCACTGTTAACTTACTGCAACTTCATTCTTGGAAAAAAATTTCAAATTCAAAGATCAGGCCCAGATTCTGTAAAGTTAAGGCCCATTTTTGATAATTTGGCCTAAAAAGGCTCAAAAAGGCCAAGTTATGAGTATAATGAGTATAAACATATGCATTTAATTCATGGTGTTATCTAATATTAACACGAGGCCTTTGCTTCCCTCAAACTAAAATATAAAATACTTCAATTTTGTAGATATTGAACCCATATCTCACAGAGATTATTGATATGTACATTCCATCCGTAATATTGGTCATTAGCATGCATTTATGCCTTTCTTATTACTTCTATATTGTTACTTTTTTGCTGGTATATTGTTATTTAGGGCTATCACACCTGTATATGTCATGATATCAATTTTCTGATGTGAGGCATGGAAGCAATTGTGAATAGTTATGATAAATTGAAATTGAAAAATGTGGATTTTGCTCTTCCATTCTGATGTTGGTATTTAAATACAAAATAAATCTTTACATGTTGATTGTTATGGAAAATGCCATCCCTGTTTTACCAATTCAAACAAGTAAATGTACAAGAAATCACATCAGACATAAAGACATTACACATAAAGACACCAGACATAAAGACATCAGACACTAAAGACATCAGACATAAAGATATCAAGTCCCAGCAAGCTAAAGCATTTTAAAAACTTGATCATTCACAAGAAATCACTTCATCATAGAAACACTTTCTTATAATGAAACTTTGTTACCCATGAAAAAGTATAGTGGGTACGCTTATAAAGAAAAAAATCAGTAAAAAGGAAATCAAATATTTTCATTAGAGTTGACATGGTTGCCAAAACCCGAAATCTGTATATTAATTGTATATCAGACGACATGGATGACATTGTATAGCCATTAATGGGACTTGCATTGGGCTTACGATGTTTGGTATCTATAACCCATTGTTTCACTTTTGTAACCATTTGTGAGCTTAGCAAGGTATATTCTTTGGGAAACGTTCTGCAAAAAAGATTTAATACAGTTTGTATTTGTTTATAGTAAATGACTCACCAACATTTAGAATGTTTTGATCCCCAGGTTTATTTTAGTTTACAAACTTTTACAAAATTCAAGTAATTTAAATGTTTACCCCAATTACTAGTACTGTGTTCAAGAAAATATCAAAAATGCACTGAACTAGGTCAGAAAGTGAAAGTATGTAAGCATTATTATATATATATATATATTATACATTAACTGATGTCAAATAATTTGAATTTGCAGGAATCTCTGAATAAAGTATCCCGTGATATGATGACAATGCTACATAACAAGATTAAAGATGACATTAGACAGATGGACAATACTAGGGTGAGTATCATAATAATGCATCATTAAATACATGCTTGGCTTTTTCACATTGGATTATGCCATGCTTAATTATCCAATGAATGAACATTAGGGGTATACCGAAGCCCTCTGTCCATTTGTCTGGAAAACAATTCAAGTACTAATTCACAGCACACAATCTTCATATTTGGTGGAAAGATGTATATTGGTAAATCGTTACAGGCCAAAACCTTTTTTCAAAATCTTAGTTTTTCATTTCTTATCAAAGTAATAAGTACACTGTTTGAAATTTTGGTAGTTAATCCATTAAATATATCTATTTGACATATATTCTGTTTTTTTGGCATGATCCATAGGAGCTCTGTACAGAGGGAAAATGGGAATTTTCATTAATTTTCTGAAGTTTAGCTTTATTATACACAAATGAAAGGCAATTTAGATTGTAAAATGTAAATAAGAAAATCTGTCTTTTCTAAAAATTAATCAATAAACAAGTCAGTTCATCAAATTTGACAAAGTTTTAGAAAGTTGTATTTTTGAGCATTTTTCGAAGATTTCACCAGAAGCACACTTTGACAGAAAACGTGACATCTCTGAATCTCAAAGTTGTTGATGCTATTCAAGTACACTGATCTTTTTATCGTACCTAACAAGAAATACCATATTGTAGTCAGCTTGACGGGGGGCGGGTGGGCGGGCGGCGTCTCACTTTTCAGCTTGTCTACAGGTTTCCAGCCAAACCATTTGAGGGATTCATCTGAAATTTTCAGGGATGTTTCTACATATCAACGTCAAGAACTGATTAGTTTTTGGGCATTCTGGGTAAATTTTAAGGTGGCCATTTTGGATTTTCCGTCCTAAAATCTTTACTTTCAAGACTTGTCTACAGGTTTCCAGCCAAACCATTTGAGGGATTCATCTGAAATTTTCAGGGATGTTTCTACATATCAACGTCAAGAACTGATTAGTTTTTGGGCATTCTGGGTAAATTTTAAGGTGGCCATTTTGGATTTTCCGTCCTAAAATCTTCACTTTCAAGACTTGTCTACAGGTTTTCAGCCAAACCATTTGAGGGATTCATCTGAAATTTTCAGGGATGTTTCTACATATCAATGTCAAGAACTGATTAGTTTTTGGGCATTCTGGGTAAATTTTAAGGTGGCCATTTTGGATTTTCCGTCCTAAAATCTTTACTTTCCAGCCAAACCGTTCAAATTTTTTACATATGTTACACAGTGATAAGTTCTAGCGCTGATTAACTTTTCTGCGGCCATCTTGCTTTCTTGGTCAACAAGACCACAATGCTGTGTTTTAGGTACGATATTGTTCACGTCTGTGCCTTGTTTCCATTGAACACTCTATCTTCACAAAAAAAATCATGAAGATTCCTTCATTATTAAGAATGTTATTCCAAATATAGATGGTGGGATTTTTTGGGTCACCCTATATATCTCCAATATCTGTCTTTCATTCTCTGCTTATCAAGGGTTGAGTTTTGTAACACGTCTACTACATTATTATCCAGAGTTTATAAAAACTTGTAGCATTGAAATATCAAATAAATAAAGAAAAAATATGAATTGTTACAACAAAGGCTATCTTGAAATTTTAGTTGGACCAACCTTTGCCAAGGTGAAAGAGCATATTACAATTTTTCTTCAAGACAAAGAAAAATCAATCTCATGGTATTTTACACATATCTTCCAGAGGTATAAGTTTGTACATACTAGATAACTATGAATGTAAAAATACTATAGAATACCAATGCAGCTGATGAACCAAAAAATAAACAGTCAACTACTTCTGGAGCCCTAAATAGCCATCAGATTCAGTCATAACATTGGGATATAAAGAAAAGTAAACACATTCTACATTATATTCCTTGTTTTTTATGACCACAACTCCTTGCTTTGATAGCAGTGTCCTGAAATCGCCACATTCACTAATTTTTCCCATTTTCACATCATTTACAGATTCATGAAAAAGCTGGATGTTGTAGTTATTGGCATCCTTACCCCTTTTGTCGCCAATCTTAGGGATGCCTGCCTGATGTACCACTGGGGTAGACTGTGTTATGTCAAAAACTGGAATCTTGAGTTTGTTTGCATACATGACTAACCAGTTATCGAATCTCACTGAACCAATTACAAATGCTGGTATTGTGTGCCATGGGAAGCTTGTTTTATTTGTGATGAAATAGTCCAAGGCATATAAAAGTATAGGCTCAAAACCATTCCCTATGTTCAAAATTTCCTCCTCATCTCCAGTATGAAGTTTTTTAACATTTAAACCTGATCCTGAGTAAAATGTCACATCTCTCCGTAATCCAGATATGATATACTCATGTAGTTCATGTCTTTCTACAAATGTTGTAACAGCTTGGAAACTTCTTTGTAGGTGACCCCATGGATAAAGAATGTCTCCATTTGTATACATGTATAATTCACTGTCAAATTCTCTCATCGCATATATGAACATGTCTTTGAGGAAAGGCCTGTCTAGATAGGTGCTAGATTTCGGAAGGACCACAAGATGCCATCTCTTTATATCAAAATTGCTATGCCCACCACATATGTTTATGTGTTCTTTGAACTGATATTGGTAGACAGCCTTCTGAACAAATGCAACAAGATGTACCAAATCTTCTGGAAAGTTCAAATAATTGCATATTGTGTTGTTTTGCACTGTATATCGAATAGGTTCTGCATCTGCAAATGTTGTAAATAATGTCAGAAACTTACGTCTAAGTTTTGGGTCCTGTGAATGATTTTGTTGAAAAGTATACGTATTCTTTGGTTCATTTACTGAGTGCTTACATAATATTTTATCCACTTTTCCACTTCCACTTACCATTGTTCCATATATTTTCAAATCGAAAATTAGTTTTGCAATTATAATTATGGCTAGAATTACCAGAGCAATTGAATGCATTTTTCTAATCATAGTGTACTCTAGAAACTTTCCTTTAGCTTAATGCTTGGTTCCCAATATCTGAATTAATGATCTAGCTGTGTTGAATATACAGGGTGTCCCATAAGTAATGATAATTATTCTCTAAATTAATTATTTAATAATAACAAAACAATATCACTGGTGGTCCACTTGATTACACTGATTACTGAAATGTCTCGTACACAGCATAATCCAGTGAATCACAAGTGAATATGAAATTCACACATAGTAAAGATCAAGTTGTAGACTCTGTTTTGCTACATTACATTTATCATTTAACACAACGATACTCCAGTCATGGTTGCCATAGCGACCTGTGTGTGCCCTATCGCAGAGCTGCTTCACATGTCAATATATTCATTTTCACACTAGAAAAGTTACTACTCTTGGGATATTGTATGGATCTTTCAAATCATTGTTCATCAAGTGCTCATTATCCCAACGAATGAAATTCTGTATGGGATAAAGTGAAGCCCTCTGTTCATCCATCTGTCCATCCATCCATCAGTCTGTCAAGAAAATAATTCGAGTAGTAGTGAATGGATTTTCTTCATATTTGGTGGAAAGATGTATATTGGTAAATAGTATTGAGCAAAAAAATTTCAAGATGGTCATCGTTTTGAAAACTGCAGGAATTTTTCACGAAAATCTGTCATTTCAAACCAAAGTAATGAGTTTTACTGATTAAAATTTTGTTTGGCACATTAAAGCTATACTCCATGGAGCAACTCTACGAGAAGTTTCAGATGAATAGCTCAACTAGGTGCACTTTTATGATCATTACAAGATGTGCTCTAAATGTAGTCCATTCCATTGCAGACCCACTTCTGGATTCTATGGGCAAAGTCAAACCCTCCAGATTTTTATCTCTGGGAGTACATGAGGGATCAAGTGTATGAAACAAACTAGTTGTGGGACTCATCCAAATTTTCAGACTCAATTATCTGGAGCAAATTGACCACGATTGATTAAATAAATTTGAATATTTTCAAAGAAATGGAACCTTCCAAAACTTACTATTATTATGCTCCAAAACATGAAAATTCTACAAGATTTTGAAAACCAAAACGAGCCTGAGACATGAACTTCCAGTTTTGACTTGCATAGGAATGAAAAAATCTAAAGTTGAAACAGTTTTGAGTCAATTATTTGTGAAAGAACTGAGCTGAAGTTCGACTCGAGTCAAAATCAAAGTTGAAAACAAAAATCAATTTCAGACTTTTTAATCCAAACGAATGATTATTCAAGTTGCTGATTTATAGTACCACCACTAAAACAAATCCCCAAAACTATAAAAAACTTGAAGAGAAAGATCACCAGGAAAATCAGGGCCATTTCTGTTGGGTAATGTGTTCCTAGTGTCAGTTTACGTTTAACATTCAGCTTCCTGCATCCCAAACAAACATTTTATTCAAATCCGTGCATTTAAAAAAATTCCAAAATAAAATGTAGATTTTTTGGCCAACACTGTATTTTAGAAAATATTTAATTCCATATGAACTTCCGTGAAAATTGATCAAATTTCTGCAATATGATCTTATTGATTTTGATATTTTGATTTTGATTTAACCATTGAATTATGATCCTTGAGAGTAAATTAACTTATAAAGATCTTTAAGATTGCATCAATTGGAGTTCAATCCAATGTTTCCAGAGGACTTACAAAACCTTTGACATTGAATACTGCCAACCAGAAAAACAAAATGGGCCAAAGATGTTCTAAAAGAAAATTCAAATTACAAAGTTCAAATGTCTCATCAAATAGTAGAAAATTATATGTTCTTGAATGAAATAGATATGGAAGACTCATAGATATCAATCTACACAATAATGTTTTACAATATCGGAATATAAAACATATCTTTATGCATACATTCTCTGAGATAGTAATTGTTTTTGATCACTTTAACTCTATGCTTGAAGAAAATTGTCCGAAAATGAGCACATTGCTTTATTCTTCCATAGTTTTTATTATTAATTATTGATTCTTGAAAAAGCTGGAGGTTATAGTTATTGGTGTCCCTAGCCCTTTTGTCTCCAATCTTGGGGATGCCTGCCTGGTGTACCACTGGGGTAGACTGTGTTATGTCAAAAACTGGAATCTTAAGTTTGTTTGCATACATGACTAACCAGTTATCGAATCTCACTGAGCCAATTACAAATGCTGGTATTGTGTGCCATGGGAAGCTTGTTTTATTTGTGATGAAATAATCCAAGGCATATGGTCGAGTAGGCTCAAAGCTATTCCCTATGTTCAAAATTTCCTCATCATCTCCAGTATTAAGTTTTTCCACATCCAAACCTGATCCTGAGTAAAATGTCACTTCTCTCCGTAATCCAGATATGATATATTCATGTAGCTCATGTCTTTCTACAAATGTCGTAACAGCTTGGAAACTTCTTTGTAGGTGACCCCATGGATAAAGAATGTCTCCATTTGTATACATGTATAATTCACTGTCAAATTCTCTCATCGCATATATGAACATGTCTTTGAGGAAAGGCCTGTCTAGATAGGTGCTAGATTTCGGAAGGACCACAAGATGCCATCTCTTTATATCAAAATTGCTGTGCCCACCACATATGTTTATGTGTTCATTGAACTGATATTGGTAGACAGCCTTGTCAACAAATGCAACAAGATGTACCAAATCTTCTGGAAAGTTCAAATAATTGCATATTGTGTTGTTTTGCACTGTATATCGAATAGGTTCTGCATCTGCAAATGTTGTAAATAATGTCAGAAACTTACGTTTTGCTTGTGTCTTCTTTGAGTATATTGCCTTACTAATACACATATCCTCATTATTTTGCTCAAACACCTCTGCCTCCTTCATATTCCTCATATCAAATTCTCTCATTTTATCTTGTATTGTTCCATATGGTTTAGCTGCAAAACCAAGCATCAACGATGCATTAATAAGTGTGAATATAATCGCGAAACCTCCGATTGGAAGCATTTTCTGAAACATTCTGTACTTGAGTAGTTTTGCCATCAAGTTTTCACATATGAGTCCCAATGTGTGAACACTTGGATGGAACTGCTTTGAACATAGTATGGATTGTACTATGTCAGGCATGCGGTTAATGCAATTTACTAAAATTGTGGAAGTCTTACATTAATGTTTATTTCTTCTGGGATATATAATTGAACTAATTGGTAATTTGAACTTGGAGTAATCTCTCTCATTGTATTTATGTTTGAGATTAAAGGCAGAATCAGATCTATAGGGGGTGACAAAATTACAAGCAATTTGTATAATTGACCTACAAATCTACTCCTTACAATATCAAAAACAATATCTCCCAAAAGATTCACAATATGTTATAAATTGGTTAAGTTATTAATGATTCAAGGTGCAAAAATGGGTGAAAAATGTTTAAATACTCCCAAATAATAAGAATGGTAACCATTCTTATAGAAAAATAATACATTATTGTAAAAATCTTTAATTTTCCTCAAATAAAGTATGCACTTTTGTGATTTTTAGAAAATAGACATGACAAGGAATGACATGAGCCAAAAATATTCTAAAATTGAAAAAAAAATTTGTTTAGCCTGCTCGCTATATCTGATTCTCTCTTTAAATGAAATAATAGATTCTTGCTCTGTGTGACTCTTCTTGGCCAGTATACCATACTCATCTTCTTTCTCAACTGTGTCTGTGCATTGAGGAAGTTTTGATTGTAATGTTGTGAGACACATAATAGAAATATGAATTGATGGGATGTTCCTGAAACACATGTCAGTCTTATGGGAAGTTCCTGAAACACATGTTACTCTTATATACAATCTCACTCAATGCGCTGTAAATTCAGTGTTTTCCCAGCATTATAGCAACTAAGTGCTGCACTCTGATGAAAAATTACCTGCCTTGGACCCTGTTGAAAATCTGGGTGAAGTTGAAAAAATGATTTTGACAAAAACAGGTAAAATTCGAATTTAGCACGCTGTTGAGAAAAGACTTGGTTAGACCACTGATTGAAGAATCCCATTGATATAATTGTATCATGGTCTTATTTATAGATGTCTCTCATAATAATTGCTTGTTACCGCTCAGTATTAGAACATGAATTCTGTAAATCTGTTTATGTTGCCTGTTACTGCGAGGATATTGTTGCTATGTCCCTTCAGTTTAGATATTAAATTGACAGTCTGAGGTTAAAAGTCATGTCCAATATATTGGATGGCAGGGCAATTCACAATAGAAATATGTGAATGAATATGAAATCTTTTTAAAACATTGATCACAACTTAAAAGGAATCTGTCATAAGATTGAAAGCTGCACAAATAAAGGTTTCTTTAGTGATATATTTTGTTTTCAAATATAAGGCACACACTTACAATACCTAACAACCCTGACAATAAATCTAGGTAATGATGATGATTTTTAAGCTTCTGTGATATAATGAGGGAGATTTAGTTGTTCGTTCATGTTTTACCATTAATCTACTTAGAAATTCCATGTGTAATGGTATAACACTGTCGGCAGAAATAAATATTCAAACAGTAATCGAGTAAATTAGGTAACCTATTTTTGAGAACCAGTGTCCTGATTGAGGATAACATGCCCTTAGCCAGGTTTTGCCAAGGGGGGTTTACTTTTTGAAAATTCCAGGGGGGCCACATTTGACTACTTTAGGCCAAAAATCGCCAGAATTACTCGAATAGTGCGTGCTCAAAACTGCATGATTTTGAGCTTCCCGGATCCATGACTCAAAAAGAGTCCAAGGTAGCTTTTAAATTTGATATTAATCAGTCTAATATCAGCACATATCCAGGCAAACTGATTGATGGGTTGATTGGTTTGAAATTCAGAGATGTTTCTCAGTTTGAACATTCAGAACTATTACTTTTTGGACATACTGATTATCTGAATATCTGTATCAAAGCAGATTAAAACTGAAAAATACAAACATGTTGTTCACATAAAATATTGCTCTTCATTTCGTAAGTCCCTTCAACTTCTGTTTGCTTTTAGATTTAATGTTGAATGTAATAAAAACATTGTAAATAAAATAAAATAAGCAATCAATTCATGTAAATGTACATGTATGTTCTATTGCAAAAAGGCATGTCTAGACATGTGTTCATGAGCTAAGTCACCTATATCCAGTTGTCTATGCACATGATGTCATTTCATACATTATGTCAATATACAAGCCCATTGTAAGTTCCACTAGATTCTTTCGGGAGGTTAATTTCTCAGAAAGCCAGCTTTGGTAACTTAAACAAAAAAAGATGGGGTGACTTCCAAATTTGCATTAAATGTCACTCAAAATTGAATCTTCCAATAAGGTTTAGAGTCGAAGTCTCTTGAGTTGTTAACAAGAAATGAATATTCTTGGTTTGTGTCTGGCAAAAATATCTTATGACTGTGGCTTGTATTCTTGCATATACCACTGCTCCCCCTCCCCCATAATCTATTTTCTAACTCTCGTGACCTGTAAAAGGTGTGTGTATTACGAGGGGGAGGAGGATGCACAAGGACATGATGCAAAACTTATGTCTGTTATTTGTCCAGTTATCCAAAATATGCTGGTTTATGTTAGAGACATCAGGTCCAATGGTATGCCCCTAACATGTGTACTGTGTTGACCCTTGGTACTAATTTCATAATTTCAGTATTGTATTTTATCTTGTCTTGTTTTTTATCATGGTCATACCTATTGTCTTATTACTATCTAACAGAAACCGGTATAATTGTAGTTATAATGTACATATCACGTTTATCATAACAGAATGGAATTTGACCTTGGATGGAGCATAAAGCTGATCAGCTGATGTGAATTCTACGAAGTTCATATCGAACAGAATACAATCACTTGGGAAGAATCATACATGTAGCAAAGCTCTTCTGGAAATAGACCCCTGATAAATCATGAACGCCTAATTCATCAGGGGTCCATTACCAGAAGACCCTCAGCTACTTGTAAGACTTGCTCTATTCTTACAAAGATGTTTTAACACACTATATAGTAGTGTATGCGTTGATTAGTTGAAATAGACAGAAACCAAAACTATTGTATATTCGATTCATCATTTGAACGATTTTTAAACTACCAGTATACTTATTTGGTGTGTCTTTAGGTTGGTGAAACATTAAGTGTGACTAGAACTAACCTCAATGACACGATTTGAGTTAATTGGTTGTCTCAATTAGGCTGTATAGTTCTTGACATGTATTTGTGTTTTTGTATCTTCTATAGCCTTTCTATTGTTAATATTCCTTAGTAAACATGTCTCAAGAGCTGTCTAAGATTTGACATTGTTCCTTCAATCAAGGACCCATGTACCATTGTACCATGGATAATTTGTTATAAACAATAAAATACCAGTTTTTATGTCACCACCAGAATTGGTGACTGGTGATGTATTTTATAGTCTCCAACTTTTTTGTGGATGGTGTTCAATGGCAGGTGGTGACATTCTGCATCTTAATTAATGCCATGTTGTTTCATTGTTATTGTTTTCAAGTGTAAAATTGTTTCTGAGATTTAAGATTGCGCCTTTTTATCAGTCATGTCACAATCTACCAAGTGCTCGTGCACAATGTGTGTACATATAGATATTACAATAAATTCTACAAAACACCAGTTTTGTTTTTGGATCCTGTATAGAAGATGTTCATAAAAACAAGTCTCAAGTGTTGTCTGGAGTTTGATATTGTGCTTTACCATTCAAGTCGCAACCAACCAAGTGCTTTTGAATAGTGTCAATGTCATTAGACAGTACTTCATTCTAATATCATTTTGCAGTTATGAGCAACTACCAGAATATCATTAGCATTTAAAATATTTGTATTCTCCATGTTTTGTTTTTGAAATATCAAATTCACAATACTAGATGCCAGTAGAAACAATCTTGGTTTCCATGATAAGATATTCAAATTTTAGTCAAAGCAATATCATATTTGAAATCTCCAAACAAAAGTACATCTATAATTATCTTTTTAAGATTTTGATTTTCTTTGAACTTTTGCTTTCTGGATGATTTCTGGGTCAGGTAGATTCATCATAAAGCCCATGCTATAAGTTTTTTTAGTGTATTGAACAGATTGTTTTCTTGTATTGATAAATGGTCCATGATGACTAATTACGAATGGAACTTATTGTTATATACTGTACTATTGTAAATGTCTTTGCTAGAAGCTCAAAATGGTAAAAAATGGTATTTGATGCATCAGCTGAAATATACTTTAATTCTACTTAAGGAATCTTTTTCTCAAAATAAAATGAGAGTTGGAGATGATATGTAGTTTCATAAAGTTTGAAGAAGATTAAACAGTTCAAATGTGGGAAAGGATTTTCTCACAGATTTGTATGTGGTACTATATTCAAAATATACATTTACGTCTGTCTTACGCTGGATAAATCAAAACGGGCTAGATGATCTTCTTAATCATTAATAACTGCTGTGCTTTCTTTCAGGATTATTTTGTGTGTGTTTATTTCATGTTTTATATTTTAGCATAGAATTTTGTATATTTTGTTATCTTGTGCAACATTTTAACTTTTTTTTTAAACATTTGAAACTTTTTCTGTAATATTTTAGGATTTTGTATTTTTAGCATTATTTGAGCTGCTTTTTATTATTTTTTGTAATATTTTAGAATTTTTTTATTTCTACATATCATTTGGCACCTTAACTTTTTGGAGGAGCATGTTGGATTTATGAGTAACCTTTATATTTTTATAATTTCAGGTGAAAGATCACATGGCGAGACTGCATTCTAAGTGGAATCTACAGGCCAGAAACCAATCAGAACAAACTGTTCTTACGCGCTTCTTCAGTCAAGCTAAGTCCAGCATGCTTCACATGGAACAGACTGATTCTAGTGGCGTGCAAATTGAGCATGTGAAAGCTAGTCAATCGGATCATGACTCTGAGCTTGAGAATGTGGGAGATAGCATGGAGCAATCTCTCCCTGGAGATATACAGCCTGAGGAGGGCAGCATGGAGCAATCGCTCCCTGGAGATATACAGCCAAACAGTGAAAGTCAAAAAATGGAGGAATCTCTTCCTGAGGTTATACAACCGGAGGGGAAAAGTCAAAAAATGGATCAGAATTCAGACAATGCTGATCAGAGATCAGAAAATCTAGACAATTATCCTGAAAATGTTAATGAGCAAGCTAATAACATGGACAATCAGTCGAACAATATGGACCATGGTAACAACTTTGAACTGACAGACTCATCTGTGGGACCATCTAGTGTCAGTAGGAGTAACTCTTCTGAGTATGAAAATATATTTGAATGTGCTTAAGTGTAGAATATATTCAGAGCATTGCCAGTATACATTAGGGCCTAGGTCAAAATATCAATTCATTTTTGGTGAAACTAATTTACACAACCCCCAAGTAATAAGTTTTACGAAATGGTAGCACCGATAGTTGAGATGGTCTGAGTATAAGTCTCTTTATTATAATAATCTAACTTTTAGTACCATGGGTGTCACAAAACTTGGGATAATATCTTAAATGATATAGCATAAGAATGATAGAATCAGAAATCCTTTGGATTTTATCAGAAATCCTATGTGTTTTTTCATTTGTGTCCCATCCACTGACTCCATCATTCTCATTAACTTTTAGTTGCTGTTTATAAACGATGTAACAATTTCTATATTTTTTGTAAAATTATACCAGTATATTTTAGCAGAAATATATTACATCTCAATGATATTTCAAAAGCCATTGATATAAGCTTCTTGTTACAATAGTATGATCTGTGATGTTTGTTTTGATTTTGACATTGAAAAGATTAGAAAATAAATGTTGAGTATCCATACTGCACTAATGTCCTTGGCTGTATAGTATCCACTAATGGATGACTATATGAGTTGTAAGGATTTGTTCTATTATCTTGACTATAATACCATCCTACTTAAGATCACTTTCAACACAGGGGCCTGTTTCGCACTTCCACTCCTGCTTATATTGGATAAGTTGTCAGTAATGCGTTAGAAATGTGAAACTGGTCCTTGTGTTTCAAGCATATGAATAGAGTATTTGTTCTGGGTGAATGATCTTTACTGGAACTCTTTGTCCATAATGTGTGTGCCAAGAGCCAGGTTGCCATCACGCTTGAATGACTCCAGTTTGTTCACAATGTCTGCTAGTTCCTTGATTGAGTCAACTTGTTCAGTGAGGAACTCACTCTCCAAGTAGTCTTGGAACTGGAAATAAACAGGTACAGGTTCATAAGTTTCTGAATCATGTTTGACAATATTGGCATCCATTTGGGAACTTAAATGACAGAAATGTAAGAAAATGAACTATCACAAGTTCATATGATTCGCTTAAAACTTGGAATATTTGAACAAAAATATGCCAGATTAGAACCCCTTACTTATTGAAAATTAGGAAGGTGATTTAAAATGTCAAGATTCAACAAAAATATTCTGTTGAAAATGATTTGAATAATTTACATCTCAACAACAATCTTACTGTGACCTTGATTACAATGATGTGTTATAAAGAAACACTATTTTGTCAGGTAGACTTACATGTGGATCATTCCTTGTGGCAGCTACATCGTGAATTCTCAGGAGATGTGCATTGACAACATGTTCCAACTTGAGGCAGTCTTTCATGGCATTCAGGGCAGTCTTCCAGTTCTGTCTAGAGGGAGCCTACAATATAAAGATTGAGAAATAAGAAATTAGAAAATGAAAAAGGACAATTAAAATGTGTTGCCAGATAAAATACTAATATTCTCAATTGTCTTTGTTGAAACTCAGTATCTACACTATTTGGCAGTTGACTAGGGCAAATTAGCTTTTAAGTAAATGTTAAGCAATGTTTAAAACAATACTACTGAAGATTCCAGATTGTACTGAAGATTTAAAGATTCATAAAGATTCTTTCATTTCTTGTGATAATTTCACATTTCATAAATGAAACTTATTCCAAACTAAAGAATCAATAAAAGCCTGTGATCTTTGCAAATTATAAAAATAATACTTCATACCATCTATAGAACTATAGAACTTGTGTACATGTATTTGAAATAGAATGGGGGAGTTGTGACAGATGACTTACCATGACATTGCTAAGTCTGACAACACCTCCTCTCTTTGTCTGGTAAGCCATCAATTTCTGTGCATGTTCTCTCTCCTCATCGGACATTCCTTGGAACTTCTTGGCGAACCCGGGGAGGGCAAAGTCATGACGGCTGAAGTGATTTGCCTGAAAGCAAAGAGGTTTTAATTTAAATGGGGAAAATAGTAGTTTTGTCAAGCTAGAGGGATTGAGTTTCCTTTAATGTGCATGAAATTGCTCTGATCCATTGCAAATTTGCAGGTCAAAAGTTTTCTGATTCAAAAACTCATTTTCTTGCATTTTTTCACCACCTTGGTTGCTATATTGTGATCAATTTGCTGGGCGCATGGATGGGCAGGTGTCCCACTTAATTTTGTGTATGCGTTTCCAGGCTAAGTTCAAATTTTAGTAATGTTTCTTTGTATGAAAATGTAGAACTATAGTATTTTGGATTTTCCACCCTAAAGTGTCTGCAAAGTCCTATCTACACAATAGTCAAGCCAAACTGTTTGATGGATTGATCTGAAATTTTAAGGGATGTTTCTTGGTATGAATGTTTAGAACTGATTAGTATTTGGGCATTCTGGGTAAATGTTAAGGCAGCCATTTTGGGCTTTCCTTTTGAAAACTGTCTATAAGTTGTAAATATTATAACAGTTTCCAAAATTTGCAATACATGCCAAGATGTGTCCGATTCCAGCCAATCCGAACACAGTATTTTTACGTGACAGCATTGCATGAATCAATAACGCATTTGTTGTGTATGGTTGTTAAGGTGATGAGATTGCAATTGATGCTTTGCCAATACTTGACCCTTGCAAAAAGTTTCATTGAAAATATGTTATTTTAGTGATCTTTTAGGTGAATTTATAGAAAATATTTTCCAATGTGTGAAAAGAATTTAAGCCCAAGACTCAATGCATTGTTGCTGCTTCATTCCACTCAGGCGTTGTTTCCTAAACTTTGCATTCCCTCTACGCAGTCATGCAAAGGTTTGGAAACAACACATTCATGGTATGATTCAGCAAACAATGCACCGAGTCCAGCGTTTAAATCCTAAATCAATGAAAACATTGAGTCAGTTTTACAAAGCTTAGCAAAAACAAAAATGAGACCCCCAATAGTTAGACACTCCTTACCATAGCTTGGTATGTGTAGCTGGCCTCCATCTCTCTGGTGATCTGTGCATTGATCTCATCAGCTACAGACTCATGGTAGTTCTGGCACACGCCATAGGGACCATCACAGACAGATGCATCATCTGAAATACAGGTTGTGACACACATTATTAGAGGTAATTCTACTTGAGGATTCACATCAATGCTAGATGGCATTTTGTTCAGCACAGTGAGGCTAGATCTATTCAGAAAAACCTGTCTAATGGAATGCAGTACCTATTTGTAAGGAACACATCTTACATCTTACATGGAACAGTTTTCACAAGAACCAAGTCCCATTGATTCACATGCCTGTTTGGCCTGATTTTCCCCAAGTGAATTTTGAACACCCAAAAGTCACCCAGAAATAAACCAATGTGGTATTCTGGTGGATGTAGCTAGCAGTGGCGGATCCAGGAACCAACAAGGGGGGGGGCCCAAATTAGAGAATATAGAAAAAACCTCCGCGCTTGCGCGTAAAAAAAATTTGGGCCCCTAAAACCGAAAAAGTGGGCCCAAATTTTGAAAATTTGAGGCCCATTTTCTTCAAAATTTGGCCTAAATTAAAAAAATAAGGCCTTAGAAGGCCCAATAATGACCAAAAGGCCCACTTTTTGGGGCCTTAAGGCCTTTTTTGGCCTAAAATTTTTTTGGGCCCAACTTCTTTTTTTTTTGGGCCAACCTTAGGGGGGGGGGGCCCGGGCCCCATGGGCCCCCCCCCCCGGATCCGCCATAGGCTAGTCTCCTGTAAACAACATCTAGGACTTGAATACTGTTTGACAAGGTTGCGCAGATGTGTAATATGCTCGCCTTATTTCAAAATCTACATATTTTGTATTTGGGACTCAGTGACTTGGTACAAACAGGATGTATTAATTTTCTCAGTAATATTTTGATATTTGGAGAAAACAAGATCGTAAATATCAACATGATGTTTTAAACAATTCTCAAAATAAGTTTAACTTTCATAATTACATAGGTTGTATAGTTACAATACTTTAGGTATTTAAACATTTATTTATGATTCCGCTAATAACTATGATTCACACAAAAAATTGAGTATCGACAAAATGAAATCCAATGAATTTAGTAGAAATGAACTTTGATAAGATCCCTCAAACTTTTCACTGCCATAAAATTTTGTAAAAAACAACTATTTTATGTGTGTTTTTAAATGCCACTTTGACATTGTCAAATAAGAGTGTACAATGTGCTGTTATGTGCTATTGACGAACTCTGAGATCATATTCATCTCCTATTTTAGTCCCTGGATGTATCTTGAAAGTGGGATAGAAAGAATAAACAACTTTAAGATTTGAATAAACATTTTTTAAAGGATTCAAAATAATATTTGCTGATTGCTCACACTATAACTGTATACACAATATAATAGTGATAAAAACTGAGTTCCATCAAATTAAAATTTCATTTATTTTAACAAAAAGCGTTTACTGAAGTTTGTGGTTTTGCAATGTGTTATTCTCTGTTAACAAGCTATTTTACACAAGTGTAGAATGTGCAAGTCAGAGGCCTGGATGGGGATGGTAATAGGATATACATGAATAGTGAGAGATCCATGAGTCATCAAACAAAAATTGGTCTAAGTCAAAAACAAAATTATCTTTTAAGATTTTAACATGGAGCTTTTTACCTCTATATTATAACTTTTATTTTTTATGTTGCTATTCATCCATGATTTTACACAGTCTTTTGGTTAACAATATATCTAAATATATAATGAATATCGAAACATTTTAAGAATGCAGGTTGATTCCACTGTAATAATTGAAAAGTATCACATATGTATGGGAAATAGTTCAAAAACAAAAGCTTTGAATTTATTTTTGAAAATTGTATTCCATGAATGCCATTATGGATTCTGTTCATGTACTTACTACTTTCCGATTCATCTTCATCATTCACTTGGTTATGCCTGTTTCCCATACATGACATCAAAGTCAGTCCAAGGATTGCGACAACGGGGAAGACCTTCATCTTTGTTGCTTAGTCCTATTGTACTGGTAGAGATAATGAAATTTTAATCTAAAGATGCGCAGGTAGAAACTGTAGCCTTCTCGACTCGAGCTTCTCTGTAGATTTGGTAAGTAAAGTGAACTTGAGGTCATCGGTAAGTAGGTTCATAAACTGGGGGACCATATCAAAAATTACATCTGTTGATATATCACCAGCATTTACTGTTACATGTTGGAGACGTGTAGCATATGTGTGTTTTAATTAAAATATTACAAATAAGAACCAATAAGAACCAATATACTGAAAATGTAATAGATGTTGAGACACAAAATGATGTAGTAACACTTTGTCTGAGGAGCATTGAAATGGTCCTTTACTGTAGAGACAATGGTATATTATTTCATATTTGGGGCACCCAAAGGGGAAAATGATATGCAGGTAAAAGAGGTTTCATACTTGACAAAAATAACTAAAGAGCAGTAACTTTGACACAATTTTTCGCAATTATATATTATGTAATATTCGTTATCGTTAAATGTGAAAGAGGGAATAAATAAAAGTTTCTACGTAGACAAAGTGGATTCTTAGGTACACACCCCAATGGGGGATGGGAGCCCCAGCTAACAGACAGTGAACTGATAACATATACAATCATTTGCATTATGAGTACATACATTTCTTCACTTCAAACTTTAGACCTCTATCTACCACAAATCCTTTATTCCCAGCTTAACGAAAGTGACAATGTTCCAGATGTAATAATCTTGCCCTTGATCCCTTGTAAACCCTTCTCGCCTCACCTTCTCAGGAAAACGTATACACTATTGAGAGAATTCTTTTCATTCAATGAATCAATAAATTGAGACAAATGATTCTTCAGAAAACATATTTCCAATTGTTACCTAATGCAGGCCTCTAATTTAGGTGAAATATAATGTAACTTTTTACAAAATGTCCACATATTGTGAATTTGCAGCCAAGACTCCTTCAAACCATGGACAGCAGGCAGGGGCGTAGCCAGCTTTCAGTCAAGAGGGGGGGGTGCAATCGCCAAAAATATTTCAGTTTTCAGTCAAGGTTGTGGCATAAACAAGCCAAAACATAAGATTTATTTTGAATTTTACAAAATCTTTTCACATGGTTAAACTAATGACAACTTGAAGTTGGAGAGTAAGATCTCTGTAGAAGCCATGGAAGAGCTAATAAACTATGTGTTATCTATATTTAACAATAGTCAGATAGGTCCAATAGTCTGACATGTAGCAAGTCTATGGCGTATAATGAGGGTCTAAGATTACTATAAAAAGGTGCACAAGTGTTGTTGTTATCTTGAGATCAACAGGTCCTTATATTGTCTGAAACATGTGCAAACAATGACTTATCATAAATAAATCAAATATGCTATTTGCACTTAATGCTTGACAGCTGAAGGATATGTGAAAAGTTGATAAAACTTTTTTAAATTATACTTATTGCATATAAAAACTGTTTGAAACTTTTTTTATTGTGCTCATTTATCATCATAAAGTTATAAAAACCGGTGAATAGTGCAATGACCTTGTGTTATAAATACTGTATAACTCAGTAAATGTAACAATATCTCCTTCTGAATTTTTTGCAATGTGTCCATATGTAACCATGCCATCAGTGACATACACCGTTACAGTACATTGTGGAATAGAAAATATTGGATAAACACATGGTGGAGAGTTGGCTAAACTATAATATTCCTGGTTTCCAATCACAGTTGTTTTGACACTTTATAATGAGGATAATCTGCTTGGGGATTTAGTATATTTAGTTTATTTAGTTACAGGATGAACCATGGGCTCTACCACAGTAACAGTCACATCATACCACATAGGAGACAAATAGAGCTTTATAATGGTGTATCAACTTTATACCAGTCATGTTTCATATCAAAACTGAACAACTTGACAAAAGTCAGAAAATTCATTCGTCGCTACAGGTTTCACATGGACCGAAATGGCATTTTGTCTCATTTTTAACAAGCCATCACAGAAAATATACTACCTTTCCCCAAGTAACAGTCACATCATCAGATAGGAGAGAAATTGGGCTTCTTAATGGTGTATAAACTTTATACCAGTCATGTTTCATATCAAAACTGAACAATTTGACAAAATGAGAAAATGTAGTCATTGTGACAGTTCCAACGGAGATGGAAATGGCATTTTGTGTCATTTTTAACAAGCCATTTCAGAAAATATACTTATTTCTCCCAGATTAGAGTAAGATCATCAGATAGGACACAAACAGGGCTTTGGAATGGTGTATTAACTTCATACCAGTCATGTTTCTCATTTAAACTGAACAACTTGACAAAAGTTAGAAAATTCATTCGTCGCTACAGGTTTCACATGGACAGAAATGGTATTTTGTGTCATTTTTAACAAGCCATTACAGAAAATATACTACTTTTCCCCAAGTAATAGTCACATCATCAGATAGGAGACAAATTGGGCTTTATAATGGTGTATAAACTTTATACCAGTCATGCTTCATATCAAAACTGAACAACTTGACAAAAGTCAGAAAATTCATTCGTCGCTTCATGTTTTACATGGACCGAAATGTCATTTTGTCTCATTTTTAACAAGCCATTACAGAAAATATACTACTTTTCCCCAAGAAACAGTCACATCATTAGATAGGAGACAAACTGGGCTTTCAAATGGTGTATAAACTTTATACCAGTAATGCTTCATATCAAAACTGAACAACTTGACAAAAGTCAGAAAATTCATTTGTCGCTTCATGTTTTACATGGACCGAAATGGCATTTTGTCTCATTTTTAACAAGCCATTACAGATTACATACTACTTTTCCCCAAGTAACAGTCACATCATCAGATAGGAGACAAATTGGGCTTTACAATGGTGTATACACTTTATACCAGGCATGTTTCATATCAAAACTGAACAACTTGACAAAAGTCAGAAAATTCAGTCGTCGCTACAGGTTTCACATGGACCGAAATGTCATTTTGTCTCATTTTTAACAAGCCATTACAGAAAATATACTACTTTTCCCCAAGAAACAGTCACATCATTAGATAGGAGACAAACTGGGCTTTCAAATGGTGTATAAACTTTATACCAGTCATGTTTCATATCAAAACTGAACAACTTGACAAAATGAGAAAATTTGGTAAATATAGCCACAGTGGATTGAAAATTGGATACAAAAAGGGGTGTACTTTTGTCACGTTTTTTTCAAAAACAACGATGACTCAACATATTAAGCCTAACTTAGTGAATAAATGTGTACTCAAAGGTGTCATGAATAGGTTCAAAGTCCTGAAATTCAGTGTTGAAATGAAGAAAATTGACGAGCAAAAAAAAATAATGGCGGATTTGGATTTTCACGATGTAAATCAATATCGTGACCAATTTAGGTAATTTGATGCCTATTAAACAAGTTCTATACTAAAATGAAGTAAATGTCAAATGTCTTACCAATATTTGTGAAGGTTAGTTGGGTTTCATTGCGGAAATAAGAGTAGAATCTACGAGGCTTCAACTTGGGACATTATTTTTTCCCCGTTGCGTCAACTTCCGGTTCTTCGCCAAGCCGAGGCCACCATTTAACACGGCGCCAATGGCTCGTTGCATACCCATCTGATAGAGCCCATGGATGAACTGAGTGTTACTTTGACTCTTATAGTCTCTCAAGAGATCTTTGTACCTAAGTGTTTATGTTTTCCCACTTTACCAACACAACATGATGCATCAACAATGAGGTAATCTGTCAACACATATACCCTTGGGAAAAAGTCAGCTGTATCTACTCTTAAAATCAGATTTTATTTGATGTAGTATATAACACGGGCAATTAAAATCACATTGGCAATTGAAAATGCAGGGAGTGGATAAAAATTCCAAGAATATATTTAATGAGACCAATAAAAGGGGATAGAGAAAAGACATGATTGGGGGCAGAAATGCAAGAGAATATATAAAATGATTTGTATAGATGAGTAAGGGGATAGCACAACATATGTTGATGTGTTTCTGCTTCCTATATTGTCTATATCCTATATTAAATTGTAATGCAATAATTGTTAATTCAACAATCTAACAGTGTCAAACAGAATAGGTGCTTATTCTTCATGTAAAAAGTTATGGTATGGTTTAACCCTCATCTAACCAAATTTAAAATGTTGATTTGACTTTCACTTGAATATCAAAAAATCAACATTATTATATCATAAATCTCCTGTTGGAGATCATGGGACTTTATCTAGTAAGGTGGAAATCCAAAGATGTCGCATGTTGAATTAAATGATTTACATTCCCAGCATCTGATAGAGATATTAGAGACATCTATCTTAACCTCTATTCTTCCAAAATCGAATACTTTTCTGAATATTCAAAAGGACTTACATTCCCAGCACCTGATAGAGATATAGAAACATCTATCTTAACCTCTATTGAAATAATTTGACAAAAAATCGAATCCTTTTCTGAATATTTATTTATATATTTTATGTGCAAATACACCATAAGCATATATATATCAACATACAATAATAAAACATACAGGGAGTTCAATTGAATATGATACTATACAGGCATGTATATTGCACAATAAGCGAGGCAGTACAATGGTGAATATCAAACAATTCGTATGGGTACAATACAGCATTTTAATAATCATGCTTAGATCCTATAACATGCAGTTACATTATTTCACCATTTACAATACTCATTTATATAATACTACCACGTGGTTAATTAATAAATACATCCTTTTTCATCATCAGTCTTTTGAGATTGAATGTGGTAAATAGGAAAAATGGGAATTTGGGAGGGGCTTTATGAATGAACAATCTTTTTGTAAAATGGGGATCACAAAAAGATTGAACAATAAATTAGTGTAAAATGTCTACACACACTAGTAACACATACTAGTTATAGACATATAAGATGCTGCTGTATCTCTTAATATATCAAATATTCACAAAATCTTGCTGTAGAAAGTATGTACTTTCCTTCTTTGAGTGGGGATCAAAGAAAGACAGTACTATACTATATTCATGGAACTGTTCAAGTGGTCATTCCACTGGGCGTCACAAAGCCCCTGCTTTCCATCTCAAGACGTAAGTTACAAAGAGAGTCTGTGCATTCCTTCCTTGAGTGGGGGTCAAGGAAAGACTGCATTTTCACTTCTTTTATAAATATGACTCAATTAGATGGAGCACATCTTTGCTCATAATGAGCTTTGCTTTCTTTTAGTTTAAATTGAAGAGTACATGATGTGAACTGTACCTTCATTGAGTGATCTGTATTTTCATTTAGTACATGTTGTGAACCGTACTTTGAGTGATCTGTATTTTCATTTAGTACATGTTGTGAACCGTACTTTCATTTAGTACATGGTGTGAACTGTACTTCTTTTACTGAGTACATGATGTTAACTGTATTTTCATTTAGTACTTGATGTGAACTGTACTTTCATTTAGTGCATGATGTGAACTGCACATTCATTATTTATCAGAGAGTGTGTTTCTTTCCCAAAACACTTTCTCTTAGCCTTTGTAAATGTTGTCTCCTTGTTTGAGTGGTAATCAACAAAGACGAGGCTAGACCTGTTTTTCTAGTGGAAATAAGAATCCACATTTTGACATTCTATAATTGATAATACATTGAAAAAGTTGAAACAGATCTCATAGAAAGAGCTGGAAGTCTTTACTTATTTGAGTGGGGATCAAAAAAGAAAGACACTGTGCGCATTCATACTGAGATCCATAAGACTACTAGGAAGTGGTTTCGCTAAATAGCTAAAGTTGATATAAGTTAATATTGCACATGTGTTATATATTTTGTATTTTAAATTCTCTATTCATATTATCAAGGAACATTGAAAAAAGGACCAGATATGGTATGACAAATGATTTTGGACAGTCATATATTTGACCCTCATTATTTTCTCACCATAAATATGACCTTTCTCATCAGAATAATACGTTTACCTCAAAATAAGGTCTCCAGGATAATAACATTGTTAGTCCCACTCTCTGAAAACCATGGATTAGGACCCCCACCTCAACACATCTTTAAGTGTTAGAATTTTAGTCTTACAGGCGTGCTTTCAACTTATATCTATCATTTTTTATTGTATAAATAGATAATACAACAATCTATATCTTAAATCATTTGCCATAAAATGCCTGGTCCTTTAACTTTAATAAATATTTCTTCATGTAGAGATCGAAGGACTGCACTTTCCCCTTAATTTCTGATATTTATAGTTTGACTGCACTGGTTTTATGACAACAGATATCTAAAATATGGCCTTGGTGCACAAAACTGCATTTCACTATAATGTTAGTAGTATTCCATATCTCTTGGCAGTTAGATTAGTTTCAAGAATGAATGTATCTGACTAGAAAAACTTGTACACTTATAGAGATTCTTGTTATAAAAAGAATTAAACTCAACAATAATTTGTTTTTAACATAATTTTACATGAAATCTCATATAAATCAGCTTATAAAGCTGTACAGTGTATGGTACCATTCATTTATGTTTAATTTCAGTTTATAATTCTGAATTAAAAAAACAGAACTTAATGAATGTAGATCTGAACTTATAATTTAATAAATAAAGATTTCTATAGTCATCTCCTTTAAATATATTTTCAATTGTTTTCTTCCTCTCTTGTAAGGCTTGTGTTTATGCTTGGATGTGTGTAAATTGTTCAAGTTAATATTTCAAGTTTGTGAAATATATATTATAAGATGTAATTTGTTTTGTGTTTTGAATGTGTTTAAGTTAGTGTTTAAGTTAAGAACATATTTTGAAATTTATTTTTGGCTGTGTCGTTTGATTTACTTTTTGCTAATGTATCTTTTGTTAGCCCAAGTGGGCGATTTATGTACGTGTGATGTGTCTGTTAAACATGGATCGTGTGGTGTGTCTGTGGAACAATTTGCGTGAGACATACTGTGTCAATACTGGGGGTAAAGGGAGAGAGCGCACCAGTACAACCAAACTGCCCTTATCTTTGAGGCGCTTCTGTATAGCCTTTCGGCAGAGATTCTTTAAACTTAGTGGAGAATTAGCTTGACTTTTGTACCACTTAGAAAACTCTGAATCACTGGATATAATATCATTTGGTATACCATCGCCTTTTAGTTTAATCCACTCAGTCAGATTTAACATGTCTGCGCCATTCTTATATAAAAGTGCCGCACAGGGTAGCTGGTGTTTTAGGTCCTCCTTGTAAAGTGTTGTGCTGAGTGAGCTCATACACATGTAGAGGGGCGTACGTCCACTATTGTCTATCATGTTGATAATGTACTCCCGTTTCTCGCCACTCCTGAACAACAACTCTATGAGAGTACTCAACTTCCAGTGGGCTGCGACGTGTAATGGGGCACGACCGGAATGGTCACATCTGAAACCATACATTAGTTTAGACAAGTACTGACAAACCCATGTTAAATGCCTAACACACGTTTCATAGCTGTCTTTTTGTGTACAAACCATGGAACAGCACTACTGAAAATATTTTTATCTATTTTAGAAAAATAATGACTGATCGAAAATTCGAAACAAACAGGACAATTCCAGTGAATGACATCCGCTGATTACCAAAAAGGGGTAAAGTTCCAATTCCTATTTTCATAATGCATGTCCATAATGCACACATGTCCGTAATGCATGTCCATGTCAAATGTGATGCGGAATATTATGAATGAGTTATATAATATATGCATAAGTGGGTGTAGTGATTGATCATCTTGACCGAAAGAGAATCAAGTTCCATTGAACAAGAACTTAGACTTAGTCATGAATATGGATCATTATTTTAACTGCATGCATTTTGACAGTGGGTTAATTTCTTGTTACAATGAAAGTATCAAGAGACACTCAAACTGACAAATTCCCAATTATTCAATGTCACTGATTTTTGGAATATGACAGGTTGTCATTTTCAATACAGTTCCTTTCATTTTGTTTAGAAAACAGAGAAACATAAACATAGAAGGCAGTGAAGGATCTGGATGACAGATTACTCCAGCATGTAAAAAATCAGAATGAAAATTAAGCTACCAATCCTTTTTACAAATATGTTCTTTTACATTTTGCTAATTAAAAGGACAAATCAAGGGGAATAACACATAGTACTATTCTATCTTCACTTTCCTCTTTCAAATCTTTACTATTTAAATTTAGAAATGCAGGATATGTTCATGGATCCTCCGATGGCTTTCTAATTCAATTGAGTCACTTACTTATCAATAATTGCACCTCTCCCTACAAGCTTCATAACTGCTCCATTACATGAGTGTACAATAGCATTGTGTACACATATATAGAGTGGGGTCCGACCAGAATTATCTGCTAAATTAACATCAGCTCCTGAAAAATTGAAATAAATGGAATAAAATAAATTGACATTTTAAAAATAAACTGGGAAGGATTAGATGACCCACTAAATGTTACTGAGTCTAGGACAAATTATAGTTGTTTATTCATAAATTTATATAACCATTCAATCATTATCAGCTAAATTTTTGCAAGGTCATTTTTAATGTACCTTGATAATTTTTTGATAGTGCACCTTCTATAGGTAAATAATTCATTTTTCTGAGCAGAACCTTTTTCTGCAATTATGATTGTTTTTCTGCATCAACCAATGCATGTGAAGTAACAAGTACCAATATATACTATGTGTCATATACACCTACCTGATCTAGCGAGTCTCTCTATGAGATTTGGGCGGCCATGGAATGCTGCCTTGAATATTGGCGTGCAACCATTCCGGTCGCATTTGTTTATATAAGCTCCAGCACTGATCAACAACTGTAACAAATTGTATAATATATATATAAAATACAATCACAATTTCTTCAAACTACTTTTAGAAATTCACCCTCTCCATAAAGAACTCTCCCTATGTTTCCACCCTCTCAAACACATTTGAATGAACATAATGATGCTTGGGTCATTTCTTTTTCAAAGGCACAAATCGTATTTGTGATCTTATGTAGGTTAATGTAACCATACTTTGGATGGATCTCTTACTAATAACTAATTTCTGCTTTAGGCAGCCATTTTGAATTAACCAAGGCACTAATGAGAAAAATTATACCAAAATTGTGATCTCTTCTGAATTCCTTTGATTTGAGTATAGTATAGCATTTAGAATTTCTGAGGCCCTAATCAGAAAAATGATACAATATTTACAATCTACTCTAAATTCACCCTCTCATTTGAGTGTAATAAAGCTATATTTCAGAAAGATCTTAAAATAAACAGAAATTATCATTATCTAGATCCTGGGGATCAGGCCAAAAAACATGGACATGGCTGAGAGGACAGATTATACTGATTAAAAGTCAGCTGTGAATAATTAAACCCTTATACATACCTCCACTATTTCTCCATGATTTAGAGAGACAGCACACAACAATGGAGTACAGCCATCTTTAACACTAGGGTTACTGGGGTTGCTCCATGGATAATTGATATCCACACCTTGACTTATCAACATACGAATCTTCTCACGATCATTACTCATCACCGCACAGTGCAGCTCACGCACTTTATGTGGCATCTCAATCGACAGGAAGCCATTTTGTTTACGGCTTCTTTTGGAGGATTTTGAGCTAATTAGGCTAGTCTCCAATCCAAAATCTATACCAAGTCTGGGACATTCTGGCTCGCCCTGAAAGCATAAAACAATTCTATTATAGAAACATAATTTTGTAACAGTGTAAAAACAAAAGCAAACTGGAAAAAAAGCAACCCCCAGTGAGTAGCAAGTCATAATGAATGAAACATAATTTATAAAATACTTTGTCATTTTGGACATTGCATGACAGAAATAACCAGGAAATAGTGGACGTGATGTGATGCCATAATTTTTTCTTGAGCAGAGGTTAATTTTTGATAACTTAAATACTGTTTTGTCTTTACTTTATGTATTTGATTACATTGAAAACACATGGCAATGGCATGCATAATTTAATATCTTCCACTCCTAAAACTGTAGAATCTGATGTAATCATCAACTTGTGCTATTGAAATAAGACTTCAAAAATTATGGTACTAATCTTTTTTAGTAATCGTGACAGCAATGTTATGGGAGTTTATAATGGAGTGTTAAGATATCTTAATTTAGTATAGCAATACAGGCTACTATAAGGCTAGTGTTAAGTGTGATCACAACCCCATTCTCAACAAGCTGTACAACTGAATTTGTAGAAGGATAGCATTGGTACTGGCAAGATCCTTTTAGAGTGGTATCAGTAGCTCCATATATATACTGAACTGGAAAATTTCTGAAAATGACCACCCTTGAAAACGTTCCTTAAACAAAGTGGCACTTGAATACTAGACATGAAAGGGAGTGTGCTAAATTCAATGCCCCCTGCGGGAATGGAACCCATGAGCCATGACTCTCCACTACAAAGTCTGACAGGCTAGCAAGTACAGCCGAGACTGTAGTAGTGACTTGCTATCGAGGGTCATTACACCATCCTCCTGAAGGACAATTTGTATGCAAATTTATGATGTGAAAAGAATTACATTCGAATTTGGACAGAAATCTTCCCAAGGATAAAAATTATTTTGGCTCTTAATCAAAGCAGGATTACTTGACTTGCCATAATGATGAAATGTAAAGATAAGACGCACTCCGAATGAGATGAGGTATAGTGCTGATACAAAATAATAAAGGGTGAATTTTCAAACTTAACAGAGTGCTCCTACCTACTCCTTGCGGCATAATTGGGCTCCAAATTCACCTCTACATTTGAAGAGTCGGCATTAACATGTGAATATCACTTCAAGTTCCTATTTGTCATTATGGACACAAATGCCAATACATTTGTACGCTCCGGGACATAGAAAATAGAGATCTCAATTCACTGAGGTAAGAATTTATGACATATGTGACAGAATGTCTTTTTCATAATGTTAGTCATTATTTATGTTCAACTTCATACAACTTATCAAATATTTTGTATCAGCACTTTACTCGAGTCTTTAGCCAATACTTGGCTAGAGGGGATTTCATCTGGAATACTGTGAACTCCATTTGAAAAAAGCTGGCCGCCGTGTCATAAATCTATTGAATATTTTCAAAATTGCCAGATAAATTAATCATTGATCAAAACGGACCTTGCTTGGCTCCTTGATGAGATATGACATGATTTCATCAGGATTTCGTCTAAAATTAAAAAATGGCTCCAAGAAAAATGGCGATGTTTGAAAACTGGACGAAATGTCGTTAACGTCTGACATTAGTAACTGGCTGTAAATTCTAAGTTAGCGATCCAGAAGATGTGAACTAATACACTGATCACTTTATGTGTGTTTTGGAATTTTTGGTGAGGTATTAAGACCAAAACTCGCAATTCAAATTGTGATGTCTAAAAATGGCGGACATTAGTTCAACATCGTTAAACTCAATAACGGCGTTCTTTACTATTAGGAATTTTCTTGGGGCCGTTATTGAGTTTAACCTCTTTGCTATTCTTTCCTTTGATGCAAGTTCTGGATCCATCGAAACCATTTTGCCGCGATAACGTGCAAATGATACTTGACAATAATATAAAAACACATAACATCAAGCGATTTAACACAATATTATTGCGTTAAATGTTCATTTATACTCGTAAAATGAGGCTACACTTACCGATCTCTAAAATGACATTTCCGCATGTCCGTCATTGTGTCTGTTCGTCCGAGTGTCCCGGATCGTAAAATTAAACTACTAGCGAAACAAAACTGTTGTCAAATAGATTGATAATTATTATCGCGATAAATCGCATTAAAAGATAAATTTTGAGGATAGCAGGTATCTTTGATTGATTTATATAGCGCGTGTATACACGCAAAATAGTTATTAATTGCAAACCTACTGTTTGTAAATGCAGTGCCGAGATGACGGTTAATTTCTGATACGATTTGCAATTTCGATGTTACCGAAACTGACCGACATTTTCGTTATATTCCAAACCTGTCTCCAATATTTCCGTAATTATGCATCAATAGGGTCTAAAGGGGATACGGGATGGTGTGTATGTATTCATAAGGTATGTATGCATGCTTGAATCACATTCTTTGTGTAATGACCATGGTTTCAGGGTTTAATTAGTTCCGCTTGTCGAAACCTGCTGAACGATTAAATTAACGCATCAAGGGCAAAATGATCATGGAGGTTAGACCTAGCCGGGGCCATAAGACATGTCAGATAAGAAACGAGGCCCAGGCTAGGTCTAATGTTGTTGGACTAGGCGAACATATGATTTCAAATTTTATGATTACGACATGACCAGTTGCTCATGCAGGAATATATGTTTACTGGAAGGCCACGATACAGTGGCCTTGGAAGAAGGTAATCAGCACTGTATGTAATGATTTGTCTGATATATTACTGAATTGGCTGCACAACAACAACTGCACGATCATCATTGAAATCTTTTTTGGTGTCTCATCTTTAGGAATTGTTGAACTGATGGTAATTCTACAAAACGATCTGAATTGAATCTATGAAGGATAGGCTCTAATTACAGACTAGGCCTAGAGTCAAGTCCTAATAATTTTTCAGAAACAAAATGTTTACCTTTAGGCAGCAGCAGCTCCGTAAAAAGAGCATTCAAACGATTATTTGTACATCTATGTCATCTATTCCACTGCATACAGAAGGAGAGCGTGTTGTTCTTCCCTCACGACCAGGCTTCATTAATTGATTACTTCACATTGTTCATGTATTTTATCACTTTTGTAAAAATTATAATTTTTTCTCGCAAGAAGAAAGTTTCCATTTTGAAACTACCCGGATGTACCCTTCAAACCCTGCCAAATTATTGACACTATTTATACATATCTGGTACCATTAAATCAAATAATTTGAATAACTTTATTGATGATATATCTCATAGTTTGACGATTAGATGTAGACTATGTAAACCAGGCTTCAATATTACATTTTGCCTTGAAAGGACCTGTGAAATACATCTAGACTCAGAATAATTTACCAGGGTATTATGTCACATGACTTGATCACATGACATAAAAATGGAGGCTGTACTTTTAAGTCGTGTAGCAGATAAAAATGTCAAATTTATCAATTCAACCGAAAATTGTGATTATTGGAGCTGGAATTGCGGGCCTGTCTGCTGCCAGGAAGCTATATGGATATGGATTTGTTAACATTAAACTTTTAGAAGCGCAAAAGAGGACTGGAGGAAGAATTAAAACTTCCAAAATTGGTAATCCACAGTCAGAGAGAATCCCCACATGGTTGATTTTTCACATTTGTGGGGGTTCAGTGTTACTGATACTGTACATGTCAGTTGTGTGTGTCAATCAAAGCTAAAAGTAATTATCATAGCTTGTTATTTTACACCAACATAATGAAAGATGAAGGAATGTGCTAACATAGATGAAAACATCACAACGAAGAAGTGTTCGTAAACTAGCTGGTGAAAATTCTGCATAGTCATACAACTAATTTATCTGAACTAAAATATTTTTCATCTAAAATATGCAGGGACGTCTAATACGTTCTTCGAACGAGATAGATATCAATAACAGGACTGGCAACAAGATCCAAGTATTTTTCAAGACCGCCGACTCTCGTTGGGCTATTTATCCCTATTGACTCAGTTGTTCATATAAATTTACGTACCTTAGATGCTTTGTAATCGACGTAGATAGAAAATATTGCTTCCTAAATTGTTCTGAAATGCGATTATAATACTAAATGTACTTTGAACAGGTCGACTGACTAAAAAGTCGGCCATTTGGCACAAGTCTCGTTCTCGTTCTCAAACAAAACGTGACAATCTTAAAATTCCCGGGAAGTTTACCCTTCTAAAAAATTCGACCTTCTTTAAAAAATGGTCGTTAAAATGTATTTCTTCGTGTTTCCTATGTGTCGATTAAATTAGACATCTTTTATTAGATGTTAATTTCTAATGTAAGAAGAATTCATTCGTAAGATAATCATTAAGTGATTCGTAATGAACCGTAGAAATAAGTAATTACTCAGGATTTTGCAAGGGCCTGATCTTTAGCGATCGGTAATTGTTTATTCCTCGGTTGCTATGCAGCTCGTTGAGAATTTCTTTCGAGAAGTGACGTCATTGCAAAACCCCCCCGCTTTCGTTATCTTCATCGTCTAGTTTACGAATACCACATGTCGATGTGATGTTTTAATTGATAAAAGTGAATTCCGTACACATTTCGTTATCTTATTGTGAAATAGCAAACTATGAGATATGTTTACTCACTAGGAATTAACATAATATTATTTGAAGCGATTTTAGAAAATTTAGAAACCGCCATTTTGGTAATATTGATGACGTGATCACCATCGGTCAAGGTGAGGTCAAGGGTCATCCATCTTGCCATTTGCCCAGTGGAATCTTACCAGTCGACAAAAACGATGAAATCACGTTAAAAATAAAATATACACTTTAAAATTGAGGCTGATCGAATATGAAAAGACTCCATTGAATATAGCTGTGCAATTTTTAGTCACCAAGATGAGCTAATTTCGGAGAGATTCGGGAATTAAGGAAGGTAACTTCATTTTTTTCATTCGGGTTTCCCAACTTATTGAATTTGGAATCCCAATCTCCTTTCGCCAGAACATTCTCTACGACTGAAAATATGAATGTATTTTTCAAAAAATATGGCACTGTCTTCTGTTGATTGCTATTTTTGTGTTTGATTGACACACAACCCTGTTGACTTGTAATATAATTATCCCAACATACTGAATTATTTGGCAAAATATTTAGTGGTTAAAGTAATCCTGAAAAGAAAAAATAGAGTATATTAAAAAAATAATTGACCTTTTTGCTTACTATATATTTGAAACATCCAAAACCTCTAGAAAGCATCAAATCAAAGCATTAAATTTTAAAAAAAGTTCTTACTGAGTGGAGGTATTTTTTCCTGAATATATGTAATTATCTATAGAATACATGAAATAACTTCTCACTATTGATGGTTGTAAGGTACATGTATGAGATCTAGTAAAATGAAAGAGGCTTAATGTCACTGCAAAAGTCACACATTTCACTCTAAATCAAGCAGTCGTTTGGCTACAAATGAAGCTTTACATGTAGGTCATAATGAAAAAATATATGCATGCCATTGCTATTTTGATTGGGTTTCAAATCATAACAAAACATAATTATCAAAGTACACAATGTGGAGAGAGATACATGTAATTCAAAGAGGGGGTTTGATATTACACTGCACCTTTTTCAATAGATCTCATACTGTAAAAAAATCATGCAATGTCAAATTCCGTTAAAGTCTTTAAAGGGAGCTTAAATTTGGAATGAATGTCATTGATGAAAGCATAAAATTCAGTTATTTTTATTTAGAGCTGAATCTTGATTGATGATATTCTGATTTGTTAAGGATAGATCAATGACTTCGTCTATTGTTTACAGATGAAGCTCTCTTTTAAAGGAGAAAAATGAAAGTCTTAAAGTCCCCGTCTAAAGTTTGAAAATATTTTTTTATCATTCATTTACTATTTGTCAGGACTTAAAAAGTGATTTTAGAGATTTCTGAACAAAAAAAATTTTTGAAAAAAAAGTTGTGAGCATTTCATTTCTCAAATATTCAAATTTCCCGCCATTTTTCAAAAAAAAGTTGAAATTTCTTAATCATCAAATATTTCTTAATGCATTTCAAAAAAGATTATCTTTTTAACACCAGTGCAAAGATTGAACAAAAGACACACTATTTCAATAATAAAATGTCATATTTAATGGGCCACTTCAATGTTTTAGCTTATCAAAAATATTTTGAAACATTAGTGATGTCACTAAGGTAACAAAAACTTTTTGAAAAAAATTGAATTTTTTTTTTCGATGTCAATCTTTTCTAAATATGCTAGACTTTCATAAAAAACAATGTTGATTGTCTAACAAGGTTAAAAGGAAGAATAAATTATGTTTTAGATATCATTGTACCATTGGTTTCTATGAGAACTAAAATTTTGAAATGCATTTTTCTCAGAACCATTTTCATGCACTGATAAGTTCACTTCTCGCTTGTTTATCAACCGATTTTCTTAATTTTTTCGGCAAAAAACATGGGAGGATGAATGCTATGCATTGGTATGAATTGTCGCTAATTAGAAGATATGAGTGACCTCTAAAAGTTGGTTTTAAATAAATTCACAAATTTTGGAACAAAAAGTCTATCAAAAACCACTTTTTGAAATTTAAAAAAACACTTTCACATATCACACTTTGATAACATTGGGTAAGACTACAATATAAGCCAAAGTGGTTTAAACTTTACGTGGGGCCTTTAAAAAGAGTATGAGTAGTGGTCTTAATCTTTTTTTTTTTTTTCAAAGTGACAGTTCAATTATTTTTATGCCAGCATTAAATTGCTTAAAACTCCCTTATAATGATACAATTCTATTTCAGGCAAAGGTGCAATTGAGCTTGGTGCTCAGTGGATACATGGGGAGGGACAGAACCCTCTATTTCACATAGCCAGGGACAATCATCTCATAGATTCCAGTGTCAAAGTTGGATGGGATGAGGAGTTTCGTACACAGAATGGAGAAAAGGTATTATGACCAGTATATCCAATGAAACACTTGTATGAAATGTAATTAAGTTATAGTTCCGCACTTAATGATTAAAAAAATTAATTTGCTGAAATACCATTTTCAATATACTTACCCTGCATGCAGAGTCTAGTTCAACTACACTCTGCCTAGTAGAGACCATATTACAGTTTAGTGGCCCCGCCCCCACGACGGGTACCGGTGACAGTTTGGGTAATAAATCACTTTTGACTTACGCACTGACCTTTCTTCCACCAATCGGCGAGCTTGAAGAAACATACGCCAAATGCGTTCTAATTAAATATGCGCATGTCATTGGTCAATTTCGGGCTCAACGATGACGTCAGAAGGAATAACCATATATAGAACGTCGGTCAAATTTGGCCGACGAACACTGATTGGCGCAGTGAGTTCACAGGTTTATTTTAGTTTGAAAGAGTGAAGACGAAGCTCTCTTTTAAGAAGTGAAGTCAAACGAATGCAAAGGGTACAATATACTGTAAGTTTAACAAAAATTCATTTTGAACTACTGTATGTATTTTGTAATAATATATAAATATATGGTACACATGATTTTTAAAAATAGATTGGTGATTGACTGTCAAATGTATACTGCAGTCTGTACATTTCCTCTAAAAATGGGATGATTTCCAAATATTGACAGTTGTGAAAAAAGAGTGAATGACATTTTGATAAAACCCTTCCCCATATAAGGAAAATTCAAAAATGTCATGGTTTTCATCTTTCAGGGTCAAAATCAATATTCAATAACTAACAAAATAGTCATTCACTCCCTTTCCCAAAATGAACTTCTACCACTTCTGTCGACATTTTAGGACACCATACAGTTTTAAATTGATTTAGATTGATCCTACCATCTGTGATGAGGTGATGACTGAAATAGACAGGATATCTGATCACTGTGAGACATTCTACAATGAAATAATTCCTGAGTCATGTCCTGAATTATCACTGGGGGAGCAGTACAGTCAACAGTTCAGTATATACCTGAATAATTTGAAGGAGGATTCTCGCAGAAAGCAACTAAAGAAAGGACTGTTTGACTGGAACTCATTAAGTGAGCATTCAATGAACGCATGTAACAGTCTATATGATTTACACATTAGAGGCTGGGGACAATACAAAAACTTTAAGGGTAAGTTATTGTGAACTAATTATCCCAACGAACAAAGATATTTTTGAAGATGGCCCAACTTTTTCGCTTTTCATTTCGAACCCAAAAATGTGTATTACTGCTAGTTTTGGCAGTTTGTCCATTAAATAGATCAATTTGACAAATTATACTCCTCAAACAAAGGTAAGGGCTTTGTTCGTTGGGATTCACTATTCCGTATGGTTGTTCTTTTCGAGTGAAACACAGAAAATGAACTCATTTTTGAGTTTTAGTTGTCTTTATTTGGTTTCTTATGTACATGTACTAAACTTCCATTCCTAAGTTGATAATTAAAAAAAATTTGTGCTAAGGTGGCTTGGGGTAAAAAATGCTTGGAGGTAAAATAAACATAGCACAATCTAATTCATGAAAGGTAAAGTGGCAGGAAAGTACTTTTACAAAGGTATTGGCAAATTGGATACTGTTAAAAATCTGATGACGTAATAAAGTGCAATAATTTTACATTTCAAGGTAACAAGCATGTTGAGTTTGACATGAGAGGGTATCAGTCCATTGTGGATCTGTTCCAAGATGCTATACCTAGCGACTGGGTACACATCAACAAGCCAGTGATCCATATAGATTGGAGGGACAATAAACAGGCTGCTTATATTGACAAAAAGGACCTTCATACAAATACAGAGGCATCCAACACAAATCTCATTCCCTTAAATGCTCAACTAGATGAAAAATCAATCGGAAATGAACTCAAGGCTGATACATGTGAGACTACCATGTCTGATGGAGTCAAATGTGACAACCATGATGATCTCATGAGTAACGATGTAGATCCAATAACCAAACAGTTAAAAGTAATTTGTGATGATGAAACATTTTATGCTGACCATGTTATCACAACGGTGTCACTAGGATGTTTCAAAGGCAACTCAAGGCTGTTTAATCCACCACTGCCTTCTGAAAAGCAACTGGCTGTATCTAACATTGGATTTGGGGCAGTTAATAAGATATATTTAGAGTTCTCAGAGGCATTCTGGGACCCAGGCTGGGATGGATTTAATCTTGTGTGGCTGAGAGATGAACCATTCACACTAGATTGTATGAAAGATGTAAGTATAATGTGTATACTGAGTATACTTTTTGTAGAATTCTTAGCTTTTTAGTAAAAAAATGTTGTCAAATGCTATAATAGCGAGGTTCCTTGTTCTATGCTCCATTTGGTGTTGTCATTTAGATTATATACCTGAACATTTAGCTAGTGTTAAATTGAAAAAAATGAGGATCAATTTACTATGCTCGATTTATTTCTTAGACCTGACATATTTTCTATATTTCAAGTAAATAACCCTAAAACAAATGCAGTTTATACTATTTTTGCTTGCAGAATTTAGATTTTTCCTTGCAGAATTTTGCACATTAAAGTTTTGAAAAGTGACATGCACATTGTTTAATTGCAGTCTACCCCAACCACATGGTATAAGTCTATACATGGCTTTAACACTGTAATTAACCAGCCCAATATTTTACTCATATGGAGTAGTGGGAAGGGTGCTGTTGAAATGGAAAAAGAACCACATGACTTGGTGCTCAATGTTTGCCATGAGCTCATGGAGAAATTCTTGAAAAGATCAATCCAAAGACCAATAAATCTGATCAGGTGAAATTTTTTTTAATTTATTTTACTGTAGAATTTTACTTTTGTGCAAAGATACCTTTTATGTACTTCAGGATATCTTAGACCGACAATATTTTATGTAAGGTAGTTTCCAGTCCATCTCTGTAAGTCCATGCTCTAACATTGCAGGACATACATGGCTCATATCGCTGTATTCTCTTGCATTGCAGGACAAAGTGGGCCAGTGAGCCCTATGTACAGGGTGATCACTAAGTTCTGGGAATTTATCTGTCATTTTATTATTTTTCAACCAATCTACTTGAAATTTTCAAGGTAAATGGAGAATATAGTTTTGGGTTTGATAAAACAGTTTCATTGTCATATGATGTCACAATGGATAATTATTGTTACTATAGCAACATGACAAATGGCGTAGCGGGTCAAGCAAAACTTGAATTCATTTTTATTTTACTTGATCCAAAAGTATGGTTAATTAATACCTATTTGGTGGACACATTTCTGTGATTTTTTATGTTTTCAAATATTTCTAACTTTAGTTTCTAAAGTAACATCTGTATTGTGATATAAAAGTCCACTTTGCTCAATTTTTTTTATCATTGGTCAGACTCTCAAAGTCACAATCATGACTCAAAATAGCGGGGAGTTATCTTCCATTATGACTATGCTTCTTCCCGTTCCTCAAATTACCCATACAAGTCTTGAAGAATTAGGGTTCACACAAGTTGTTCATGCCCTATATTCACCATATAATGTTCACCAGATGAACCACCATTAGGTTCACTAAATTTGACTGTTGAAGCATCATATGAGAGGTCATCATAAGTTTGGTTCCAATGAGGGACTGATCTCAACAGCTTGAGCAAATTTTCAAGCGATACCAAAGGGAGGACTGGAAAGCATAACAATGCATGGGCGTCCAGGCCTATGGAAATCATTATAAATGAAATGATCCTTCCAGCAATGAAGAATACTTCTGAATAAATGACTTCAAGAGTACTGTTCTGCCTCTAGTACAATACGTTTGGACCAACCATCTAGGCAAGACGAATATGTTTTAGCAGGATATTTTTCAAATAAACGTCAGTCAAAATTTGCTGACCCGCTGACCACTTTTACTTTTTTTATAATTACAATAAAATAAATTTTAAAAGTGATATGTATATGAAACATTGTCTGTCAATTCAGAATTATACAATGTACATTTGCTGGAATTTTCAACTGAATTGGTTGAAAAATATCGAAATGACAGACCAATTCCCAGAACTTAGTGATCACCCTGTATATGGATCATATAGCTGTATTCTCTTGCATTGCAGGACAAACTGGGCCAGTGAGGCATATGTACATGGCTGCTCATATCGCTGTATTCTCTTACATTGCAGGACAAAGTGGGCCAGTGAGCCCTATGTATATGGATCATATCGCTGTATTCTCTTGCATTGCAGGACAAACTGGGCCAGTGAGGCATATGTACATGGCTGCTCATATCGCTGTATTCTCTTACATTGCAGGACAAAGTGGGCCAGTGAGCCCTATGTATATGGATCATATAGCTGTATTATCTTACATTGCAGGACAAAGTGGGCCTTTAAGCCCTATGTATATGGATCATATAGCTGTATTCTCTTGCATTGCAGGACAAAGTGGACCTGTAAGCCCTATGTATATGGATCATATAGCTGTATTTTCTTACATTGCAGGACAAACTGGGCCAGTGAGCCGTATGTATATGGATCATATAGCTGTATTCTCTTACATTGCAGGACAAACTGGGCCAGTGAGCCTTATGTATATGGATCATATAGCTGTATTCTCTTACTTTGCAGGACAAAGTGGGCCAGTGAGCCCTATGTATATAGATCATATAGCTGTATTCTCTTACATTGCAGGACAAACTGGTCCAATGAGCCCTATGTATATGGATCATATAGCTACCAGAGCACACATGGGAAACACAGTGATGTTGACATATTAGCAGCTCCTCTTCCAAATGAAAAGGTTGGTAGTGTTAATGCACAACTACAAATCCCATGGATATAATAATTTTTTGTTTTATGTCACCACTATGACATGTGGTATACATATGCTCTATCAATTTGTCCATATAATGAAGACGTGTTTTGACTTTATTTTCCATTATTTCATGTTCCTTACAAAAATGTAATAAAGAGATGCTGTTTGTCCATCGCATTTCAAGACTAAGTTTTCTTGGAGCAAGTTCACGTAGGGCAAGCATAGCCGGGGTTATATGGGATAATCGTGAGCAATACGTGGCACTCCTTTTAAAACATGTATGATATGTTTATTTTCTCAATTTATATACTTAAAACTTTAGTATTTAAAATGACAAGTAATAAAACTTTAGATGATTTGTGTATTAACACTCATTTTCTCTTTGAATAAGCAAGAGGTAATATATGATAGCTTGAGAAACTGGATGATAAAAAATTTTACATTATGAATTCTGTTTCATTTATGCAAATATAAACATGTGCACTGTGATTTTGAAAACAGTATTGGGTATTCTCTATAGAAAGTTAGAAACCTTTTGATTTACATGAAAGGATGGTGAACTTTTTGAACACACGTTTCTCTTAATCCAGTCTTAAAAAAATTCTGAAAATTTTACACATTGTCAATTTAATGGTCATCTTTTGAATGGTAACAGTATGATTTGAAATAGATACATATACTTTCTCTATATTGTTTTAGAAAACACATCAGACACTTCTTTTGTTCTTGGTATCATATGTTCGGAATGAAATGAAACATCTTTCCGAACCTAATTGGAACAAAATAACATAAGCACAATGTGTTTAGGTCTCTCAATATTGTAATTGTACAAAGGAAAGTTTGGTTGATTTAAAAAAAGTATATTGTTAATGAAATAAAGTTTTATCTTAATTTTTATCTATTTTGGGGGTTTTTGTTTTAATTTTTAGAATACTAAATCAACCAAAATTTCCTTTGTATAACTATAATATTGAGAAGTCTAAGAAAATGTTGTATATCCTATTTTGATCCAACAAGCTTGAAGAAAGATATTTTATTTCATTCTCAAGAACTGGTAAAAAGGAACAAAAAACAATTGAAATAAAAACAAAAAATGTTAATAAAAACAGTTACATAAAATATATATAAATTATTTTCGCATTAAATTGTTGTCTATCAGTCAACATTATACAAGGGACCATGTTTTTTTAAAGAATGTTTTCAATGATTGGTTTAAGATAAAAACATTGTTAAATTCAGTTCACCATATTGATACCAATCCTTTACTGAAAGTGATATGACTAATTGAGGTGGTCTAAATTTGATAATAAAGTGAACTTCTAAATTGGTCCCAGTTATTCTTCGGGTCTATAGTCTCTCAAGAGTGTGACCTTGGATGATGTCATTGACAGACGCTTCCATTTTTGCAAATGCTTGAGAAAAATTGAGTGCCCCTTCTTGCCTCAGGTCCCATTTTGCCCCAGTCTCCCCTATGCTTTATACTTGCAGAAAGTCTACCAATTGCTTGTTTTCAAAATCTGGCCTTTATTAAAATGCTCACTCATTTTAAAATTACAATTTTGGCTAGAATTTGAATTTCACTTCACTCATATTTATGTTAAAACCTAATAGCCTTTTGACCAACTTAAGTCATATTTAAAATAAAAATATGCATGAACTTCTGTTCAAGAGGAAATTGCCAAAATGGGCAATCTGATGTTTTTGCTGTAACTAAAATATTTAATGGAATTGTGCATATTTTAACATGCATATTACACAGTTCTTGCATAATACCTGAGAGCTATTTCTACTTTCAAGGTGCCTCGGTTGATGTTTGCTGGGGAAGCCACAAGCAAGCATTACTTCTCCACAGTACATGGAGCAATGATGTCAGGTTGGAGGGAGGCAGACAGGCTTGCTCAGCTATACACTTCACATGACTAGACTCTACATTAGCACCAGCTATATGTTAATATGTTACCCATGACTAGACTCTATATGAGCACTAGCTTTATGTTGACTAGACTCTATATGAGCACTAGCTTTATGTTATGTTGACTAGACTCTATATGAGCACTAGCTTTATGTTTTGTTGACTAGACTCTATATGAGCACTAGCTTTATGTTATGTTGACTAGACTCTATATGAGCACTAGCTTTATGTTATGTTGACTAGACTCTATATACTAGATTAGTAAGCACCAGCTATAAGTTACACATGACTAGACCCTGCTCAAGCGAAGAAATTCACTACATGTGAGTCATAACTAGACTCTACACCCGGACTCTACATAAGTGAATAAATACTCTTCATGTGAGTCATGACTAGGCCTTAAATAGACAAAGGATTACTAGGGAAATACAAATAAGGGCTTTGGAGCTGGATTAACTAAAAATTGGTTATAACTTATTGGGTTAAAGAATCAAGCAACTTCAATTCACATATAACTCAAATAAATATAAATTGCATGTTTCTTTAGATTACCTTTTCACCAGGCCCGAAGCCAGGGGAGGGTTCACAGGGTTTCGGGCGAACCCCCCTGGTCAAAAGTTCTTTCAAAATCATGCAGTTTTTCACCATTTTGAGCACTTTTCAAGTGATTTTAGCCGTATTTGGGCCAAAATTGTCTAATGTGAACCCCCCTGGAAATATTTGAAAACTGAATCCCCCTTGGCAAATCCTGGCTATGGGCCTGTTCACACTTGCATTTCACCTTCAATTAAACTTTTTTATTTGCACCATTCACATTTGTTTATCTACAACTATATACACCCCTTTCTCCAATCATACAGTCCATTGTTTTAAATAAGGGAATTATGAGGGTATGAGAATATACATATGTTATTTTTATTATTCAATTATTGCAATACTAGAGTTTTAGAATTTTTAAGTAAGTAAGTTATGGATGATGATGTATTGGATTTTTAGCAGATCATTCCAAAGATGAGCACCTGAATATTTTATTTTTACAACCTACCATATATCTGTTCTTAATTTTTTCATGCATGAATAGTTTTGAATACAGTAGAACCTGTATATCTGAACACCTGGCTAATCCGAACACCTCCCAATCTGAACACTTTTTTTTCGGTCCCATCTTTTCCTCCCATTGACACCTCTCAATTTGAACAGTGAACAGTCATATTTGAAAAATTAACCTGTCTAATCTGAACACTTTTCATAAAATTTCACATGTTTCGTACAAAATTGCTCAAATATTGTTATATCAAAACTTTGGGAAAGAACTTAAATGGTCTTGATTAACCTATAATAGGGCTTTCCAGCATGTCTGAATTCATTTGAATTGAATTTTCAAATTTCCGAAATGCCGTAAAGCTATGTGGTCAAATGAACTATAAATATGTACCGCAAATGTGTTCACATTTCTTCAGAATCCGGAATCTTGCAGATGCAAAAACCTTAAAATGTGAACACCTCCTAATCTGAACGCTTTAAGCTGGTGTTTGGATTAGACAGGTTTTACTGTAGTATATCATGTTGTTGTGAAGTGTCATGTTTGGAATAAAATAATTTTCAAATTTTGGGGAATTTTCAAACTAAACATTCCAAAATTAGAAAACAACCCTAAGTGGTTTTCTTCTTTTCTTCATCCTAGGTTTTCTTGGACACTTTTGTGCCCATTTTCTATGCTACTCCTGTATGTGTCTGTGTCTTATTAATCTGTCTGTGTCTTATTAATAAATGTTATTTTATTGGGTATACACTTTTTATAACAATGTCATACAACTATTTTATACACATATTTTCATATTTTATATTATTATTCTATTCTATAGTACTATACACACATTGTAACTTTTAAAATCTAAAATAATTTATGTACTTACTCTTAAAGGTGGAAATAAAGAAACATAAACTGTTATAAGATGATTCATTCAATTTATATTTAAACACTTGTCCCAGTATAATCATATTAATAATACAGGCCAGATGTCCACATTTAAAATTGGCCCATTGCATGTTATGAAAACTTACAGTGAATGTTATGCAATTACAATGTTTGAACGTTCTGTACAAAATCTAAACATGATTCATATTTGGATTTATTAGGGCCTTCAGAGTTCAGTGTACTGTAAATTGCTTTAATTTGTCACTATTTATTTAATATGGTGGATAGGGCAAATTTTGAAATTTTGGCTATGATTTACTATTTACTTCACAGCTTGCCACCGATAATGCAATTTTATCTCCTGGTATCATATTGTTTTGCCTGAACCAGCAGGGAATCTGTAGATATTCAGAAATACTTTAAAATTGAAAAGCACAAAAGCTTTATCGTGCAAAGTAACACATGGAAAAGGCACTGGATTTTTTTTTTAAATTGGAGTATATTTAATTTGGTGTAGGCTTAATTTGCCAAATTAAATGGCTGTCAAATTAAAGCAAATTACAGTATATGAACCTATATGACCCCACTTTTGGTGATGAACATTATAAAGGTTTCAATTTGCCTAAATAGTAACAGTACTTAACATACAGGATTGGTTAGAAATTATTTATAATAAGATAAGCTTGATTCGTATCTACTACTCAGAAAGTGTTTAGCTAGAACTGGACTTTCAGTTTATATTAAGTTGGAGCATGTTGCAATTAAAACCATAATTATGAAGAAATAAATAAATGCAAGTAACAGCACCAGGTATAATCCTAGGATGTTTATTTTAAATAGGAATAGCAGAATGGCATGCAAGCCAGGAATGAGTAGGTGTTATGAAATTGAATTCTAGGATTAAATGAAGTAAACAAGGCACATGAGGAACATACAATGCTTTATGATTGATTCAACTTTCTGCACTTTGAAAAACGCATTGTGAACGCTGTAGACACAGAACAGTGAATATTGATTTGTTCTGTCATGGTTCGATTCAGTTTATATGATTGTTTATTTATGACTTAGTATGTTCATTGTTCAATCAGGGATCAAAGAACCAAATCATATTACAATCAGAAGGAAAATCAAAAATGGATGGATTTACATAGAACTTGTGTAAATTCTGGTGATTGTTACATAAATGAATGTAAGTTTATTGAAATAAGGAATTTACTACCCTCAGCTGTGATGAAACTTAGTAAATACAATACATTGTTAACAATCCACTACATGTATATGTGTAATCAGATATGCTGAATATTCAGACTGATAGGAGGTCACTATAGTTCTGTCTGATGAACAATGCAGGATATATCATAATAATGGATGATAATGGTTCCCTTGGATCATTAATAAATTAGACAATTGCTGACAGATTAACAAGTTTCACTGTGAGTCAATTGGCATGCAATTGTGCATCAATCAAACCTAAAAATTACAAATAAGCAATCAAAAGACCAAACTACAATATTATATAGAAAAATACATATTTTAGGTGCAAAACATTTTAAATAGGAGTTCAGTATCAGAAGGAGATGCAATATATTCATAACATTTGGAAGGAATTAAAGTATTCACAATTCACACCATTGGAAGTATTTAATTTTTTGACAATTTTTCATACTGGAAGTGACTAAGACCATGGATGGATATTAGCATTAAAAACAGTGAAAATGTCGACGAATTCTGATGAAAGTCTTATTCACAATCTAACAGATGAATACCAAAATATGACAGGGAAATGTCACAATGTAACAGGGAACTATCACAATGTGACAGGGAAATGTCACAATGTGACAGGGAATTATCACAATGTGACATTAAGTGACCAAAACTGGGATGATTCTTCAATGGAAAGAGCAATATCACTTTTGGTAATAACACTTATAATCATATTGGCCAATACATTGACTTTGATTGTAGCACATAAATTAGTGAAACAAGGCCAGAAATTTACAAACTTATTTATATTTGCTTTAGCATGGACTGATCTGCTAGTTGCTGTTTTAGTTTTGCCATTTTCATTAGCAGGGCATTTTGGAGTTTTCATTGACCATCACAACATAATTTGTAAATTCAGTTTCTTGGTAACGAACACGCTCACACAGATGTCCGTATTTCTTATTGTAGCCATGAGTGTTGAGCGTTACATGGCATTTGTTCATCCTCTAGTCCACAAAGTTAAGTTTACATTGACGAAAGCAAGATGGACGATTGTTCTGATTTTTGCGACATGTTTCACTGGTTCGATTTTACCTGTGTTTGGTATAGGTGAACTAGACAATCACGGATATGTGTGCATGATTAAATGGGACTCTGCATCCTTAGCAGGGAAAATTGTGATGTATGTATTAGCTGGTGCAGGAATAGCAATGATAACATTGGTTTGGATATTGAATATCTTGGTAATTTACCATTTAAATATAAAACAGTCAATCCCACTTAACAAGAACAGTTTAAGTACAAGGATTAAATCGGGAACAGAGTCCTCACCAAAGCTGAGAGTAAAGAAAACATTAAACTTTAGGATACTTATAGGAAAATGTCGAGGAAATGCAAAAATGAGAGAAAAATCTAGGAAAAATAAATCAGAAATAAAATTTGCCCAGATAACCATTGTTCTAGCATTTTTCTTCTCTCTATGCTGGCTGCCATACTGTGTAAGTTTGCTTATGCAATCTCTGTCTCATTTAAAAATGTATTTCTTAACTTGAATAATCATTTTTAAATGAACTGAGCAACATTAGAAAATGCAAATCGAAATTCCTCCTAAAACTTTGACTAAAAATGATAATCTCAGTTGATAGCAGTTTGAGCAAGCCTCAGGGGATCAAATCAGCTTAGATATCAATCTTCAATCGTTGTATTATTTTTAAATAATTTTGATCAATCAATAATTTTGTTAATGGCTGATTGTATTTACAGTTTTGCATCAAGTCTCTGTATTGCCTTTTCAATTGTCTAATGTTACAATTTTGCATCAAGTCTCTGTATTGCCTTTTCAATTGTCTAATGTGCTTTCAGATACGCTCAATCATGGTCCAAAGTGGATACCCGAAAGATAAGTTCATAGACTTCATCGTCACCAGACTGGCAGCCTGTAACTCAATGGTAAGAATTGAGATTGTTTCTTGGTCATTTGTTAACTCACAATCACACACAAAATTATTGATGTATAAACCATACATTTTTTAGCTTTATATATACATTATCTTTTAATGTTGAAGTTACCATTTTGCAGTCTCAAAATGAGTAATACTCGTATATCCTATTTTAACCCGCTGCATGTAAATGTTGTAACAAATTGTGCCCAGATATTCATAATATGGCAAACCCTGTTAGGATATTAAAAATGCAGAACATAAAGGAGAAAAATTATGCATCATTTTATTTCTCAACATAATTTTGTGTAATCTTTTCACTTTCAAAGTTGACAATGTGGATATAAAAATGATTGAAGATGCACATATTTTTTCTAAACAGTTATCTTTTATATGCTGCCCCATGACAACACTTAGGAGCACTTTGGGGGAATTTCTTATTTACAGGGTGACACAAAAAATGCCCCCACTAATTTGGAATAATATTTTCAATAATTAGGACCCTTCATGAATTTTTATTTTGTCTAGATAGTGTTCAGTACATGAAAGATTGGTATGGTTGCATAGCATCAAAAACTTGGAAATTTAGAGATACCTCATTTTCTGTGGAGGCATGCTCTGAAACCAAATCACTCAAAATAATTAGAAAATCTGTCTTTCTTAAAATCTACTTCATAAGTGTGTCAGTTCATCAAAGACAAAATTATTAAAGAAAAATGGGTAGATGTGACACATTAGTGATAATATATGTGAAAGCAATCCAGAAATGACTCAAATAATGGCTAAGACAGACATCCTAATTTCAGAAAATTGTATTTTTGAACATATGTTGACGATTTCACCGAGAGCATACCTGGGCGGAAAACATAATATCTTAATCTCAAAGTTGTTGACGCTATATAAGTAAAACCATATTTCATGCACTGGGCTCTCTACCTACACATAAGAATCATGAAGATTCCTTGATTGTTGAGAAAGTTATTTCAAAATTTGTGGGTGGCATTTTTGTGTCACCCTGTAAAGGTACAGTAAACAGTTCATCCAATCTAAAAAAATATTTGTAATCAGAATGATTTCAAATTTGGATTGATACTTTTAAGATCAACCCCATCATCTATGGTGCACTGAAAGTTGGCTATAGACGTGGATACCTGTACCTTCTACGTCTTGCAGTGCATTATGTCTTGTGTAAACAGACAGAGAGACCTAATGGTAAGCTGCTATCTGTTATTCTGTGCCAAACCAGGCCCGTAGCCAGGGGGGATTCGGGGGGTTCGGGCGAACCCCCCCCCCCCTGGCCAAAATTTCTTTCAAAATCATGCAGTTTTTTACCATTCTGACTAATTTTTGAGTGATTTTTGGCCATATTTGCCAATGTGAACCCCCCCTAGAATTTTTTAGAAAAACGAACCCCCCCTTTGAAAATTCTGGCTACAGGCCTGCAAACTATACATTAAAAATATAATACACTATCCAAACAGGAGACATTAAGAAGGATTTAGAATGTAATCCCAGATACACTCTCCTCCAAAAGTTTGGCAACCTTTTTTCCTCATTGAACTACATGTTAAAGGGTACTCGTGTTTGAATTTTTAATTCTCAGGCTTATTTTAGTAATAAGGAGAAATTACTTATTACTTGTATTTGCTTTCTTCAAATATTATTTTTAATTCTTAGGCTTATTTTAGTAATAAGGAGAAAGGGCAAATGGGACTTCAATTCAAAATATCAAAATGTATTTTAAATTTGCTGATTGTTTCTATTTTGAAATGATTGAAGGATTTACTCACTGCACAAAGCTAATTGTTAAGTTCATCATTCAATATGGTTTTATTGGGGTTTACTTGTCACTTGTATTTGTTTTCTTCAAATATTACCCTTCTTCACAATGATTTGAATTTAACAATAATACTGAACATTCTACACGAGAGATTACATTGATCTGTATATTATGCCTGGCCTCCAAAACAAAGTAGTTTGAATATTTGTCAAAATCACTGATCTGTATTTTCTAGAAAATGTTCAGTTTCTTGCCCAGCCACAGAAAACAAGACCAACTGATGAAAATGAGAGAGTTTGAGCATTAAATGCCAGGGCTTTGCATCTGTAGATTGTTAAGATAATTTCCTTCATTCCATTGATAATCATAACTGTTGAGTGCATGTGATTATAAGCAAAGTTAACATTATCTAGTAATTGAATTAGATACTGCACCCAACCTTTACAATGCAGTAAACCTGTCTAAGTGGAACACCTTTGGTACCAAAAGTGTTCCTCTTGGGAGGTGTTTCACTTATTGAGGTTCATCTAACATTAAATTAGTTGGTTTTGGGACTCTGTGAACTGTTCCACTAAACGGAGGTGTTACACCTCTAGAGATGTTCCACTTACAGAAGCCATTTGGTTTCATTGGATGAAATGGTTATTTTCTGAATGGGACTTTAATGTGAATTGTTATATGGTTCAGTCAACTCAGTACCACAAATAATATTATACCGACCCTCTATAAAAATCCCATCCAGTAAATACCCTGAATGAATCCTAAAAGTATATATCTTGAACATAAAATATTAACTCTAGTCTTATTAAATTGCAGAAGAAAGCTTCCTTCAGAGTAGAACTCGAGGCACTTACCACAAACAATGTTACTCTGTGAGTCAAACCCCCAAACTACTTCATTCTCAAGGGGGAAGCCAACAGAATGGTGGGTCAACCAGTTCAAACCTTGATTCAATACATACCAGACATAGTGCTACTCCTCATAGGAATTCACCTACAGTTAATCGTTTAATTAGAATCGTTGCCAAGACAGAGCTGAACAGTAACAGTCAGGATTCTATAGACAAGTTACAAGAACATTGTGGAATAAGCACAACTGATGAACCAAAAGAGGATGTGTCTATATTGTAATGACTAAAAGATGAGAGCAGTTATGTTAAGGGATGCCCAATGATCACCAAGCAATATGATTTTAGCTGACATTCTCCATTTCAGTTGGTTATTGAACTTCGCTTTGCAAAAGGCTCATACAGATTAAAACTGAACATTCATTCATTGTTTCTTTAGTGCTACTGTAAAATCATCTTATATCTTATTAATGCTAATAATGATTTAAGATATTAAATGCCAAATGTGTAAATTCTTCGTAGAAATGTGAATAAACAAGGAATAAACATGATAAACTGTTACCACTTGGATGTAACTATTAGTTAGATACTGAGCACCAAATGCTGAATGTTGTTTACAAAAATAAATAAACATTAGGCATTAACATGCAAAACTGCCAAACACTATCCACAAAAAAAGTTGGAGACAATATTATCTCATCACTTGTGGTGGTGACATAAAATTGGTTGCAATAACAGTACAGTATGTACCTGTTCTTGGTGGTGACATAACATTTTAACCTCATTTCATCAAGGGACATCATATGGTAAAATTACGATTTCTTGGTGACATGATATCCAGTTAAGACCATACATGTATGTGTTGTGTCTATGTTTCTGACAAAGATGTTTAGTCTTGATATTTTTGAGAATTCAGGGATAAAATGCATAATTTATGAGTGAAATGGGTGCATAAAACATGCAATAGGCCTAGACATTCAATTGCATATAAAAACTATTTCAGTGTTCCCGAGACATTTATCTACTTGTATTGTATAAGGTTATAGCTGAAGATACATAATCTGTACATGTAACATGTGTAATGTTTACTTAATTTTTATAAGGGAATCAGTCTACTAAGTAGTGTATGAAACAATTTGAAACAGATTCTTAATGGACTAACTGTACTCAAAATGAAAACTGGTTGATTTGTGTCTGAGGAACATGTTTTGTTAATAGATTTTTATAAGTAATTTTTGATATTTATTTTTGTGGACCCAATTCCATTTAAACCACGTCAAGATAACATTCTGCATTTGGAATGACAAGTCCATCACCAGGTACCTGGAAATGTCAGGCACATGTCTGCAGATATTATAATTGTGTTAAAACTGTAATGCTTACAACTTTATTGTTGGACAGCAGAAAATACTCAAAAGGCTTATAGGCCACCTCAAGGTAAGAACTTATGAACAAATATTTTTTAAGATTTGACAGTGGAATCATTAGCTGCCTTTATTCATATCTATAATATAGAAATTACAATAAATACCTGAATATCAAAATGGTATATCCAGCTTCTAATTTTCCCCCATACCATTATTCAATAGAGTCTTCTATACACATTTGAAATCTCTTCTAAGTCTCAATTTTAATGAGATTTTAGGAGATCTGCATTTTTAACCATTAAGACCAACATTTTGTCTATTTGATGGTATATTTGATGTAATTTCCTATCAAAACAATTTTGACTTGCACAGTTATTTACCTTAATTCAAATTCTAAAGTTTTTCAAGTTCTCTGAAAAAGGTCGGGCAAAATCCCCATTGACAAAATGTTGGAAAACCTTGAAAAGTTTATTTACTCTCACAAAGATCCCAATTTCAATATTAAATCACAATCCACATGTTACAATAAGCTCATATAGTCACATTTCAATGGTGTTAAGTTGATTTAAATGGAACTACATAGAACTTGTTAGATCAAGAAATTTAGTGACTAGTAATATGTTTCCAATTTATGTATTCTGGCCCTACCAACACCCATGCTGCCATCTATTTTTCAATTGATATAGAAAATGGTCAATTGAATAGCACTCTTTACATATATAGTGCAGCACAACATATTTACAGTAAAGGGATGTTATTTTAGCATAATAATACTGTAGTACGATACAGTAAGATATTCATAATGTACAGCACACCATAGTACAGTACAGTAAAATGAAATACATCTCAGTACAGTACAGTACAGTACAGTGCAGTAGAGTGATTGTTGGATATAAGTAAGAAGCTGCATGGATTTGATGGTATGGTCCGATGAAGATTGGCATGTTAATAAAATATTGGCACTGTTCTGTTTAACAGAATATATTTCATAACACTGATGGCACTATAACACTGACTATAACGCATTACTATAAGTCTATAACGCAAACAAATCCCTGCATGTATGTATCAGCTGAATACTAAAATAATGCGAAACTCCATACTCTTAGTATAAAAGTTTTGCATAGTAATCCTTGAGTAGTGTTCCAGTGTGATATCAGGTATGAGAGGCTATAGTGTCAACAGGATGGGGCTAGCCCAGGGGTTCCGTCTCTCGCATGAGCCACTCCAAGGCTTCTCCTTTACCCTGGGCCTTAAGGGCGCTTCCCATTATGTCTCTACATTTCTCATGATAGCTGTTTAACCATTCTATCTGAAACAAAGATTAACATTGGAATATGAGTCCTACACAAAACACTTAAAGTCCCCGTCTAAAGTTTGAAAATATTTTTTTATCATTCATTTACTATTTGTCAGGACTTAAAAAGTGATTTTAGAGATTTTTGAACAAAAAAAATTTTTTGAAAAAAAAGTTGTGAGCATTTCATTTCTCAAATATTCAAATCTGAAATTGAAATTTTTTTTTCGATGTCAATCTTTTCTAAATATGTTAGACTTTCATAAAAAACCAATGTTGATTGTCTAACCAGGTTAAAAGGAAGAATAAATTATGTTTTAGATATCATTGTACCATTGGTTTCTATGAGAACTAAAATTTTGAAATGCATTTTTCTCAGAACCATTTTCATGCACTGATAAGTTCATTTCTCGCTTATTTATGAATCGATTTTCTTAATTTTTTCAGCAAAAAACACGGGAGGATGAATGCTATGCATTGGTATGAATTGTGGCTAATTAGAAGATGTGAGTGACCTCTAAAAGTTGGTTTTAAATAAATTCACAAATTTTGGAACAAAAAGTCTATCAAAAACCACTTTTTGAAATTTAAAAAAAAAGTTTCACATATCAGACTTTGATAACATTGGGTAAGACTACAATATAAGCCAAAGTGGTTTAAACTTTATATGGGGCCTTTAAGAGAGAACAGCTTGCACGTTTTTAAACAACAAAACAGTATTCAAAATTGCTTTTTAAAATTGAAATTTTTTTAATTTGGGAACATGACCATGTATCTGAATTAAATGACTTACCTCTTTTGGGGTCAACATAGAAGGTACTAGCATCTTGGCCTGAATTGGAACTAGCGTAATTGTTTCCCACCCTAGGAACCCTACATCTTTGAAATTGTACTGAAATATTCACAAAAACATTTACAGAATCAAAAGGGGTTTAAAGTTGAAAGGTTCAAATAAATGCAGTGACCATTCTTAAAATATGATGGAATGTGATGACATCATTGGAATGCAGAGTAGTTCTAATAACATAAGGTTTTATCAGCACTGTATTAACATACAGTAAAATCTGTTTACTGATCACCTCTCTAAGTAAACAAATAAATTAGATAATTTTAGTTTTGATGCTCATAAGATCTTCATAATCTAAAATGTACCTTTTATTATCTTTTATGGGCAAACATTAAAATCATGTTTTACAACGTATAGTCAAACCTGTAAAGCTGGAACACATTTGGTATATATCAAAATAATGTTCAACTAAAGGAGGTGTTACATAATATGCAGAGGTTTATTTTAAAGTGGGTTAATGGGTAACTGAAAAACATTTCACTTATTGAGGTGTTCCACTTACAGAAGCATTCCACTTTACAGGTTTTACTGTGTACTGATTGGATAAGAGATCAAAGAATTTTCTCTATTTTAATGAGTATGGTTTTAATGAGTTTGCTCTCATGAAAGGGTAATGTATGATTGCAGTGATCTCCCCAGGATTTTTTCTCAGGTTGTGCAAAATTCTCATTTTCACAATTCAGACCAAAATTGGTCAAAATATGCCAATTTTTCATGATTTTTTCTCATTTTCAAGTGGGTGCAAATGGATTTTCTGGTGGGTGCAAGCCTATTTTCCAAATCTCAGGTGTAGGTGCTGCGCCCACTTGCTTTAATGCTCGGGAGATCACTCAATTGAAGATACAGAGAGATCTTACCTTTGTTTCAACTTTCTTTACTATGCAGAGATTTTCTATCCTACATCCAAACTGACCATCTTCATAGTAGCCAGGCTCTGGAAGAAATACCAGGGTACACTTCTTGCACACATTTCTGTTATATGAGAGCTTCACAATTAAATGTTCATTCATGTGATTTTATTTGTTCTGGAGTCCAAGTGTCTTGAATTTTGCAATTGAAAAATACATTTTTCAAGATTTTTTTTGTGATCTTGTTACATACAAGGCTAAGCCTAAAGGCAGACTATTATGTCTTGATAGTGGGGCAGACTTTGTAGCTTTGTAGAAACAAATACAGGGTGTTCCAAAAGTAACAGGACTGGTGCTGGCATTTTGTCAATTTTGCACTGAGTATCTTCAAATTTTCACAAATTGTACTTTAGAGTATTGCAACTAAAATTGTAAAGTTTCAGAAAAAAAGATGAAATGCGCTTAGAGTTATGGTTACTGTAGAAACATGACATCACAATACCTGGGGCAACTTTTCCGTGAAAATGTGATATCTAACATTTTTGTTTTACTAAAGAAAGTATCCAATCCACCTATTATAATACAACATTTCTTGTTTATTTTATTGGTTCCTTTGTTGTAAAGGTGTTGCTATACAACTCAGATTCAGGTATAATTTCATAATGATAATTATATTTATTCAATTTCCTGGAATATCACTATGTGTAAGAGTCAGAACAATTCACGGTTGAGTTTTTGAAAAGACCCAATTTGAAGCCAGTTATCTACCTTGATAGCGCGCCTGCCCGCGGGTCACCATTTAAGACCATGCAGCTATAGAGGAGCTAGATCTTAAGGTCTAAAACCATGTACCATACTCCTCTGATCATGCTTGAGAACGGAATGCTATTCAGTGCTGTAAGACCTTTCAAGATGAGAATGACCTTCTCCAAATTGTCCAATCGGCCCTGAGTAACATGTCCTCAAATGGGTTCACTCAAGTGTTTGGGTCATGGATACAGAGTACTAGTCTTGTACTCACCAAAGAGGAGCCTATTTTTCAAAGTAAGGGATACATAGGAATATAAAATGATGTAAAACAAATGTAATTCCCACCAGTTGTTGCATTTCAACTTTGATATGGCATGTACAAAATGATATGGCATGTACAAAATGCTTAATGTCTCTGTAACTTTTTGCGTGGAATGTTGCCCCGGGTATTGTGATGTCATGTTACTGTAGCAACCATAACTCTACCCAAGTTTCATATATTTTGTCGAAACTTTGCAGTCGTAGTAATGATACAAGAAAATACATTATGTAAAATTTTGAAGACGATTGGTGCATATTTAACAAAATGCCAGCACCAGTCCTGTTACTTTTGGAACACCCTGTACTTTGGAATTTGATGATATTATTGAGGGTACAAAGTCAAAAAAAGTTCGATTCTGAGATTGAATGGTCCATTCTGCATCAAGCCAATTAAATCAAATACAAAATTTTTTTTATTTAATGTCTATGTAATCAACTTAATTTTTCATTGCAGAACCTAAAATCCATGTATAAATTAATGAATTGCACATGTGCTGTAGTCTATTATTCATCATGTCATGGATGATACAAGAATGTACCCACTTTTAATTAGGTTGTATGTTGAACTCACCATTGCTGAGTATCATGCCTTCTTTGAGTGGAATGTTGTGCAATGTATGTGCCTGTCTGTAACCTATACCACATGGTCCTGGAGAAACAAGATGATATTATAATTTCAGTTTGTGCGGTGTGATATGATATACAGTACATAGTGTATATGTATGTAAATGTTAAATATTATAGGAACTCCCCAAAATATGTTGATTTTATTCTTAAGTCAAAACTCAAGTCAAAAATTGCTTTACAAATGGGCTTCATTTTTGACAAAATTTTGATACACATATTTTTGGACTGGAATTTGGCATCAGCATCAGCGACTGTAAAAAGTGTGCAAACTTTCGTAAGAACAGCAAGATAGTAGCATTTTGCCTTATTATTTTGAAATTTTGAATCATTATGGTGTATAGTACCATCTATTTCTATTACCTTCATGGACATTCAAGAAAGCCCCAACACCATGGCCTGTTCCGTGATGATAATCCAACCCTACTTCCCATAGTGCCATTCTTGCAACAGAATCCATCATGTGACCTAAAAAGTAAGTTAGGCAGTTGAGGTTTCTCAAATAGACATCATAAATTATTAATTGACTCATACATAAGAGCATATGTTACAAATATTCCTTCATTGCCCTTTTTAAAATAAAAGCAATTTTCAAACAGCTACTCAATTTAGTTTTGGTGATATATTAAGGTGGTTCCCTATGATAAAATATTAAATTGATATCCTCCTTGGAGTGACTTTAATGAGGAACCAATTTCAATTTTTCATCAGCTAGAACTACCTTAACATTTTACATGTAATATTGCTGTACATTTTTTACTTTTCTTGGGACTGAATTTTGAAAATAATTTCATCTCAATAACAGTTTTAAACAAATGAACAAATTGCAAACCTTTGACACCATTTGGGAAGACTATGGCTGCTAATGCTATGTGACCTTTCAGCACACGTGTGAAACATTCCTGCTCATATGGAGTAGGCTGGCCAAAATGCATAGTACGAGTAACATCTGTTGTACCATCTCTAGAATGTTTTACATGTAATGTGCAATTAGAAAATCAGAATAAACGCTACAACATTTCTTACATATTTACAATGATTCAATTAGGCACTGCATGGGGGCTAATTTTGCCTAATATGAAATTTCCATTTTTTTAAGAAATTCCCAATTTGGCATGAACTCTACCAATTTCTAAGGTAATTAGTTGAATCCCAGTATCAAACATAACTTATATTCTTGGTATTCTTGAGTTGAAAGGAAAAATTCTCAAATGAAACAGCATTGGGAGTGTGTATTTATCCTTATAATTTCTGAACAAAGGAAAACATTTGGCTATTCCCTATTAATATCCATTCTCTCACCTGTACTGAGCTCCAGAGTCGCAAAGATACAACTGGTCTGTTGTTAATGGTACATCAGTCTCTGCACTGGGTCTGTGTGTTAAATAAATAAGCATCAAATAATACCAACACACTGATGTGTCTGTACAGATCAGGTACACCCTACCCCCATTATTACAACATTATAGGAATTGGAAGAGACTGGGCAGAATATTTGGAACAATCTTTCCAAAAAGCATGCCAATGTTGACCTGATAATCCTAATAATATTCTCCAGAATCCAGATATCTGATCAAATATTAATAGTAATATAATTGAAGATTTAAGACTCACAAATGTCCAAATTCATTAGAATTAAACAAATCTTTTACCAGATGATCTTAGAAGTAAAAGGATTATCCTGAAATTAAGTCAAAAATGTCGGACTTTTCAGAAAATAGGCATGCCATGGAATGAGAAAAAGAAACTTACTCATCTCTATCCATAGTTTTTTTAAACAAAATGTTAAGTCGATTATTTCTGTGATTTATGGAGAAAGGCTAATTTTTCCAGTACATCATATTATAGTCATTTTCGATATGTATCACATGAGCTTTATTAAAAAAATAAATGAAAAAGGCTTTTCATTCAATAGTACTTTGAGATTGCTTACCCATAATGTATTATTGAACCGTGTGGTCCAACACTAGATATTGTGGCAAAACTCAAACTAATGAAGTCTTCCTGCTGCCTGGAATAACATGAGACATTCCATTTAAAGAGATTCAGTGAAATAAGATGAGACATTCCATTTAAAGATTCAGTGAAATAAGATGAGACATTCCATTTAAAGAGATTCAGTGAAATAAGATGAGACATTCCATTTAAAGATTCAGTGAAATAAGATGAGACATTCCATTTAAAGATTCAGTGAAATAAGATGAGACATTCCATTTAAAGGGACTCAGTGAAATAACATGAGATATTCCATTTAAAGGGACTCTGTGAAATAAGATGAGTCATTTCATTTAAAGGGACTCAGTGCCTAATTATGATTGGTAAATACTCAAAAAATTAACTTGCTCTTTAAATTAATTTAGATACAAACCTTCTTTTCAAGAAATATTACAATTTAAAATTTTGCTCAAATAGTAAAGAAATTTAAAATATGAGGTCAGATTTAGAGACTTAGCCATTTAAAAAACATGAACTAGCAGTTTTTAAGAAAACATAAACTAGCAATTAGTGAGTGCATCATGAGGAATTCAGACCAACTGGTTTCACAACAGTTAAAACCAGAACAACGGCAACGCCAAAGCGTAGCGAATCCCATCGAACATAAATGGCTGGCATTTTTACAAACGAAATATATAGCAAACATCATAAAACAACACACCAGAAAGGCTGACTACTCCCCAAAGTTTTATTAGACAATGTGCCATGCTTAAAGTATTCACATATCAAATATGAAAAAATTGCTCCACTACTTTTCGAGTTATAGTAAAAAATGTAAAAATGACAGCCATTTTTATAAAATGGCTGCCTACTATCTGAAGTGCCATGAGACAGTGTGCAAGGCTCATGAGTATTCACATATCAAATATGACCAAATCGCTTCACTACTTTTCAAGTTATAGAAAAAAACATAAAAATGGTGACCATTTTTCAAAATGGCCACCTACTACCCAAAGTGTCATTAGACAGTGTGCCATGCTTATAGTATTCACATATGAAATATGAAACATACCAAATATGAACAAAATCGCTTCACTACTTTTCGAGTTATAGTAAAATATGTTAAAATGGCGGCAATCTTTCTAATTTTTTTTCAAAATGGCCGCATTCTACCAAAAGTGTCATAGGACGGTGTGCCATGCTTATAGTATTCACATACCAAATATGAACAAAATCGCTCCACTACTTTTCGAGTTATAGTAATATACGTTAAAATGGCGGCCATTTTGAAAAATGGCCGCCTTCTACCAAAAGTGTCTTGCAGTGTGCAATGCTTATAGTATTCACATACCAAATATGAACAAAATCGCTCCACTACTTTTCGAGTTATAGCAAAAATCGTAAAATAACGAGTAAAGGCCGCCATTTTTCAAGATGGCTGCCATGTGCTTCTTTAATGTCTACATTTATAGCTTTATTAATGTCCTTCATAATTTTTTTACATTTAAAACATATTGCTATTACAGTTTTACATATTGCACCTAAATTACTGTAAAATCGGCACTAAAATGGCCGCCATTTTGAATTGAGCGGCCATTTTGAAAATCGGCTTTCGAGCAGAACTTCTACCCCCATAGGGTATATGTGTACAAAATATTAACAAAATCGGGCCAACGGTATTTGAGTTATCGCCCGGACGGACGGACAGACGGACGGACAGACGTACGTACGGACGGACGGACGGAGGCGTTCCCTATATCCCTCCGAACTTTGTTTGATGGGATAATGAAAAATTGTTATGGTAAAAGATTGACAGGACCTACCAGAAACTACATATAAATTGATCTAGAAGTCTGTATGTTTATGTTCATTCTTGATTCACTCATATTGCAATAACTTAAAATGTTGCTCCTGGGGGAGATTATCTTACTCCTAAAGGAGACTTACCTTCTGAGTGCTTCAAGCTGATCAGCTGCAGACACCTCAGTCATTGTTCCCTTTGGCACCTGGAAAATATAAAATAATATGCATGAAATGTAAATTGTCAGTAAAACAAGCTTGTAGCCAGATTTTGCCAGCTTGGGGGAGGGAATGGTGAAAAACTGCATGATTTTATGGTAGTGGTACATCAACAATAATATAAAAGAAACAACATATACAATTAAAAGAATTTCCAAAAGCAACTACTTTTGAACGTTTATAATATCAAGCATATTTAACAATAAGTATAAAAACCTTAAATGAAACCAAATAGACATAAAACTGTTCCTCTTATCTTAAAAATAAAATGAATCAAACTGACTGTTTTCAAAAATATCAACCTTTGAAAAAATCTAAAAGATTGATAAAGAAACCAAACACACCAAATTAAAACTGCAAAAAGATGAAATCAAGAAGATTAAAACAAAGTTTTTCTAATTGGCAGGATTATTTATATGATGATCATCAAAAAACAAACATCAACCTTTGATGTTTTTAACCAAATTCAAGAAAGATCACAAGAATAACTGATCCATTTAATCCTCATTGATCTTTAATCCTATTGTTACAAACCCTGATTCAATCAAGGTATGGGTATAAATATATGAAACAATTGCAAAGAAAATTCATTCCCTTGTGGACTATCAATTGCAACAAACAACAACAGACACATATAGGTATAGGACAAAAAGTAAGAATCTGAAAGATAGGAAATACAAAACAAAATGGATATCATTCTAGAGCCAGTTGTCAACCAGGATTTCCCATGCCTAGATACCTCTACTAGTGTTTATCAGTATGGTAATATCTGCTTCATGGGAGATGCAACCTCTAACAGTCAATTTCAACATAACAACTTTGAGATTGCCTTTAATATGGAGCCTACACAAGGACATGGAGATACAAGTAGCCATGGACAAGCATATTCTGGAAATGTACCAACCAATTCTGCAAATGTACCAACCGATTCTGCAAATGTACCAACCAATTCTGCCAATAGACAAACAAATGCCGATACATCAGGATATTTTGCCAATTGGCCAAAACAAGAGTATTCTGCCAACACATCAGCGTATTTTGCCAATGGACAAACAAATGCCAACACATCAGGATATTGTGCCAATGAACAAACAAATGCCAACACATCAGCATATTCTGACAATGGACAATCAAATGCGAACACACCGACCTATTATGCCAATGAACAAATAAATGCCAACACATCAACATATTCTGACAATGGACAAACAAATGCCAACACACCAGCCTATTATGCCAATGAACAAACAAATGCCAACACACCAGCATATTCAGCCAATGGACAAACAAATGCCAACACATCAGAATATTCAGCCAATGGACAAACAAATGCCAACAAATCAGTGTATTCTGCAAATGGACAAACAAATGCCAACACATCAGAATATTCAGCCAATGGACAAACAAATGCCAACACATCAGTGTATTCTGCAAATGGACAAACAAATGCCAACACATCAGAATATTCAGCCAATGGACAAACAAATGCCAACACATCAGTGTATTCTGCAAATGGACAAACAAATGCCAACATACCAGCATATTCTGCCAATGGACAGACAATCATGAACATGGACAAATCCATTCAGGGTCAACAGGTGACGAGTTCTATGGAAGAATACATTGACTTGGATATGATGTTCCCCCTACCTAAGATTGAAGTGTCTGACATTGCAACAGTTCTACTCAATGAGGAACTGAACAATAGCTGCCGTGATAACACCCCACTTGTGTCAACTATGGCACAAAATTCACCTGAACAGAAGGTCAACTTCCCCAGACTTACAGGTCAGCTCAATATAGACTGTTCCCCTGTAACATCACCCAATGATACTCCTGAGTATGTTGATATGCACACTGTTTTTCAGGATATAAATCCGACCATTCATTCTACTCTTCATGACTCTGTTCTAAGCGTCATGGTAAATGACATCATTTCTGACACTCACAACTCACCGACCTGCTTCAATGATTTTAGGGGTTCACCACTGAGCTTCAACCATCTCAACAATAGTACCAACAGCCCACCATTGAGCACCAACAGCTCACCATTCAGCATCAACAGCTCACCATTGAGCACCAACAGCTCACCATTGAGCACCAACAGCCCACCATTGAGCACCAAAAGCTCACCAATGAACACCAACAGCTCTCCATTGAGCATCAACAGCTCACCATTAAGCACCAACAGCTCACCATTCATCGCCAACAGCTCTTCATTCAGCACCAACAGCCAACCATTGAGCACCAACAGCTCACCATTGAGCATCAACAGCTCACCATTAAGCACCAACAGCTCACCATTCATCACCGTTTACACAAACACCTCACCATTCAACACCACCAGCCAACCATTGAACACCACCAGCCAACCATTGAGCTACAGCAGTGTTTACGTCTCACCACCTTGTTTCAACCTTTCACATCCAATGAGAAAACAAGTGAGACCCACCAATAAGAATGCCCAAACCATGAAACCAGCACACAAGCATGTGCTCCCATACCCAAAGAAAAAATTTCAGTGTCGAGATTGTGGCAAGATTTTTAACAACCATGCAAACCTAAACATTCATCAAAGAATCCACACTGGTGAGCGTCCATTCTCGTGTAACATCTGCAACAAGACATTCACCCAGAGCGCCACCCTCAAGACACACACCAGGACCCACACAGGAGAGAAGCCATTCAGTTGCGAGTTCTGTCGTCGTGGCTTCAGTGACTACTCCACCTACTCCAAGCATGTCAGGACCCACACTGGTGACAAGCCCTACAAGTGTAACCTCTGTAAGGCTGCATTCACCCAATCTGGAAACCTGAATCGTCATCACAAAACTCACTTCAAAAAGAATCCAAGGAAGACAAAGTTTACACTATGATTCCATCATAATGTTCATCTAACCTGTTGACATATATTTCTTTGATTAAATGGACAGATCTGTACATATTGTCAAAACAACTAAATATGCCAAAATAAAGCCATGGTTATGATTTGCCAACTATATATTTTTTTCATTTAGCATGCACTTTTATAATGTTTTATATTTTAGAATGAATTGTGAATAAGTTTGATATTATAATATAAATAAACCTATGAATATGAAACCTGCATTTTGTTTTAACCTTATTTGCACTGTGACTGTGAAAAATGTACCAAGATTTTGAGTTATATTAAGCACACCCATTGAATCAAAAATTATAGCAAAAAAAATACATGTTTTCATTTCTTAGTGTGCAACTCCCAAAATCTGCAAGTGATTATCAAATACATGTAGTTCTTGATCTCTAATTAGTACATGTAACATCATTAAGCTCCAAGAGAGCTCCATTATAATCAGTATCGCTATACATACCTCTTTCTCCAACATGGCGAAGAATTCACACAATGCTACTGCATCTTTTATCTGAAAACAGAAACATTACCACAACATAAGAACATGAATAGTATAGCTTTTTATAGACATGTAGTCTACTTATCATTAAGAGATTTCTGACCTTATAAATGACCAATGAATTTTTTCTGATCTTTGTTAAAAGACCAAAATTGCAAAGCATTTAGGGTCTTGGCAATGGTAAGAGTACATTCTGAGGTCATATATTTGCCATAAATCTTGAATCAAGGTCTTTCTCAAAATGATTCTTATATGATATACATACTGGAAAAACAGCTATTTAAAGAAGGTATATAATTAATTAAGAAGTCATACATATTCCATTATAAATCTCCACTCCAATTGTTCTTTTTATTGTCGTGTCTTACATGTAATTTATCATTCAAGAATACTTAAAGTTAAAATCATCATTCTTCAACAATGTGAAAATTACAACAATGTATCGCAGTAAAACCTCTAAAAATGCTTCTCTAACATGAACATTTTTCATGGTCTTAATTTCTATATTATCCCACAGGTTCCCATGTTCAATTCACCATTCTAAGCTGAACACCTCCAATTTCTTTGCTGGGTCCCAAGTGTGTTATCATAAAAAGGATATTACAATACTAAATATCCTTTGCGAGAATCCTTTTCTTGACACATGAAAATCTTCCTGGTAATATGCTTACATGTGCGTTTTTCATTCCTTTAATCTCTGTCTCATTTTTCACTGTCTTCATTATTGCAACTGGGGAAGCCTCATTTATTCTGTTTGTCTAAAACACAATCAAATATATGATACGATTTAAAGATATTATTGTGTGTGTCACACTTTTTTGTATGTGATAAGTGCAATATTTGGTTCACAATGAACACAGTTTTACCATTAAGATTTTTGGTTGATTCTAACTGTTCATCATCAATATCATGAATAGAGATTCTAAAATTGTAAGTTTGTAAACATAAAGCTGTGTTAAGCATGAATTCAACTGAAATATACAGTATAAGACTCCATCAACACAACTGAGGTGTCGAAATAGGATGCTCAGCAACTAAAAGAGTGACTTCTATCCCTTGTTCACACACAGAGATAAACATTCAGTCTATATCAAGAAAATAAAGTGTTTTGGAGGATGTGTTACAAATAGCATAAATTATTCATCCAGTAGTTTCACTTCAAATCATTATCTTATATGCGAATATTCTCCTTACTGTGATACAAATTGATATATTAATTGATGATTCCACATCAAATCACTAATCATTTTGAATGTTATGAAAGAAATTAATAGAAATAAATGGGCAGTAGCACTGTCTCCTTTTGACAAAATATGATGTGATGCTATATTAGAAAGTATATCTTGAGTACATGTAGCAGTCCTTTATCCATATGGTAAAAGCCTTAAAAATGTGGACTTAATCTGATGATCAGCATTTGTGTTCTCACGGAAATTACATTATTTTCAAAAAGTGTTGGCCATTTTGAAAAGTGAAGTCATATTGGAAAAATCTTTCTAGAAAAAAAATCCTACTTCCTAAAAATTACATTTCCCTCTGAAAAATGGCATCCATTTTGAATTTAAAAGCCATCTTAAAAAATTATTCCAAATCTATCACCTGTGGTTTAAGCTATCAAAGATTACATTTTTATTAGCAGCCATATTGGAAATTCAAACATTCTACACCCATAGGGCATTTATCTATTAAATTTGAAACAAATCAATCCTCCTGTTTTTGAGTTATCGCCCTTACAGATGTCAATGAACAGGTGGCTTCTCTATATTCCTCTCAAACTTTGTTAGTGGGATAATAATATAACTTTAAATGGAGGTGTTATTCCATCTTACCTCTGGGACTAGACTGGCTAATGCGTAGCTTGACTTATCACTCACCTGTAGAGAAAAAGTGAAAATACAAAGTACTGTATAAATATGCAATGTGCTGGTATATGTGACTGTGTAATACATGTATCAGATATGAGTGAATTCAGGGTATCTCTTGCAAAGAATACCATCTAATATTCATGTATCTATAATACAAACATGCAGGGTGGAAAATATGTTCAGCTCTAAAATCTAACAAATAACACTCAGGCCTGTAGCCAGGATTCGCCAAGGAGGATTCACTATCAAAAAAATTCCAGGGGGGTCACTTTGGACTACTTTGGCCCAAAATTGCCAAATTCACTTGAAAAGTGCTCAGAATAGTGAAAATTACATGATTTTGAAACAATTTTTGGTCTGGGGGGGGGGGTGGGGGCGGGTTTGCTCGAAGCCCCTGGCTACAGGCCTGAAAACTTTACATACAGGTCAAAGACAAAGATTCAAGAATCAAATTCACTTAAAATTGCCACCTTCAAGAGGAGCTAAAAGGAGATGATGAAGAAACTCATTTGAAATCAAAAGTATAATGAAATTGAAGTTTAATAACTTTGGTTACATACGACTTACCCAAACCTTTCCATCTAATTCATCTTGTAAGGCACTGACATAGTCTTTCACCGAGTCATAAGGGTAGAGAGTGACTTTCACCTGAGAGTCCACAATGTTGTTTAGCTGTAAATGATGACACACTGTGTCATCTAGCTTGTTTTCATCAATAAAAATACTGGAATAAAACATAAGTCAATGTTCAGTAATAATTTTCTTAGAACATTTTCTTAATACATGTACATGCTGTCAATGCTAAAGTAGATACACTGTCACAGAATTGTTAACTAAATGATGACATAATATTACTCTCAGTTTTGTAAATGGAAGCAAAGTCCTTGAATTATCAAGTTTGGTTATTCAGTGCCCTTACCCTACAAAATCCTTTGTTATGAGAGCATATGACATAAACACTGGATTATACTCTATATCTGCCCCTCTCAGGTTGAACAAATCTGAAAATGAAATTGCATAATTTATTTTAAATGATCTATCATCTTGTAAGAGATTTTGCAACACTAGAATATTAAGTTGCAAAAAGAGGAGTCTCCCAAAGCACTGGTCCCCTGGTTATAAAGATGTTACGTCTTTATAACAAAATGGATCTTTATTACAAGGTGGGGACCAGTGCAAAGGATATGGATCATTTTGTCTTATGTGACCTCCTCCAACATTTATAAATAAGAGCACATATACTTACAAGCAACATCATCTAGGGCTGTCACTACAAGCAGACCAGCACCTTTCTCTTTCATCTTATTCCTGATCACCTGGACCTTGTCTTGCCAAGACATACCTACAACAATATGCCATATATAGCTGTATTACATACCCAGCGAAGCTTTGTATTGAAGTCAATGGAGCTGAAGGTCGGCTATATATTCCTGTATAGCCGCCAAACCTTTTACCATGACAATCTTATGACGTCATCGGGACGTCACGTTTCATTTCTTCCTAATTTCACTCGCACACAGACACGTGGCGTCATTGATATAACGTAGCCATGATATAAAAGTATGTAATACAACAGTTATGTCCGTATCATTGAACATATGCCTTCGGTCTGTCGTAATATAACCCTCGCAAGCTCGGGCTGTATTGCTGACAGACCTTAGGCATATATTCAACTAGATAACGGCAACTCCGCGGAGTAGCAAATCCCAACGAACAAAATATCAATTACCGAATTCCAATCAATTATACTCATTACTTTGGTTGAAAATGAAAAAATTAGATTTTAGAATTGCGAATTCCTGCAAAGCAGCCATTTTGAATTTTCTGAGGTACAAATCTGAAAAATAATACCATAATTGTGATCAACTCCAAAATTCCTTCAATTTGAGTATAATATAGCCATACTTTGAAGGGATCGAAAAATTATTGCGAAATCGTACATTAGACGGCCATTTTGAATTTTACGAGGCTCGAATCAGAAAAAAGATACAATATTTGCAATCTACTCTTAATTGCTTTCATTTGAGTATAAAAAAGCTATACTACAGAAAGATCTAAAAATTAACGAAAATTTCTGTTTTCCTGTCCATACATGGCCCCTGGGGGTCAGGATGAAAAACACGGAATATATGTGAAATAGATAAATGTTGTGAATACACTACCAAAATTTCAAACAATAATATTAATTACTTTGGTTTAGAATGAAAAATTTATGATTTTTGCGAAAAAGTCCTGTCATTTTTAAAGCGGCGGCCATCTTGAAAAATTTTTTTTTGCGTAAAACTATTCACCAATATACATCTTTCCACTAAATATGAAGAAAATCTGTCAACTAGTATTTGAGTTATCTTCCGGACAGACGGACGGACTGACTGACTGACTGACGGACAGACGAACGGACGGAGGGCTTCACTATATATCCCTAACGAACTTCGTTCGTTGGGATAATGATAGGGACATAACTGCTAAGTATAATAGCATATAACTGGTTTTAATGGTTGAAAATATATATTTACTCACCCAAGATTTTAAAAAGACACACTAAATGGGGGTAACAATATTTCTTCAAACAAGAAATGGTTTCCATCAGTTCAAACTAGTTTCAGTTCAAACCCCTTTTAAATTAATAAATATGACATAAATAAAAAATAATCATGGGGTAAAATTGGTATGGCAACCCATACTATTGACTTGTAGGTATGGATGATCAAGCCTAGGATCTCCGTCAAGTATTACATGACATGAACTCCAGGGTAAATAGTATACTAGATGTCTGTCATTTACTGGATGACCTCACACTTTACCTGTGTATTTCAAAGGCAGGGCCATGAGTGTAGAATTGGGTGGAGAGGGCTGATCCTCCCAGACTAGGTCTATTAGGTTCTGAGCAACAGGTACAAGAGCATGGCTACTACTGGCAAGTGTCTTCTCAAGCGATTTCCAAGTACCTACAATATCATATTGAACTGTAATTTTAACCTGAGTCCCCGTCACCTCCGAAACTATCTTCCGACTATTGTTTTTTGTTACTGTAAAGATTTTAAATATTTACTCAAACACTGCCTTTATACTTGTACAATGACCTTTTATGAGAGTTTGAATGTGAAACAAAATAGATTAAAAGATGACTAATATTCAGAGTTCTTCTGTAGGTACTTTAAGACATTAAGGGAGTTAAACCTTTCTTACATTGGTAAGATATTGAAAGAGACATGAATTATCTTGAACAAAAGTAAAAAAAAAAAAGATCACTTACTCTCTGCAATGAGGAATGGATCAACACCAACTCTACCCCCTGTCGGTAAATTCTGAAACAATTTAAGTTCAAAGTAGAAAAACAGCAACTCCCTAGAGTATCAAATCCCACCAAACAAAACATATTTTATCAAATATTTCTAGCCAATTCACCCTATGCAGATGGAGCCTGTGGGAAATATTTGGTGCCGCGTGAATGATTGTTTGGTACGGAGTTAACTCGAATTAAATTAGTGCAAGTCCCACCACTTGTTACAACAATTACAATTTAACCATGATTAAATAATACCATAGAATGAGAGAAGTGGAGAACATTCTGATCTCTTATAGAGTTTCTGTTAATGAACTACTGGCTTATAACAACTCAGGTTTCCCATTATGCCTTCTTATAATGGGCACATCATTTACAGCACAACATAATTACTACTAGAATTATAATTTTCTTACTTTGGCCAGCCAATCTTCCTGTGAGATAGAATCAGGTAGTCCTGCAATAGAATCACAATTTAAAACATCAGATCTAGGACAAGTAAACAGTCTTATACAGTAGAAATTACAAAACTTGGTTTATTTTAAAATAGACTCGCTCATACATTGAATTTCATAAATAAACCTATTGGCAATATATAAAACAAATGGCATCATTCGGTTGGTTCAATTGGTGAAACAAGGCACAGACGTGAACAATATCGTACCTAAAACACAGCATTGTGGTCTTGTTGACCAAGAAAGCAAGATGGCCGCAGAAAAGTTAATCAGCTCTAGAACTTATCACTGTGTAACATATGTAAAAATTTGAACGGTTTGGCTGGAAACCTGTAGACAAGTCTTGAAAGTGAAGATTTTAGGACGGAAAATCCAAAATGGCCATCTTAAAATTTACCCAGAATGCCCAAAAACCAATCAGTTCTTGACGTTGATATGTAGAAACATCCCTGAAAATTTCAGATGAATCCCTCAAATGGTTTGGCTGAAAATCTGTAGACAAGTCTTGAAAGTGAAGATTTTAGGACAGAAAATCCAAAATGGCCACCTTAAAATTTAACCAGAATGCCCAAAAACTAATTAGTTCTTGACGTTGATATGTAGAAACATCCCTGAAAATTTCAGATGAATCCCTCAAAAGGTTTGGCTGGAAACCTGTAGACAAGTCTTAAAGGAAAAGATTTTAGGACGGAAAATCCAAAATGGCCACCTTAAAATTTACCCAGAATGCCAAAAAACTAATCAGTTCTTGACGTTGATATGTAGAAACATCCCTGAACATTTCAGATGAATCCCTCAAATGGTTTGGCTGGAAACCTGTAGACAAGTCTTGAAAGTGAAGATTTTAGGACGGAAAATCCAAAATGGCCACCTTAAAATTTACCCAGAATGCCCAAAAACTAATAAGTTCATGACATTGATATGTAGAAACATCCCTGAAAATTTCAGATGAATCCCTCACATGGTTTGGCTGAAAACCTGTAGACAAGTCTTGAAAGTGAAGATTTTAGGACGAAAAATCCAAAATGGCCACCTTAAAATTTACCCAGAATGCCCAAAAACTAATCAGTTCTTGACGTTGATATGTAGAAACATCCCTGAAAATTTCAGATGAATCCCTCAAATGGTTTGGCTGGAAACCTGTAGACAAGTCTTAAAAGTAAAGATTTTAGGATGGAAAATCCAAAATGGCCACCTTAAAATTTACCCAGAATGCCCAAAAACTAATCAGTTCTTGACGTTGATATGTAGAAACATCCCTGAAAATTTCAGATGAATCCCTCAAATGGTTTGGCTGGAAACCTGTAGACAAGCTGAAAAGTGAGACGCCGCCCACCCGCCGTCCGTCAAGCTGACTACAATATTGTACCTCTTGTTAGGTACGATAAAAAACAGAACTAACAATGTAAATGACCTCCATAGACTACCATAAAATGGATTTGGGTATTGGTTCAGACAGTTTTCATTTGTCCAAAAATTGCTGACAGATGGATGAACAAGTGTGCAATTCAGGAAAATAAAATAAAATAGGGAAACTGTAGATTGGGATTTTTTAAGAATAAGATCCTTTTTGAGAGAGCATGGATGACATCACTGGGTCATGGATGATATTCCAGGTTATTCAAGTATCTATTTATTTTCTAAGGCTATAAATGATACTTCATTTTCTCAACCCAGATTGATTCACGTCAATGCATTTCAATGTGAACAATTTTGTAAGCGCATTCAGATACTCATCACATATCCTTTCAAACAAATGGCAATCTGATCATCCTTCTGTTGGTTTCTTGTGAATGAATGAATTAGAATAAGAAATGACCAAGGAAGTCCAACGAATTGTGCCAACATGAGGCACATCCTTGATGCAGGACTAACTTGATGGAAACAAAGGTTTATTTAAATCAATTCTCACCATCCTTCATGAGGGTCCAATTGCTGTCCATTTCTTTTCTTGCCTGCAGAAAGTAGCGTCCATCTGTCCACATCAGTGCACTGTTCTCAGTAACTATAGCTGTACCTATCAGTATATAAACTCTCAAATTAAAAGTTGTAAAAGAGTGAGTGTAAAATGTAGGGGGTAATTTTTTCAACAAGATTATGAGAAAAACAAATGAAGACAGAAATGTTGGACTTCCCAGAAAAAAAGAGTAGAATGGAATATTATGAGCAAAAAATGTTGTAAATTATGACATTTTTAGAAAATACTCTTCAACTTGAGTCACCTCCAGTCTTTGTTTCACCGTCAACATAAAAATGACACAAATATCACTAAATGCAACAGAATGTCCAATTCTTGAACACATATCAATTTTGTGTCTCAAGCAGCAGGTGTCAAGCAAGGTGCTCATGTTACCTAGACCCCCCCCCCTGAAACAAGACTAAAAAATACATGTCTATACAAATTTGAAGTTTGGTATGTCCAGTATAATGCTCACCTGCAGAACCATTAAAACCACTGATGAAAGCCCTCCTCTGATCGCATGGTGCAATATATTCACTCTGAAAAAGTAGATAATTATTATGTATGACATACCCAGCGAAGCATTTGTATTGAAGTCAATGGAGCTGAAGGTCGGCTATATATTCCTGTATAGCCGCCAAACCTTTTACCATGACAATCTTATGACGTCATCGGGACGTCATGTTTCATTTCTTCCTAATTTCACTCGCACACAGACACGTGGCGTCATTGATATAACGTAGCCATGATATAAAAGTATGTAATACAACAGTTATGTCCGTATCATTGAATATATGCCTTCAGTCTGTCGTAATATAACCCTCGCAAGCTCGGGCTATATTGGTGACAGACCTTAGGCATATATTCAATGATAGGGACATAACTGCTAAGTATTCACTCTGAAAACGTATATAATTATAAGTAAAATTACAATGATTACTGGATTTTCCCCTTGGCATCTCATGACAATTTTAGGTACAATTTTTCAATCTAATCATATCAAAACCAACAAAAAATTTCCAAGTTTACAGTGAAAAACAGGCATTATATTTTCTATTGATTACTAATGTCTAATCAACCCTCATGAGATTTGCCTGGTAATGCTCAAAACACCGCAGCCAAGCTACCACCCTGATCCAACAAACTGATGATAATATTAAAGCATCCATGGATATAATAAAATGTTAATAGTGGATAAAACTTTTAAGTAACCACAAAGTGAAAGGAACAAAGTACCTGGTGAGCATCTCCCGATGGTATGATATAGGCATGTAGCTGCTCACTGACATGGTTACTGTTCTTCATAAACCCACGTAACTTGTGCAGCAGATTTGTTGTGTTCTTTGCCATAGTTTCTGAAAATACAAACCACAATTACGGTACATACCACATATCAAGACACAGAATTAAAGGACTTACTCATGTTTGACTGTTTGTTTGTTTAGATGCTGCAAAACGATCTTGAAGTATCAACTTGTTTTTCAGTGCTGACATCCAATTAACTGGTCCTGTTGGTATCTTAGTAAAATGTGAAAAATTGCAATTCTACAATATCCCACCTTCCTCATCTTTTTTCGTTTTAGAGCCTTCCTTGTTGTCAGACATTTTCAAAATCTAATCTATGTGACTTATGGCACACAAGAATACTATAAATTACTCTTTGAACTCGTTTCTACTTGAAGTAAAAACACAAAGCAAATTCCACTTGACACAATCTCAAGTCAAATTCTAAATACTTATTTTATGTTTAAATATAGGGGTTGTATCAACACTGATACATACAGTTAAACCTGTCCGATGGAACACCTTTCTATAAGAAATGCCTGTCTACAAGGAACAGTTTTTAAAAGAACAAAAAGCACTCCATTGACTTACATGTTAACATACCCTTTCTATAAGGAACACCAGTCTACTGTGAACAAGGAACAGTACTTTAGGGGAAATTTAAACAAGGCACAGGGTGAACAATATCGTACCTAAAACATAGCAGTGTGAAAAACTTAAAAGATGGCCACCAGAATCCAAGATGGCCACAGAAAAGTTAATCAGCTCTAGAACTTCTCACCATATAACATGTGAGAAGTAGATTCACATGCGGTATATGGCATTCACACTAACCAATGAGAATGTGATACGGAAGTACTCGACGCACTAACTATATTAGTAATCCAGCATAGCTTTACATTAAGAGTCAATTCTCACCTGCAGTATATGTCATATTCACCTGCGGTATATGGCATATTCCGCAGGTGAGTATCGGGTATTCACTGAAATCAAAGTATTGCATATTCACTGTGGAATATGGGATACTCACCTGCGGAATATGCCATATACCGCAGGTGAATATGGCATATTCAACCGTATCACAAATACTGCGCAACCATGAATTTATGCCATATTCCACATAAAAATTACAAGACTTATCTAAAAACTTCCAAGATGGCCACCAGAATGCAAGATGGCTGCTGAAAAGCTAATCAGCTCTTGAACTTCTTACCATGTAACATGTGTGAAAATTTAAAGCAAATCCGTTAAGTAGTTTTCCTGGAATCGCAATGACAAGATTTATCTAAAATCTTCCAAGATGGCAGCCAGAATGCAAGATGGCTCTGAAAAGTTATTCAGCTCTAGAACTTCATACCATGTAACATCTGTAAAAATTTGAAGTGAATCCTTTCAGTGGTTTTCCTGGAATCGCGATGACAAGAAAGTGAGACGCCGCCAGCTGCCCGTCAAACTGACGACAATATCGTACCTTTTTAGGTACAATAAAAATTCACCTGTTCACAAGGAAGATGGAAATTGGTTACACTGTACATCCCATTGTTTCTCAGAGATGCAAATGGCTTATTAAGTCAATACCGTATGTGATTTTAAAGAGCTTGGATAAATATGAATGAGATTAGGATAAGTCAATTGTAGACAAGCTGGGACATACATATCACTGTTAATTAGTCTACCCCAATATTTTTTTAATTAATCTGTTTATTATTAATTGCCATTTGACACTATCCTTTCTTTCAACAAAAGTTGATTTCATCTGACAAGTTGAGCTTGGGACTGAGATAATAGAAAAGTATTTAATTGCATGATATGGGGCGAATTCTCTTCAAATCCTTCAATGATCCAAATTGCAAATTGAAATGCTACAAAATGGGGCTGACGAACTTGAATAAAGGCTCTGAGCAACATTATTACATCATTTATCATCTACAATAATCAAATGCTTATTGGGCAAATTGGTTTTTGGAGTTTGACTCAAAAAATGGACCCTCTCTGTAAGGAACACCTGTCTACAAGGAACAATTTTGGCTAGTCTGGAGGTTGGCATTCCCTCTTTTCAGGTTTTACTGTTATCAAAATTGCCCTCCAGTCAACATATACAGTGATAATTCCTCTAAAAGATCTGAGTCCTATATCCTTTGTAGGATCAACAGCCTGCACTATTCATTGGAATACAGACTATGGGACAACTGCAGAAAATATTTAATCCAAGTCCTAAATTTACGGACCAATTAAATCAATTAGAGGGTTTACTTAAGCTTTGGAATCTCAATGAAGCCCTGCCTTTAATGAGATCTGCATTTTAATTACCGCATTAAAGACCAACATTTTGTGGCTAAGTCTCCACAATGCTAAACAAGGCACAGGGTGAACAATATCGTACCTAAATCATAGCAGTGTGGGCTGGTTGACCCAGAAAGCAAGATCAAATCAGCTTTTGAATTTCTTACCATGTAACATGTGTAATAAAACTTTGAAGTTATTCTGTTAAGTGTTCTTCCTGTAATCGCCATGACAAGATTTATCTAAGAACTTCCAAAATGGTCACCAGAATGCAAAATGGCCACCAAAAAGTTAATCAGCTCTAGAACTTCTTACCATGTAACATGTGTGTTAATTTGATATAAATCCGCTGAGTGGTTTTCCTGGAATTGTGTGACAAGATTTTTCTAAAAACTTCCAAAATGGCCGCCAGAATGCAAGATGCCGATGGCCACTGAAAGTTAATCAGCTTTAGATGTAATATGTGTGAAAATTTGAATTAAATCCGTTAGGTGTTTTCCTGGAATCGCGATGACAAGAAAAGTGATATGCCCCCCCCACACGCCCACCCACCAAGCTGAGAACATCATTCACAAGTGATATTCCACTTAGCCCAAAGTGCTAGTGGAATATCATCTTGTGAAAGTGTCACAGCTATTCACCAATATTATTCACTGTTATATTCCTCATTCACATTAATAGAATAACAAACTATTGATGTCAAGTTAATCATAACAATGGACTCCTGGGGATATATACAATTGAAATTATACTGGACTAAGTCAATCAGAGGGTGAAGAATATGACAGTGATATAATTAATATACATATCATTCCCGTATAACGTAAAGCTTATGAAGCGTTTTTTTTACGTCATCATTTATTGCGCAGCTCTATACGTCCATAAGTGTGACATTCTTACGTATAGATGACGATTTATAAGAATATCACACTTATGGACATATAAGTATAACTGAATTGTGAAATGTCTCTATTGATATCATACAATCCCTTATAAATAGAATTGATGGTCAAGTGTTGCTAAAAATGAAGTTCTGATAGGATTACAATTAGGGGCCGGGTCAAACATCAAGGAGTCATTTTTTCATGCCACTGATCATTTTGGAGAGAGGATACAAATCTCTGTTGCATAGAGAAAAGCACTAGATATACTGTTGAATTGGCAATAATGTAACTAATTCGGCGTTCGGTTTTTTACCGCATATGACTTGAATAAGCCAATTAAACATAGGGGTGTGAGAACTTAAAATTTACTCTGACAATGTGTCTTACCCCCATAAACCCCCATAAACCCCCATAACATAAACTCCATAGTTTAGTGAATTTTGGTCACGGACCGTTCAGAAACAACAGTTAAAACGAAGATTTACAGCGTCAGTTTTGATTGTTCAGCCGGGAAACCAATGGGGTTTTCTCATTTGCATAATTACGTGAGCCATAGACTGTTATGGGGGATTTCCGAAGCAGGGTGACACACATTAGCAGAAAACACAATCGCCACTTAAATTACATTTCCCTGTTTATTCTATTATCAACCCTTTTTTACATGTCATATATTTAAGTGTATCAATTATGTAGCTCTTGATGTGAACATATTGCAATGCCATAGAGTAAAATAACCGAAAAACGGTACAGAAAAAGTTACCTATGTCTGAGAAAACCTACCCCTCTATGAGTCTATACAACATTGTCTAATAAAGACCAAACAAAGCCCCGGATGTCGTGTTGTTTCTCGTTTTGTTTCATACACAACTAAGCCCCGGGTATTAAATAAGCCCTTGGCTGGACCCAATACAATGAGGTATAAGCTTTATCAATAAAGGAACAAAACAGAGGAGGGAACTCAGATGATATGCTCATATGGTTTAACTGAAATATGTGTTCTAGCCTCTAGAAGGTAAGTAAGACTCCCAATCTTTAGATAACTCTTGTATTTCAAGTTCTATCGACGCAGTCAGGCCATGAAAAAAGTAGTACCTAAAGGTCATCAATTTGTTACGTCAATCAGTGATCTCTGGAGATTTTGAACGCTATTTCCTGAGTTTCTGTCAAAACTGCCGATACTGGTTTCTTGGTAGAAAATATATTTGCTCGGCTCAATGATAACGAGAAGTCCTGATTGGCACAGAAGCAGCTGATAACTTACTCAGTGTTACTTCCTGCGAAAGCTATTTGGATTTTGATATAACATGTATAATAGCTTTCCCACAGAGCATTTCGACAGCTGAATGATTGTGACCTTTGAAATCGAATTAAGTCGATCAGCGGCTTACTTTTGGTCTCTAACTGTGTCTTACATCAGTATCATCAATCCGTGTAAGTATTAGAGCGCTGAAATACTTCTTTTTCGATCAAGACTTGTAAATTGTTCATTGAGTGAATGTTTTTTAGACCTATTTCCAATATGGCGGTTTGCTAGGAGCGAGATACGCAACGAACGAAATGAATTTTTAGAATTAGTTAGGTTCGGACAACCTCCGGAGATTTACGAAAATGTCCGAGCAGAAAACGCCATATTGGAATTTGGCAGTAAAAACATTCACTCGACTAACAATTACAAGTTTTGATCGAAAAGGAAGTACTTCAGCGCTCCAATACTTGCACAGAAGGATGATGTATAACATAGTTAGAGAACAAAATTGGCCGCGGATCGACTTAATTCGATTTCAATGGTCACTATTAATCAGCTGTCCACTTCCCCGTTTGAGAGCCATAAGATTCAAAATCTAACATGGCTCTCGATATATAAATAGATCTAACAGCTAAATTCAGTATTCAGTTTCAAAAATCAGCAGTGAAAAAATTGCTTGGAGATTAAAATTATTGAGTAAGCTAGGAACCCTACCTTGGCCTGGGTTACATTAGTTCAACAAGTTAAACCCAATACCACAGCTTTCATTTATTAATCTGAATGTTATTGTTGCCGTGATTGGGTTTAACTTCCGTGCCATATAGTTTTATTTGTTGCAAATTCTCACTATCAGTTATAAATTAAACGCGCATGGAATTCTATGCGCTGCCATAGGCTTACTTCGGTCCAAAGCCTTCTCTATATTCCGGCTTTGAGGAGGAAGATTGAGCTGCCTTAGTATTATAAATATTGTAAATCATTGTGTCACACCCATATACATGTCACGATATAGGGACAAAAAATATTGACATTTTAAAAGTACCGTTTTTTTCGTTTTGTTATTATGAAAAGTAATTAAATGTCACGATATAGGGACAAAAAGTATTGACATTTTAAAAGTACCGTTTTTTTCGTTTTGTTATTATGAAAAGTAATTAAGGAACGTTGGCTACCTTGGCTGTTGAAACCTGGTGATATAATCATTATCTTTACGAAGAATAGATTATGTTTTATGCAGGCATTTTAAAACACGTTACTTTGACTTTAAAACGTTCGTTCATTGTCAATGGATGATTTTTTATGTAGCCATTTCTAAAACACGTTACTTTGCCTTTAGAACGTTACCTTAATAGACTTTAAGTTTTCTCTAATAAGAGTGGATGCTTTTTATGTACGCATTCTTAAAACACGTTACTTTGCCTTAAAAACGTTACTTTATTGGACTTTAACTGATCTCTACGAATGGATGATTTTTTATGTAGGCCATTTTCAAAACAAAGTACTTTGTCAGTAAAACGTTACTTTATTCGACTTTAACAATACTCCACGAAGAATGGATGAATTTTATGTAAGCATTTTCAAAACACGGTGCTTTGCCTTAAAAACGTTACTTTATTGGACTTTAACTTATCTCCACGAAGAATGGATGATTTTTATATGTAGGCAATTTCAAAACACAGTATTTTGACAGTAAAACGTTACTTTATTCGATTTTAACCATACTCCACGAAGAATGGATGAATTTTATGTAAGCATTTTCAAACACGTTACTTTGCCTTAAAAACGTTACTTTATTGGACTTTAACTGATCTCCAAGAAGAATGGATGATTTTATATTAGGTATTTTCAAAACACAGTACTTTGTCAGTAAAACGTTACTTTATTCAACTTTAACCATACTCCACGAAGAACTGATGGCTTTTTATGCAGGCATTTTCAAAACACAGTACTTTGCCTTAAAAACGTTACTTTATTGGACTTAAACTTTTCTCCACGAAGAATGGATGAATTTTTGTGTAGTCTTTTCAAAACACAGTACTTTGTCAGTAAAACGTTACTTTATTCAACTTAAACCATACTCCACGAAGAATGGATGGCTTTTTATGCAGGCATTTTCAAAACACAGTACTTTGCCTTAAAAACGTTACTTTATTAGACTTTAACTTTTCTCCACGAAGAATGGATGAATTTTTGTGTAGTCTTTTCAAAACACGTTACTTTGACTTAAAAACGTTACTTTATTGGACTTTAACTGATCTCCACGAAGAATGGATGATTTTATATTAGGCATTTTCAAAACACAGTACTTTGCCTTAAAAACGTTACTTTATTAGACTTTAACTTTTCTCCACGAAGAATGGATGAATTTTTGTGTAGTCTTTTCAAAACACGTTACTTTGCCTTAAAAACGTTACTTTATTGGACTTTAACTGATCTACACGAAGAATGGATGATTTTATATTAGGCATTTTCAAAACACAGTACTTTGTCAGTAAAACGTTACTTTATTCGACTTTAACCATACTCCACCAAGAATGGATGGTTTTTTATGTAGGGCCTTCTTAAAACACGTTACTTTGCCTTAAAAACGTTACTTTATTTGACTTTAACTGATCTCCACGAAGAATGGATGATTTTATATTAGGCATTTTCAAAACACAGTACTTTGTCAGTAAAACGTTACTTTATTCGACTTTAACCATACTCCACGAAGAATGGATGGTTTTTTATGTAGGGCCTTTTTAAAACACGTTACTTTGCCTTAAAATCGTTACTTTATTGGACTTTAACTGATCTCCACGAAGAATGGATAATTTTTTATGCAGGTATTACTTTGCCTTAAAACGTTACTTTATTGTACTTTAACTGATCTCCACGAAGAATGGATGATTTTTATGCACGCACTTTCAAAACACAGTACTTTGCCTTAAAAACGTTACTTTATTGGATTTTAACTTTTCTCCTCGAAGAATGGATGCTTTTTAGGTAGGCATTTTCAAAACACAGTACTTTGCCGATAAAACGTTACTTTCGTGGATTTAACTTTTCTCCTCGAATAATGGGTGATTTTTTATGTAGGCATTCTAAAAACACAGTACTTTGCCAGTAAAACGTTACTTTTAACTTTATTCCTTCAAGTGTCGAACATTTTAGCCTGGTGTTTTTAAAAAGCGTTACTTTGGCCGATTTCCGTAACTTTCTTGTACTCTTAGTTTTCCTCCATCGAGCGTTGGTGAAATTTAGGTAGGCATTTTCAAAAAGCGTTACTTTGGCCCTTTTCCGTTACTTTCTTGGACTTAAACTTTTTTGCCCGATTGAGTATTTTGAATGTAAAAAATAAGGAATCAAAGGACGATATTGAACAGTATTTTGTAAAAGTAGAAACAATTGTACGAGGCCTAACTTTTGTATATTTTGGTTTGTTTTGTAGTTAGCTATCATATGTGTGGCCTCTTATATTTCGATGCTTCTCTGCCATGACATTTTCGACACGAAAAATTAACATGGATGAAACTCAATAAATTACTGAATGCCAAACGTTTGCTGTAACTATCTGAAATACTAAAGTTAGGCCTTGTACATAGGTTTCTATTTCTCCAAATATTGTTGCAATATGGTCATTTGATTGCTTATTTTTTAAATTCAAAGTACTCAATAGATGATTTTGACTCGCATTTTGACGAACTTCAGTTTTGTCTCCGTCAGTCGATAAAAAGCAATCAAAAGACAACAGTGCAATATTAAATGGAAAAATACATTGATATTCTGATGCAAACGATTGTATTGTTTGTTAGCTCGTGTTTTGAATAATACAATGTGTATATAATTCTTGAAAACTAGTGATTTAGTTCGACGTTTTTGAGATGTAGTTGAAGCGAACGACATCTTTATGAATTACTCATACTTATAGTCGGATTGAAAACTGTGTTTTATAAAGATGTCGCTCAGTATCAGAAAATACACCTTCCAAATTTTCACATATCAATCTGTCAATCTGTTATTCGTTCATGATCATTTCATTTCATGATCATGTTCATGGTCAAAATTGCTGCATCAATGTCTAAGATGGTTGCATTCAAACGTACTAATAAAGGGAAGTGAAAAATAATGCCATGTTATAAGTGACCTAAATGGCGCGGACGTCAGAGAGCGCCTTCCGGTAAAGTGGGTGTTTGGGATCGAATCGATCTTTTATCGTATGAATCGCTAAAATTGCAACTCTGAAGTCATTCAACACTGTTATCGGCTAAACTAATCTATAAATTAACGTACATTCATGAAAAAGGATCCACTTTGGTCTTTTAACCGCCTAATTGAGTACATTGAACGTACGTTAAATAAGCAACCAACATATTGCAACAGAAAATGAAAAAAATATAAACATACGTACAAGACGTAACTATTGTATATTACAGATAGTTAGGTATAACGTGCAGTAAAGCTGTACCTATTTAGGGAGTTTCATCCATGTTATTATTTCGAAAATAACATGGAAGATCATCGAACTACGAAACAAACCAAAACAAAGGTTAGGCATTGTACAAAAGTTTCTGCAAGAATTTAAGATTTTCAAGGTGGAATAAGTGAATTAATAAATGGAAAAACACTACTAACCTCTCTTTACACTATGGTCCATCTTATATTTTACAATAATTAGTAATACCACTCACTGACAAGATTTTCAACACATCGAAAAAAGTTTAAGTCCAAGAAAGTAACGGAAAAGGGCCAAAGTAACGCTTTTTGAAAATGCCTACCTAAAATTTACCAACGCTCGATGGAGGAAAACTTAAGAGTACAAGAAAGTTACGGAAATCGGCCAAAGTTACGCTTTTTAAAAATGCCAGGCTAAAATGTTCGACACTTGAAGGAATAAACTGGCCAAGTAACGTGTTTTTAACAACTTGGCATGGAAACAGTTAGAGTCCACGCGAGTCAACGAAAGTAACGTTTTATCGGCAAAGTACTGTGTTTTGAAAATGCCTACCTAAAAAATCATCCATTCTTCGAGGAGAAAAGTTAGAGTCCACGAAAGTAACGTTTTATCGGCAAAGTACTGTGTTTTGAAAATGCCTACCTAAAAATCATCCATTCTTCGAGGAGAAAAGTTAAAGTCCAATAAAGTAACGTTTTTAAGGCAAAGTAACGTGTTTTAAGAATGCCTACATAAAAAATCATACATTCTTTGTGGGGAGAAGTTAAAGTCCGATAAAGTAACGTTTTATTGGCAAAGTACTGTGTTTTGAAAATGCTTACCTAAAAATCATCCATTCTTTGAGGAGAAAAGTTAGACTATAAAGTAACGTTTTTAAGACAAAGTAACGTGTTTTAAGAATGCCTTCATAAAAAATCATACATTCCGGCACTGATGTGTGGGGAAAAGTTAAAGTCCAATAAAGTAACGTTTTATTGGCAAAGTACTGTGTTTTGAAAATGCTAATATAAAATCATCCATTCTTCGAGGAGAAAAGTTAAAGTCCAATAAAGTAACGTTTTTAAGGCAAAGTAACGTGTTTTAAGAATGCCTACATAAATGCCTACAAAAATCATCCATTCTTCGTAGAGTATGGTTAAGTATCATACATAAATGCCTACATAAAACATCATCTATAGTCATGTTTGACTTTCCATAATAACAAAACGAAAAAACGGTACTTTTAAAATGTCAATATTTTCTGTCCCTATATCTTGACACTGTTGCACACCCACAGTTAATATGGCATAATAATATGAAATATACCTTTATGTATAGATTTGAAGAACATCAGCTCACATCCCCGTCTGAATCTATTGTTATATTTGATTTCTTTAAGCGAGAATAATTTCAAATTTTATTCACACGTCCAGAACCGGAAGCCATTTTTAGCTACAGCGAGAAAATTTCACCATGTTTCAAACTCCGAAATGAAATTTTGAAATATCTAAATCCAGACAAGCAACGCTTCATCCTAAATATGATTAATATTCTTAAAAATATTTATAAAATTTATTAAAAATGAGTTCTAGGTGCGTGTAGGTGCGTGTAGCACCTTTTCTAGAGTACATACGAAATCAATGAAGTTACGTCTAGCTGTAAGCTGAGACTAATATAGACTACTCTAAGAGACTCGAGAAGCCACAGGCCACTATTAAATATTTTGCATCAAGGGCCGAATAGGCACGGACGTTAAACCTAGGGCGGGCCACAAAATATGTCAGATAGGAAATAAGGCCCAGACTAGGTTTAACTTGTTGAACTAGGGTTACATATCTTCAGTTTCATTCAATTTTTCAAAACAACATTTCTAAAATTCAAAGGAAGAAACAATGAACAATATCTGCTGCAAAGACAAAAGCGGCTGTATTCTCCATTTAAATAGCTTACAGAAAATAGGAAAGGCATGTGTAAAAGAATTTGAAAGCGAGTACAAACCAAAAAATACTTACAAGATTTGAACATTCAAATTCATGTGGATTTTGCAAATACAAGTGTAGACTACCCGATCAACATTATTTACATTTTTGTCCAGTGCATTATTGGATATACAGAGTGAGCCAAAAACGCAATTTTTATTTCCCAACCTACGTACACCAAATTTTGCAGTCATATAATAGGGTCAGGGGTCCTAAGCAATAAAATAATGAAATAGGTCCTACTTACTTCCTGCGAAAGCTATGTGGATTTTGATATAATAGCTTTCCCACGGCGCACTTGGACAGCTGATGAATAATAGTGACCTTTAAAACTGGAATAAAGATTTCTGCGGCTTACTTTTGGTCTCTAATTGTGTCTTACATCAGTATCATCAATCCGTGCAAGTATTGGAGCGCTGGAATACTTCTTTTTTGATCAAGACTTGTAAAATGTTCATTGTGTGAATGTTTTTTCAACCAATATATATGACGCTTTGCTAGGAGCGAACGAAATGAATTTTGAGAATGATTTAGGTTCGGAAACCTCCGGAGATTTACGAAAATGTCCGAGCAGAAAACGCCATATTGGAATTTGGCAGTAAAAACATTCACTCGACTAACAATTACAAGTCTTAGTCGAAAAGGAAGTACTTCAGCGCTCCAATACTTGCACGAAAGGATGATAATGATATATGACATAGTTAGAGAACAAAAGTAAGCTGCGTATCGACTTAATTCGTGTTTCAAAGGTCACTATTATTCAGCTGTCCATTTCTCCATTTGAGAGCCATAAGTAGAAGTGAGTAAGGTCCTTCAACTTAGATTGTATTAGATCTAACAGAGATCAGAACTATTAGATGGTTGGTCATCAGGTGGTATCAGTTTAGGTATATTATGGAAATTATGTTTACTTTTCATGGTGCACCACATGTTTAAGTGAGATGCTGGTGACATCTTTTATCTGACTATAAGTTAAGAATTTATAATGCATGGCTAGACTGCAACTTCAAGTTTCATTTGGAATGCAAATTATGATTTTGGATCAAAAATTAAAAAAGTTACAGCATTAAAAAAAATGTGGCATTTTTTGGCCCACCCTGTACATGTATCTTGACAACTAAAGACAGGTAAATATATGGAAGTAGCCTACTTCAAAGTAATGTTGACTAAATATTTTCCTATCTAGTTAGTCTGTGTAAATCCCTGGAGTAAAGCAGAGTCAGGCACAGGCAAAATTGTGACTGAGGCTTGGTTGTTCAGAATGATTGTAACGGAATGAAACAGTCTGCACCGCCACAACTTACAAATTTGGCCAAGTATGTTTTAACTCGTTTGTAACTGTGGTCTGTTATAGTATATGCCTATAATTGTGAATCATTTCCTATTGCAGTGGCACTGACACGACAAGCACCTCAACATTGCAACTTTGATATTGGTGATTGTGTTGCAACCTGGTTTTACATTTCTTCAAACTCATATATATATTCTTCATTGTCAAACATACTGACAGGGTGTGAATTTCGAAATTCTGCAGGTTGAGGATGCTGTAAATGATCATATTCTTGAATGAAATCGTCAAACAATGCGGACCAAACATGGTGTTCCAAAATAGGATCTCGTTCCTCAGCAATGTTTTTGACAGCTGTGAATTGCATTGCATCACACAAATAGTTCTTCGAATTTGATTGACTAGATGCAAATGTTGGTGAAACTGGTGGTGACATGTTTCTTGGAAAATTTGCGTGACCAGCTGATTTTATCAAGTTTTTGGTTGTGGTTGTTCTTGATTGTTCCAGGTGTGCACTGTTGTGACTGAGATCATTATTATCAGCAATAGAGGAATTTAAATCCCTTCCCTTTATGATTGTTATAAATTTCTTTGTTTTGGTAGTCTGTTTTGGCACAATCATTTCTATTCTTTCTTTAGTAGACCTATCCAATTTTGACACGGTCTGGCTTGTCAATGGTGATATTTGTTCTCTCGGTAATGCATGTAATATTGTTCGTCTTCCAGTTTTTGATCGTCTACGGGTTCGCCAACGTGTCACATTTTGCACCAATTCTGGGTGTCCACGCACAAAGTTGGAATGGGTGAACACATATTTTTCACCCTCCATATCCCACATGAATCCATACTCTCGTAGCAGACGACGCACATTGGCAAAAAGATTGATTTGCAAGAATCCTGGATATATATCGAGAACATTCTCCACGAAATAGGTTTCATTGATTGTAAAACTTGCTCCATCGTCTGTCCATTTGAACATTGGATCATCATCATTGACGACATACCACAATTTTTCTGGGAATAACAGTTCTGCAAATCTTTCTGCTATTCTGACAGTGTTTTTACTGTATCTTGAAATCAGACTTGTCATATTCAGATTTTTTCGAAAAATCCCTTGTCAAAATTAGCCTGCCACACAGCCGACTCGGACAACAATAGTAAATTGTGACCAAATAGCGTCTGTGACGTCTGCAAACGTCAGTAACTTTCTCTTTCGTTATGATCGGGTACTCGCGTATTGAACGAGATCACACGAGAAGATACGAGAGTAAGTTAAACATGTGAAAAGCGGGAAGAAAATCTATTTTTGTTATATTATGGCCTCAAATACTCGTCGATCGACTCGCTTATCAGCAGAACCGGGAGAGTCAACAATCAGAGACATATGGCAGGTAAAAAAATTATTTCAACCAGGATCTAAGGTCATTTTAGAAGTACCCTTATTTTCCTGTCAATTTTTAAAAAAAAGTTGATGTTTTTAACACGGACGTCAAGTAAGTTTCTGGCGAAAGCCGGAGCATAGATTATTTAAGAGTACTGGAAACAAGAATGACCTACCTTTTTGTTTCCCGAATCTCGCCTGAAATTAGCTCATCTTGGTGACTGTAACCTGTACAGTGGGGGACAAAAATAAAACTCAACGTTCACAAGTTGTCACAATGAGCTAATTTCCAAGTTTTGTGTCTCAAACTCTCCCAAGCGGTAGAAAAATAATTCCCATTTACTAAAGTAGCACAATAAATGAATCCAAAGCTTCATACCTGCAAATAATGGATAAATCCCTACAAAATCGAATGAATGTTTTCATGAATCGCCATGTTTGTTATCCAAGGACGGTTGACTCCCAGAATGCAACATCAGTTACCGTATTTACTCATGACAGGTTTCAAAATGGCGGGACAGCATTTTGAAAGCTGGCACGTGTCATGTTGCATTCTGGGAGCCAATCCTCTGTTCCGGCGCAATCGGGCGACAAAATCACCTCTACATTTGAAGAGTCGGCATAACATGTGAATATTCACTTGAACTTTTGAAGTTCTTATTTGTCATTAGGGACACAAATTCCACTATATTTGGACTTACTCAGACGGTGAAAATAGAGCACTGAATACACTGAGGTAAGAATTTATTACATGTGCGACAGCATGTAATTTTCATAGCTTTTGCAATTCTTTATGATCCCCACTGTATATCTGTATTATAGAGTCCCTTTGTATGGCATCTGACTCAATTTTAAAGTTTTATTGGTATTTTTAAGATGATTTCACTGTTTTTGTGGACTGGTAAGATTGGGCCAAGCAAATGGCAGCTGAACTGTTCAAAGTACTTTTAGTACTAATTATCGCAAATGACAATAATTTTGGAAACGATATACAGATCAACTAAATAGATTACTAAGCATCTAAGGTAAGTAAAACTAGATGAACAACTGAGTCAATAGTGATAAATACTAATAGGCCAACACGAGTTGGCAGATTTGAAATAGACTGCTATCTTGTTTACAGTCCTCTTTATTATCTATGCTCCAGCTTTCGCCAGAAACTTACTTGACGTCCGTGATTTTTAATGTTTTTAGCCTACAGTCTAGCAGTAAAAAGGTTGCTAAATTTGTCGTTACTTGACACAGGTGCTCCCTTAGTAATAAAAGTGTCAGGCTTCCCTCTAAGTAAGTAAATCAAAAAGGTGGGCCGAGAATCAATAAGTCAATAGGTGGAGTCACGGACCTCTGCCAGATTACCTCTTCTTGGTGTCTTGGCTCATATTGAGAAGTATATATTCAAATATACTCAAGGACAAGACACAAAATCTTCAGAAAATTTATTTTTCCTTGATTTGGAGTCTGTTTATCAATAAATATCACATGTCATACCTCAAACAATTACCAAGGAACCAATAAATTAAAACTATATATTATGTTTGACATTACTAATCATTTGGGGGCCAATCTGATTGATCAGTTAATTTTTTTACATTGTTTATGACAATTAACAGTTATCTAACATTTCTTTTATAATGGCTATCGCAAGACCTCTACATTGGTCTTATAATGAAGAAAACCACATTTTTGTAGCTGTAAGTTGAGAAACCTATTTCAGTTGTCCTTTAAGTGTAATGAACAATGGAATTAAATTCAGAATTGATTTTATTCCAATGTTTTCGGAGAGGTACTAATTTCTTGACACTTTTTGTGTTTGAGATAATAAAAAATCAAAAACTAATTAATTCAACTGTTCCCTGGTAGAAGGGTACACGGGGTACAATTCTATTCAGTGATTTCTATGCACTTCCAAAGTGAGGGGCTGCCATATGGAGTGCAGTCGCACCCAACACATCACCATCACCCATTTCAACAAGCCTGTATATTTATGTACGCTCATACACTCAAATTCTATTGCCAATAAGATCATGAATCAAAATAAAACAAGATCATGAATCAAAATAGGTGTGACAAAAAGGGCAACCCTGGAGAACACCAGTGATAAAGATGATCAAAAAACATGGATTACACATTAAATAAATTGTACTTTAAATTGTCAAATCCTGAAGAACAACATAGATGTAATCAAGGTAAAATAATTGTGTCATTTATTAAAAATTGAACAAAAAATAAATTTCAATTTAACAAATAAAATAGATAAATCATGCTAATTACCTTTCAAACAACCAATTCATTAGTAGATCATCAGTTGTAAACTTCAAAATTAAACATTTTTGAATTTTACCCCTGCTAGACCCTACATTGATAAGTAAGCGGTAATGTTGACAGGTCCTCAACAAGTGAAAATGTATGTAGGAAATATGTTTTATCATTTAAACTCACCCTTTATCACTTTTGTCTCCATGGACCGAAAGAAAGATGTCCAAGATTTTACTTTTTGCAGGTTTGTCAAAGTCATTTCAACGTATGATGTGGCAAGACATGGGGTCCACAAAATAACACGTGGAACTGTGGAATGACTAGGGCAACTTATTATCCCACCGAACGAAGTTTGAGGGGGATATAGAGAAGCCGTCCGTTCGTCCGTCTGTCCGTTCCTTTGTCCGTATGTCCGGGCGATAACTCCAATACCGGTTGACGGATTTGGTTCAAATTTTATAGGATTATGCCTTATGAGTGTAGGACCTCTGCTCGAGAAGGAATGTTAAATATGGCCGCTCAATTCAAAATGGCCACCATTTTTCATAAAAAATGTAATCGTTGATAACTCAAATACAAGTTGACGGATTTGGTTCAAATTTTATATGCTGATGCCTAGGGACAAAGGAGTTTCGCCCAAAAAGAGATTTTCAAGATGGCCGCTTAATTTTCGTAAAAATATGTAATCTTTGATAACTCAAATACCAGTGAACGGATTTGGTTCAAATTTTATATGATGATGCTTAGGGACACAGTAGCTATGTTTGACAAAACATTTTCAAGATGGCCGCTTAATTTCAAAAGTAATTTTCAGTAATTTTTCGTAAAAACAAATTGGAGAAGGTCATTGTCATCTTTAAAGGTCTTACCACGCTGATCAAAACTTAGATATTGCATGATCAGAAGAGTATTGTATATGGTCTTAGACCTCAAGACCTAGCTCCTCTATAGCTGCAGTGGTCTTTAATGCTGACGTGTGGGCAGACGCCTAATGGAGATGGATGACTGGCTTCAAATTGGGTCTTTTCAAAAACTTAACTGTGAATTGTGCAGACTGGAAATTGAATAAATATTATTTGATGGATAATACTTGAATCTGAGTTGTATAGCAATACCATTACAACAAACCAACAAATAAAACAAGCAAGAATTTTTGTATTGTAATATAGGTGAATTAGATAAAAATACATTGTAAATTCAGGGTTCGAAATTAGCGTTGCGGAAGTAACGATTCGTTCCTTCATTTTCTCAAATCGTTACCTAGCAACATGCCCAAGTAACGAAAACAGTTTCCTGGTTTATGGGAAGATCTCTATACGATCGTCAACTCAACTTCTCAATTGAAAAAATGCTGAGAATGAAAATATGCTGCCGTGATAAAACATTTTTTCTTTGGCACTTTTCGTCCTCTTTCACTTCAGCTTTTAGGCTATAACTTCTTAAAACATAAGATAAAGTGTTTACTTACCATACAGTTTCTTATTTTTCTAAAATAAAGTCTTAAAAATCGGCAATTTTCAGGTAAAATCACCGTATTATTAAGATACTTTTTGAAGATTGATAACTTCCTGTTGATTAGTGAGTGAGGGAGACATCTATTGAGAAAAATACTAGTAATTGCTTTCAATAAGCATACCCCCTTCAATAAAGTTTGCAGTTCCCATTTCACAATGTAGATTTGAAATAAAAAAATAAAATCTTGGGGAGGGAAACTTTCAAACGCAACAGCTGCATAAATTAAGCAGGTTGACCTTTCACTTTGAGCCACTTAGGAATGTTTATTATAGTGGGAAATTTAAATTTGAATGTTGAAACAACATGATTGGTCTATTATAATTTGGTCTGATCACATGACTACCAATGTTTATGTTCTCATATTTAAAGACAACATCTTTTCTCTGAATTGATTGACTTGAAACATTCTTCTAAGGTCTTTTAAAGCTAATTCTATTTACTTTTGAGTCAGAAAAATACTATTTTTTCAGGCAAATATATCTATATCTATCATTCTGGAAAGAAGGATAGTCCTGTATGATCCAGTTCTTTTTATATCTTATTTTAATGTCATATTAAAGGGGGAGGGTTTATTTTGTAAACTACAATAAACTTGAGATCAACAGATCGATAGATTTGTTTTTAGTGTCAAGGAAAACTGTGTCTATCGAAAAATTTTCAACCGGTAAAAAAAACTACCTTACTTTGGAATTTAGTTACCTAGAAGAAATGTCAGGTAACTATTTTCACTACCAGTCTAAAAAGTTAAGTTCGAACCCTGAAATTGCGTTTCAATCGTTTCAAACAGTTTGAGGATGAAGAAATCAATCTTTTCTTCATCCTAGATCAGTTCAACCATTTTAATGCATGCATCATTTCCTACTTTTCAATGCTTACGTCATTTCGAGCATTTCAAATGTTTCAATCGATTTGTCTTAAAAAACAATAGTATATTGTATTCACCGTTTCAAGCTTTTCAATCACAACCAATTCATGAAGAAATGGGCAAAATGATTAAAAAGAAAAACGAACACGCATGTTTTTCACTTCAAATTACTGTTTCGCTACTTGCGATTGTAGTTTCGTCGTTTCAAGCATTTCAATCAATTTGCCTGAACTAGTTTTAAGTTCAGTAATCATTTTCATTTCAACCATTTCAAGCAATTCGGCAGTTTCGCCTCCATTTTAACCATTTCGCCTGCCAGTATATACACTTCTTTACCTTCACCCATTATTAAGAGAGAGACAGAGGTGGGAGATATCCCCCTCCCCTCTACACCAAACTTGTTCTCACTATGTTCTCGAAAATTAGCCTAAAGGCCTCCTCACACATTATTAAGGAAAACATCTACATATTTTGCGCATTTAACCATTTGATAACATATTGTAGATCTTTTCTTAATCTGTTAATGTGAATTCGCACCTTCATTTGCATGGAAGACTTTTATAAAATCCTTTTTTGATGATCTTTGTTCGAAATCTGATGTTTGGCTATAATCTTCGAAATTCCAAATTGAACAGTCTACTAAGAATACCATGATGTAAAAAATTGTTCTTATTAATATGTCGAGCTAGGACTGCTCAAACAAAATCGCTTTTTTTAGCTAGAAGTATTTAATTTCAATAGATGATAAACTTCTCAATATGAGAAATTACCCTCATAAGGCATTGTTGCAAGGTGTGTTGTTATGAATGTGACACCCCGCATTCCCAGACCCGCATTATGTATTCTCGAAGAAAGCATGTATTTGATGAGCAACTTGAAACATATTTATTTTTATTCAAAAATATGGAATAATATGGAAGACTTTTATAAAATCCTTTTTTGATGATCTTTGTTCGAAATCTGATGTTTGGCTAATCTTCGAAATTCCAAATTGAACAGTCTACTAAGAATACCATGGTGTAAAAAAATTTTCTTATTAATATGTCGAGCTAGGACTGCTCAAACAAAATCGCTTTTTTTTAGCTAGAAGTATTTAATTTCAATAGATGATAAACTTCTCAGTATGAGAAATTACCCTCATAAGGCATTGTTGCAAGGTGTGTTGTTATGAATGTGACACCCCGCATTCCCAGACCCGCATTATGTATTCTCGAAGAAAGCATGTATTTGATGAGCAACTTGAAACATATTTATTTTTATTCAAAAATATGGAATAATATTTGATTCAAATACAATTCCGCACTATTACCATCCTCCAGTGTTGAGAATATCTGTTGTGTCAGTCTGGGTCAAAATCTTACAATATAATATTAATAACGAGGAACCCTTCTAATAAAAGCAATAAGTAATGGTGATTACTTTATTTGAGTCCCTAAATTGGACTCCAATTCAGGAAATGATTAGATACAGGAAATCAGTTTTAATGTACCAGGCCATTTCAGGCATCTCCCATATATTCAAAACTGTTTCAAAGAGACAAAGTCTGTCCATAATTATGCTTCTAGAGCAGTTGTGGAAAGTTCACTTTATGTACCAAAACCCAAACTTGAAATATTTAAGAAAAGCATATCATACAGTGGTCCACATCTTTGGAACTAGCTTGATGAGACTGTCAAAGAGTCTGATTCTGTAAACTCTTTTAAGAAAGCATATAAACAAGTGTATCAGATCAGAAAATGAAAATTATGTAAATGCATTATTTAAAGACATTGTTCCTTATGTTCATGTAATTCTTTTATAAGTTGTTCTTTATGTTTCATGTAAATGCATACTTTGAAGATGCACATATATCAAATTGTTCTATATGTCCTATATATCTATTTGTATGTTTCTATATTTATTGTACATATTGTAAAAAATAAATTGGGCCTCTAGAAAGACCAGTTTTGTACTGCTAGAGCTACCCAGAATAAATATAGTTGTCAAATCAAATCAAATTAAATCCAGGTTTGAATACTCCCGAAAATGACACGAACGACTCTAATTATGAACCATTCACATTTTTGCGAAGGCCAAACTCAAGGTCAGATGTCAAAACTCTCAGAAATCACATTTTAAGTAATAAATCATACTTCCTCTTCAATTCCATGTCAATATGTACGTGTTGGGGGGCTAAAATAGGGGTTTACCACCACCTGTCCTCTGTTTTAGAGGTTTTTGGAAAAAATGATTTGGAAATAAAAGTTGTCAGCTTTTCATTTCTCAAATTTTGAATTTCCTGCCATTTTTCAAATAAATTTGAAATCTTTTAATCATCAAATATTTCACTATACAGTGCAAGAAAATATTTTTTATATGACTAAAAAAGGTGAAAATATGGCATAGTTTGAGTCATATGAGAAAAATTTCTTATACTCGTACCTGTGCAACATCGTCCATTCTTGACTCGCTTTGATAATGTTTCTTTATCTCGTCTGTGACTCGATAAAGAAGAATTATCAAAGCTCATCAAGAATGGACGATCTTGCACAGGTATTCATATAAGAACCTCTTTATCTTTTTAACATCAATATAAAGATTGAACAACGGACACACTATGTTAAAAATAAAATGTTATATCTAATGTGCCAATTCAATGATTTAGCATATCGAAAATATTTTCAACCTAAGTTACCACATCGTGAAGGTCAACTTAGGTCAACATTTTTCAATGTCAATCTTTTCTAAATATGCTAAACTTAAAAAATAAACCAATGTTGACTGTCTAAGCAGGTTAAAAGGATGAATATGTTATGTTTTTAATATAATTTTACCATTGGTTTCTATGAGAAATAAAATTTTGATATGCATCTTTCCCTGAACCACTTTCATGGATGGATGAGTTCATTTCTCACTTATCTATCAACCAATTTTTGGCTCACACAGTGAGCCTATGGGATCGACCAGGCGTCCGTCCGTCCGTGGCGTCCGTTGGTCCGCTGTCCGTCAACATTGGCCGCACAAATTAAAACTGCTATTCGGATTGAGTCATATCCATATTCATTTTATGCATATCCATAATGCCTATTTGACATATCATCGCCATTTCCCAAGTTCGCCCGGTTTCCGAGAAATTGCGGATTTTGACGTCAAAAAGTCTAAATTTTCTGGAATTACTAGACACTTTGTTGAAGTAGAATTTTCAAATAACTTAACAAATAACTTGCTGTACGACGTATATGCAACTTATGTCCTCCGAAGATTTCAAAGCTCTTGGAATTACAGTTTTTGGTGTTTACTCCATAAAATTTGACAAAAAGTAGGACTTGACATTTTCAGGAAACTTGCTCATGTATAAAGTCAATGGCAGGTTTTGTGATTGACAAGTTTCTCAAAGTTTGCCTTATACTTGGTCATTTCTTGCAATGAATTACATCATTACTAGATTTAAGCATTCCCTACATATTGCTCAATATATGTCAGCATCAAATTTTTACTGTTTTTGAGATATGACGTCAAAAAACAGTAAAAATAAGTTATTTTGCAACTTGCTTCAATTTGACCAAATATTTTTTTGAAAATTATCTACAAGTTGCCAGGAGTTTAAATCTAACATGAGTTTTAGGATTTGACCTTTACTTGACCTTCAGTAACCTTCGAAAGGTCAAAAAAGTTGATTTTTCAAATTGATTTTTGGATGTAAATTTTGGTCAGCTTAATCACAAAAGACCTTACTGAGCTCTGAATTAGTAAAATTTTCAAGGTCAAAGGTCATCAAACTAGGTCACACAATTATGCTATCTAAGTTTCTCAAAGTTCGAGACTACAAATCCAAATCAATATTTTTGTTTGAAGGTCAGGATATACATTCCTCTGAAGGTTCCAAACTGTGTGAGCACAGGACCGTGGGTCCTTCATTATTAGCTCACATGGTGAGCTTTTGCAATCATTCACTTGTCCGTCTGTCTGTCTGTCTGTCTGTCTGTCCGTCCGTCAACAATAGTGGCACGTTTTAAAACCTCTGTCGATAGGATTCCTGTTTTAAGTTATTTCTGTTCAACATCAATACAGAAAACTCCCCTATGACTCCTGGTTCAAAAGCTGGCCTATTTTCAAAATGGCCGCCATTTTTGTCTCGCGAAATTCACTTTTGACCCATTTCCTAGCTTTACAAATAATTTCCTGCATTGTAAAAATACATGTCAATGTAAAGAGTAGTTGGATGAAATAATTTTGTTCAAAAATCAGCAAAAAATTATATTCATTTTTTAATTTTCAGCCATTTTAGTTAACATTGATTTGACCATCTGTCTCGCGAAATCCACTTTTGAACCATTTGCCTTAAAACCTCTGTCGATAGGATTCCTGTTTTAAGTTATTTTTGTTCAACATCAATACAAAAAACTCCCCTATCAAAATGGCTGCCATTTTTGTTTAGCGAAATTCACTTTTGGCCTATTTCCTAGCTTTACAAATAATTTCAGGTGTCCTGCATTTTAAAAAGCCATTTTACTGTAAAGAGAAGTTGTATGAAATAATTTTGTTACAAAAATCGGCAAAGAATCATGTCCTTTTTTTTATTTTCAGCCATTTTAGTTAACATTGATTTGTCCATCTGTCTCTCAGTCAGTCCAAAATAGTGGCAAGTTTTAAAACCTCTGTCTGTCAACACTTGGCTCTTTTTAAATCCTCTATAGATAGGATTCCCGTTTTAAAATTTTTTGTTTTCAACATCAATAAAGAAAAAATCTGTGACTCCTGCTTCAAAATCTTGCCTATTTTCAAAATGGCCACCATTTTTGTCTCGGAAAATTCACTTTTGGCCCGTTTCCTAGCTTTACAAATAAGTTCAGGTGTCCTGCATTGTAAAAAGCCATGTCTTTGTAAAGAGTAGTTGTATGAAATAATTTTGTTCAAAAAATCAGCAAAAAATTATATCCGTTTTTTTTTATTTTCACTTTTGAGCAACACCATGTGAGCTGAGTACCCACGGTACTAATTTTTCTGATTTGTGCCTCAGAAAATTCAAAATGGCTGCCTAGAGCAGGAATTCCCCATTACTTAGAGTTATCTTGAAAGTATGGTAAAATGACACTACAATGATCTCAAATATTTATTGAAGGGAAGAGTAGATGGTAAATATTACATTGTGACTGTACAGATTCATGATTTATATAGTGTTCATTGGGATTTGCTACTCCGTGGAGTTGCCATTTTCTAGTTATGCAACATTTTAGGTTTTTGAAATTTTTAGTGTGACATTTTAGGTTTATGTAATTTTTTGTGGAACAATTTGGGATTTTATTATTTTTGATGAAATTTTTATATAAGGCAGACAAAACTAAAGGAAGATAATTTTGATGTTCTGAAATATATGGAGGTGCTGCACTTCAGATTCTAATGTGCATCTGCCTTAAACCTTTCTCCACTTATCTTCCAGTACTCCCAGAAACAGCGTGAAAGTTTTGACCCCCAAGCCATGAATGAAGCATTGGATCAGCATCGCCAGTCTAGGCAGCAAATAAAACAGTAAGTCCACCAACTACTGTCATTAACCATTCTTGAAATGGCCAAAGTAAGATAAACAATATAATTTTTCTAAGCCATTATGATTATTTTTAAAATGTTTTTATCGCACCCTAAGGTGCTATGTTGTAATCAGTTTGCCGGGTGGTTGGGCGGGCTGGCGTCCCGAATAATCTTGTCTACAGGTTTCCAGCCAAACCGTTTGAGGGATTCATTTGAAATTCTCAGGGATGTTTCTACCTATAAAAGTTTAGAACTGATTAGTTTTTCGGCATTCTTTGTAAATGTTAAGGCGGCCATTTTGGATTTTTCGTCCTAAAATCGTGTCTGTGAAGGTTTGTTTTAAAAAATAAAAAATAATTTCCCATTGAGAGCAATGTTAAATTAAAACATTTATTTAGAAATAACTAAACGGTCAATCTTTCCAATTTTCACATATTTTGTAATACATCAGTATATCTTTTACCAGGATTTTTTTCAGGAAAATCTGAATTGTAGAAAAAAAGCTGATACACTGTGAAGTTATACCTTAAAACGTGTTTCTTGAGGGTTGTTTACGGGTTTCATGGATTCATCCTAAAATTTAAGAGATGTTTCTATGGAAAGTTTAGAACTGATTAGTTTTTAGGCAGTCTGGGTAAATGTTAAGGTGGCCATTTTGAATTTTCCATCCCGAAAAGTGTATTCTGTTCAAGGGTGCGATTCTGTTCACCATGTAGCTTGTTTTTAATTTGAAGCTTCTAGCTCAATTTTTGAAAGAAGTAAAATGGTGCCACGATTTTTGGGCTCGCTAAATTATCCCAAGATCATAACTCCCCCCCCCCCCTTCACCCCTGTCTCAATTTTTTCACTCAATTTCAGATTTTTTCTGGCACAAACTTGCAGTGTGTATTCATTTGCCTTCTCCATTGCAGCCCCAGTACTAGCGAGAAAATGTCATTTAGTCAGTTGTTTGGTGAGTCCCCTGCACCTAGAGAGGAACTGCGCAGTCAAGCAATGAAACGACGTAGCATGAATGTCAATCTACAGAAATGTATCCTTGATTATAAATTATACAAATGAACAAAACTACTTATATATGTAGTACTTATAGGTTTCTATTGAATACACAAATATACAGATATGATATATGCTTATAATGGCAGCGGCAATTAATTTTATCATCTTTTGATTATCCTCTTCATTCAGTAGGGATATAGAGAAATCATTCCTTCTTCTGTCTGTTTGTCCATCTGTTCGTCTATCTGTCAATTATTTCTTAGCAATAGACAAGATCCGAGTAGAAATAGTCCTGATTTACATCATTGAACATTCAGAATTCAGTCAAAGTGATATCATATTTAAAATCTACATGTAAAATTGTGTCGAGAAGTGTATAGTTTCAAAAATTGTTTCTCAACTTTGAAAATTTGATTTTCTATTACTTTGTTTTTATATGCATATAAAGCATCAACAACTTTGCAATACATAAAGAAATACATGTAGTGCTTTCCTTTTTGAAAATGTTAACTCAGATTAATTTAATTGCAGTGTACGTGTATTTTTATAATGAGACAAAAAATGTAAATAATCATATGAAAGTATAGAAAAAATGAAGTAAGAATGATCCATCCCCAGGATAAAGATCACATGACTGATGTCAAGGCCACGAGGTAACTGGGACTTCATTATTCCACTGAACTTCAAAGAAGTATGACTACTGAAAATAACCCACAACCCACCGTTGAACCAAGAAACTTAGGGTAAAATAGATAAAAATTAATATTAATTAATATTAAGGTAAGCAAAACAATAAAATATCTTTAGGACGTATGTCCCACCTTAATTTAATAAGAATCAATAGATGATTAGCCTAATTAAGCTAATTAAGGGATGTTTATAAGTAAGTTATGAAACATATCCCTTTAATTGGGCTAATTAAATTATCATTTAATTGTACTAATTAAATAATAGCTAATAGTGGTCCATTCTGTAGAAGTGCTCTAGAAGTGCATCCTTCCTGTCATGGAAGGTCACACATTCCAACATATTTCAAACAATCTGGATGATTATGCTGGGTAGTTGGCTTTATGTAGGGGTGGCAGATACCACCTAATAAAAAGAATACTAATATATATCAGATATACATCGTTTTATAGTGGGTAGGGCATGCCATGGTTAGTCAGTGCCAGAAATTTCTATCTCTGACTTATATGGTTACCAAGGAAACAGTATTTATATCTCACAATTTTCTCAATTTGACCCCCTCCCAAATGTGTCCGTTTGTTCTCCAAGTGAAATATTTGCAAAATTGCTTGGATTTTGTAGCTGCTACTTTGTCAAGGAAACTTTAAGAATGAACCTATTCCTGTATAGTGAATTTGTTGCAGATTGCAGAAAATAATTTTAAAAGGTGTCATGTGATGTTCAACTCTTAAAACTAGACATCTAGCACTGAATGTTAAAGTAATCAATATAGCGTTTGAATACATTTTTCACACCATCCTCGGTTAAGCCATAAGTTGCAAGTTTATAACTATGCTTTCCATGCTTGTTAATAGGATTCTTTGCAACATATTTCTCAACATTCTGCAACGTTTCCTGTGTAAGCTCCAATCCAAACTTGTCATAGATTTTCCTCATTGTACCTTTTGAATCATCTACCATGTCTGGATAGTAAACATCTACAAGATCAGCTTGGGTCTTTCCTGGTCCATCTGTAGCCATGCGATAGTCCATATATTTGTTAATGACATAAGAGGCATGACGCAACATTCTTTGACCTAGCGCTGTAAGGCTGATATCTTCCGGTTTGTAGTAACCCATAGTGACTGTATGCATGGTGGAACATACCGACCCCATCACCTCTATGGGATTCCGAATTGTGTGGATTATTTTCGCCCCAGGGAAGACATTTTTCAGGACAGTTATATTTCCCATATGCAGAGAATCTTTGCGAATGTATGTCTTTCCAATTGCTGAAAATTATAAAAAGAAAGATTACCAAAAATAATTCATACAGTTAGTTATTCCTAATAAGTCTATCATCTTTCCTCTATGACATCATGATTTCCATAGATACTACATAACAATGGATTTGCTGTTTTCTCACAGCAATGAATAATCTAGAAATGAACTTGAATAGTCTGATTAAGGTTGTATCTTTTTTTACCAGGGATACCGTGAGCACTCAAGCAATTTATGTCTGATATGAGCTGTATCGAAAGTCCTGATGAATATCAGTCGCATTAGTTTTTGAAATGATAAACGGCAAATAATGTTAAAATCGAGGAAACACTATACATGTACAAATAATACAATAACGTCATTTCATTGGGCATTATAGTTGGGCCTTTGGCCCTTGGTCCAATATTTCACTATTTTGCCCGAAGAAACAACGTTATTAGTATTATAAGCACCCTTTATGCCCAGGGCTGAAAAAGAACAGACTCCTACTGAATGAATATTATACGCACTAAACGATTAATCATTTCCCAGGGAACATTGGCATTTCAATTTTGGCCCTCCACTACAGCCCGCCACTATTATGTCACATATTGCTCTGGTCAATATAGCTAGCACTTATACCTCTAGTAAGGCCCGGCAAGGTGGTAATAATATGTGCATATGAAAGTTCATAACTTCAAGATTTTTCGAAGTTTAACATGGGCCTAATATTATCGGAATATCACCCAAGCATTTTGTGTTGTTAATGCCTTTTTACCTTGTTTATAAGCCAGTAGTTGGAGTTCTATCTTGTAGTACTGATACATCTTGGTCATTTTCTCCTCATCAATGTTCTCATACCAGGTGATGTAATCATCCATGTTCTGACCAGCAAAAAGCATCAACTTCATAAGGCCAGTCTTTCCAATGTGTGGGAAACACTCTTCCAAGGCAGAAGGTGTGAGTGCCTGGTGTTTCTGTAGATAACCTGGTAAACTGTTAAATTGCTCTAGAAATATCAAGGAAAGTATTTATTTTTCAGTCATGACTGCTAGGATGGTTATTACTCAGTTGTTAGTTAATTAATTAATGTTAGTTAATTAGTTGATATCTCATGATTTTAAATCATTTGATCAATACTTTTAGAGTTGATCCTTGTTGTTCTTTAGAATTAAGTGATGCATAATGAATGTTAACATGCTTGATGATTAAGAGTTAGCCTATTCAATAGACCAAGGCTGTGTTTTTGAACTGCCTTCGGGGCAAGTCAGGTGCATACTATTGAATAAGTTACCACAGGAGTTCCATTGCAATAAACCATGAAGTCTTTCGAAAGAATTATGTGAGTGTAAGTGCACTTGCATGAGCTATTTTTGTTGAAGATACATGAGTATGTTATTTGCACTGCAGGGCCTATTGTTCATTCCTGCGATACCTGAGGGGGAAACTCATTAAAATATTATGCACTTCACTTGCACTGTGGGCATACGAAAATGCAGCCCAAATGTTTAGTTTTTTCAGGTCAAGAAAGTATGAAATGGATTACTTGCTTTAAGAATTGCTTTACTTTTAGGTCAGTACAGTACAGTACAGTACAGTACAGTACAGTACAGTACAGTACAGTACTGTAATGTTCTGTACTGAACTGTACTTTCTTAACCAGTAGTGAATCAAAACCAAATAAGATAAAAAGAGTAATGGTATTAATTGTAAGTCTCACCAGAGATTTGTGCTGTTCCAAGAAATCTTGGATCATCAGATGGAATGTCTTTGCTTTCTGGAATTGGTACAGGGAACATCACCTGCCAGAAAGCAGGCGAAAAGTTCTGCTTATCTTCGTTTAACAAGTTGTGGAGATGTGTAGACCCTGTACGCATAAACCCCGCTATGAAAATAGGATCTTTTATAGGGACCTAAAATAAGAAGACCATCTTTTAAAAAAAATCTACATTTTTTTTCAGAAGTCAATGTCTGGCTCTGGATTTTTGTAAAAAATGTGTGATCAAACAATAGATTTGTGCTCTGCTCTAAGTCTCACATATATCCATTTATGTGATAATTGGAAGGATATTATATCTCACAATATATGAGAAGTACTTTCTAACTTTTTAACCCATTGGCAGTCAAGAGGAGTACATGTATTGGGTTTACAAAAACGCCGACCGCCGACCACCGACCAGTCACTCTCCACAGTTGGGTACGTGTGGTCGGTGGTCGGCTGACGGTCTTTTACATAAAGATGAAAAAATGCAAAATTAGAAGTAAAACTAAAACTGGGAATCCAATGACTATAGTACCTTTACTAGGTCGTGATTTAAAAACGTATAATTAATCATTTCAAATCACGATGAAAACGTTACATCGTCGTGGTGTGTAATGTCATATTTTTAAGTGATGTTTCAGTTGTTAGAAGACCAATTTCATCCTGGTTAGTCACTTTGGAAAAAAACGCACGTAACATTGCATTAAGTTCATTCATATGAAACGCAATAACAAAAACACACAAACATCGTTGATGTTGACGTCGTAACGTTATTTGTGATTTCTCAGTTGTTAAACGTCAACTGGTAAAAACTACATTTGATATGACAAAAAAAGCTTTCTAATGGTGTACTGAAATGGTAAGTCACTTTTAATCCCGTAAGAGAACGCATGTAACATTATATCGTGTTCATTATTCAGTAGGCTATGACGATAACAAATCATTTTTGTTTCGAAATTGTTAAATTTCAGTAAAAAATTAGGATAGATTCCCGTAGAAACGATAGGTTGGTTAATGATAGGTTAGGACCTAAGGCAGGACAATTAATCGAGAGGAGACCGTACCAATTTGTTTGCTTGCCATTCGTTGCAAGGTACAAAATCGGTAAAAACCGTTGCCTAGTCCAACGATTGACATTCAAAATCAAATTATTAATATTTTAAGGCTACAAATATGTTCGGTCTTTTACATGATATGGTCGGTCTTTTACACATTTTCTTCAAACCCTGTTTTGAGGCTACCAGTGGAAAACACCAACCGGTCGGTGGTCGGTGGGGTCGGTCTTTTTCGTAAACCCTACATGTATTTATAATGGTGATTCTTTATGCCTAGAAATTTTGATGGCTTCGTAATTGGGAGTCCAAAGTAATTTTGAGATACATTTAAAGATTATATATACAATGTAACTCATTCCATACATGGTACATCTTTTAGTTTTCCAAAGAATACATTATATAAATCCCTTGAGTTGATGGTTAATAATTTTTTTTACAATTTTAAACAGGAAGAAAATTCACTGACCTCCTTTTAAAAGTTCAAATATGTAGGTCACTGAATTGTCTCCTGTTTATGCATTTAAAATATTTTCCAACTTATTTCTGCCAATATAAGTTACCATGGCAACAAATAAGTGAGCTTATGACCATCCACCAGTCATCCGGATTCCGGATAATAACTCTAATACTAGTATACAGATTTTCTTCATATTTTTTGGAAAGATGGATATTGGTTTTGTCCAAAAAATTCTTTTCAAGATGGCCACTGCTTTAGAAAATATGGGATTTTTTGCTGAAATCGAAGTTTTTCATTTCTAACCAAAATAATGAGTAATACTGTATTTTTCTAATTCAGGCCTCAAAAAATTCAAAATTGCTGCCTAATGTAGGAATTTAGGAGAAGATCACAATTGTGTTATTAGACTCCAGATTGAAAATCTGGAGTCTATTGCTTTTGCCAGTTTTCTTATTATTAGACTCCAGATGAAAATCTGGAGTCTATTGCTTTTGCCAGTTTTCTTTATTAGACTCCAGATGTCAATCTGGAGTCTATTGTTTTTGCCAGTATTCTTATTATTCTTCTTCTTATTATTCTTTAAGAGTTTTTTCAATAACTATAAGGTATCCAGTAAAGACCATAATACAGTTTATTTAGGTTTAGTATCTAGTTGGTGGGAAATTGGGTCAAATTTTTATCTAGGTCAAAGGTCAGGATCTGGGTCAAATCCAGTACTTTGTCACTTTTTTCGATTTTCTCAGTCGTCCTTCAATATTTTCGATCCGGTTTTTTTTCATTGTGTTCCTCATAAAAAAGTAGGAAATCTAGGGTCGATTTAGTTTTTTGATATCTCGAACCGATTTCGAGATATCAGTGTCCGAAAACGAGGTCCGAAAAAAAGTTCTCCGAATTCAATGCCCAGGATATTCCCCTTATAGAAAATTTTCTCAGGATTCCGAATCTGAAAACCGAATTGAAATCCGACTTCCGGTTCAAGAGTTATGACGTTTTGAAAGTTCTAGAAAAATCGATCTGATGGTACCCTCATAGAAAGTCAAGAAAAGTGAAAAAAAATTGAAAAATACCAGTCCAGTCCTTTTCCAGGTCCAAGTCAAGGTCCAGTCCGGGTCCAAGTCCAGCGTTGGTCCAGGTTCAAGTCAAGTCTAGGTCTAAATCCAGTCCAGGGCCTTGGTCAAAATCTAGGTCAAATTCAAAGTTTTTCCTTATTTTTGCGATTCTGACACTACACTTAAATTATATTCTTCGAAATTTTGTATACATGTAGCCAAGAGTGTGTAAATAGTGTTAGCCAGAAAGTATTTTGACCCACTTTTGAGATATGGTGTCCGAAAAGTAGGTCAAAATAAAAAGTTCTTCAAATTGAACGTATGAGTTATGAATTAAGGATAGAATTTTCTCAGGAATCCGATTCTGCAAACCAGATTTCGATCCGACTTCTGGTTCAGAAGTTATGGCGTTTTGAAAGCTCAAAATCGCAAAATTGGAGCCCCATGTTAAGTAAATGGGAAAAAAAGATTTTTTGAAGTGTAAAATACAAGATATTGACTGAATACAGCTTAATATAATGAAAGCTTTTAAAAGAAGAAGACCTCAAAGCCACCTAGAATCAAAATTTGGTCAGCAAAATGCCTAGGTCAAAATC